TGCCCATTTCGCTAAGTATGTTACCGGTAACAAACAGTGTGACAAGCCAAAGGAAAAAAGTGTTGTCACAAATAACACCAAAACCATGCTGTAGGCCTGGAGAAGAAAGCAGTGGTGAAAGTCTGAGAGAAAAGGCAGAATCGATCTTCCTTCTTGTGCATAGTTTATATAATTCACAAACTTTCAAAAAGAAACAAAGAGAACTGGTGGGCTCTATTAGGTCTTCATCTGTAAAATTTTCAATGTCTATCTTGTATCACTCAGGTTGACTACATTCCATACTGTGATGAAATAGCCAGTGAGGTTGGTTGTAAACCAGACTTGTGCAGGCTCTTTTTCAGTGACCCAGTCTTGGCCCTAAGGTGCTTTTTTGGACCCTGTACACCAGCACAGTATCGTCTTATGGGACCTGGTACATGGGTGGGTGCAAAAAAGGCCATTGAAGATGCTCCTGGAAATGTGATTTATGCAACAAAGACCCGCACTTCACCACACGAGAAGAAAATGAAATCCACAGACTGAAACACACAACCTAAAGGTTTTGGTTTTAGTAGTTGTGTTGGTTGCTATCTTTCTGATATACATACAGTGATAAGTAATTCAGCCATCAGGTGTTATTGTGAATTTTACTGCTTAGCTTCTATAATTAATTTGTAGTACTTCAGTTCAACCTCTCTCCAATGGCCACCTTGGAATATATGACCGTGACATGTAATAAGAAACCAGGGTTTACGCTTATCTTACATTTTTCTCAGATCCACAAAGAAATACACTATCAAGTTACACTTGCCAGGTTTCACCACATATGATCATTAAAAATATTAATTTAAAATATAGTCAACTCCCGATAACTCGAACGTTCAAGGGAAATCAAAAGAAGTTTGAGTTATCGGGAGTTTGAAGCAATGACCGGAAGTAAGGAAATAAGTAAATGGATGGGGAGGAAATGCAATTAAGCAGTCAAGTATACAAGGATGGACACTGAATTTGAACTGGAGTGGCAAAAAAGTAAAGACAAAGAATTGACTCGGTTGTTTCGAAATAGATTAAATATTTCGGACTTCAGTACACGGTTTTTCCCGACTTGTCACTTGCTTATAACATGATTCGAGTTATCGAGGGGAAAATTGTATAGAAACGATCTGAAGGAGAACAAAAATTACTTCAAGTTAGTGGGAGTTTCAAGTTGTCGAGGGTTCGAGTTACCGAGGGTAAAATTACAGTTGATGTAAGAAGGAAATCTAGAGGAAAGCGACTTTGGTTCAAGTTAGTGTGAGGTTCAAGTTAGCGAGGGTTGGAGTTATCGGGAGTCAACTGTATGCTTATTTTTCAACAAAACAGTCTCAATACACAATCTGCATCAAACAATGATATTAATACAGAAGGACAAATTATAGGAAATTCTCTTTAAAATTCAGAGGAGCTCAACGCTGAAATGATCTACCAGAGGAATTAAAAAAATAAAATATTTAAATGTAATGTTCAAAAGATTACCAGGAAATTATGTACAAAATCAAGTGTAGATTTTTAACAATCAAAACTACACAAACAAGCTATAAACAAGCTTATTAAAACATGCAAGGGCTCTTCCCAGAAAACCTCATCAAAACTTGCTAAGATCTCCTGCAACCATAACATTAAGATTTTTAGCAGGCTTACATATTGTATGATGTTTTTATTGCTGAGCATTTTGTTGCCAGTTACTAAAGTTAAAGACCATTAAGATGGAAAAATTAAATTTGAAAAAGGATCTACGGTACTAACAGTAATAATTATTTTACATTGCTTGTAGGAAACATATTTTGAACTCTTGCTTTTGGAATCTTCAGTTACTTTCTTAAAAAGATAAATTTAAAATATAAATTCTAAGCTCTTCAATAAAGCCTTCAAAACACAGAAAAGCCAATAAGAACAGCATGTGGCACATAGCATATATATAATTTCAAAACAAAACTGGTACAAGACAGGGGTAGGTCAATAAATTAAGATCATACTCAAACAGCAAGAACACTGTGGTGCAGGGTAAGATTCAGTAGTCATTTTAGGGGCATTACTTCAACTCACCCCTTTAACTACCCCAGAACTCCCCTTCCTCTTATCCAGTTCAAATCAAATCAAATCAAAAACTTTATTTCACTTCGAATTTCAAAAGATAGCATCAACCAATGCTAATATCTCCAAAGGAAAAGCAAAAACAAATAGAAAATAAATGACAAAGGTAATTAGAGTAAAGTAAATACTATATATTATGTACAAGTTTAAGATAATGTAGAAACAAGAAAATTATTATATATATTGTGATTTAGTACAGTAACTAGTGATAATTAAAACTAATTACAAAAGAAGCAGCATTTATTATCAAAGCTAATGCTCTTAATTTTTGATTTGAAAACATGTAATGATTCAGCAGTTCTAAGTACCTCTGGCCTCTGGGAGCATATTCCAATATTTGCTGGCAGAGTAGCAAAAGGAGTGCAAACCATATTTGGTTGATTGAACTCTGGGAATACTAAGAGAGTGTTTACCACGCAAATTGTAAGAAGAATTTCTTTCTATCAGTAGCTCGTTAATATAACTAGAGACCAGACCGTGAAAAGACTTATACACAAGAGTTAACATATCATGTATTCTGCGATTGTGCAGGCTAGGCCAATTATTGATGCTACTTAGAAGTTTGTCATAGGAACTATGATATTCATTAAAAATGAAATGCAAGCAGCTCTGGTTGATCCACGCAAGTTTGCCGCAATAATGCCAAATAGTTGGGTTGTAGTTGGTGTTGACCTAAAACATCCCAGCTTCTAGGAATGATATTTTCACAAGTCACTTTTGGGCCACTCTTGTTTATTGCCTGAGCAGTCAAAATAAGGAGGCTCTGGGATCAGAAAGAGTTTTTGAACAATGTCATTGGCTATGAGGTGAAATGCCCTTACTGTATGAGTTGGTGAAAACTTCAGACAAGAGTGGTGCATTTTGTGCTCTCTGATTACTTGACCTAAGACCAAGGGTCAGTATCCTCACTTTTAACCGGAAATAACTGGAACAACATGGGGTTTTTTGGGATGGTCATTAAAGTTTTGGTCCAGGGTTTTTGGTGGGGTTTTGTTTGGAAGCCCTAGGGACTTTGAGGACTTTTGATCCCCCCCGCCACTTCAATCATCCCTGACACCAATGTGCTGCTGGTGGACATTTTCATGTTCCAATTTACTATAATCTGGACTGGGAAGGGATTCAGAAGCTTGTGGATGAAAAGAGGATTTTTCTGCCAGATAGCAATATTCATGGTGGTATGTATAAAATTGATGCTTTGTAGGTCCATGTCATTACTTTCAAAGACAACCAAAGGAAAATAGAGCCAAAAGAGGGGGGTGGTGGTGGTGGCTGACACAAATTCAAGGAGGTGATTTAACGTCACTAGAAAAGTTTACTCGACAACATTCATATTCTTGCTCAGTTGTATTATAGTACATGTACGGGAAACCTGATTGATCAGCAGACTTAGCCAACTTAGGGGTAGTTATACTTATTATTATGACTCACACATTATTTTGGGTAGGAAGGTGACTGAGCAAGAATGAATTATTTCCATGCTAAATCAGAATGTATCATCAAAAGTTACATTATTGCATATGAAACTGTCTGACTTGCCAGTTAACGGCCTATTTATTTACCTGAAGGTGGTGGACCCCAGGTAGGTGAGGTAACCCAGTCAGGTAACCTGCCTTTCAATATAATCTCTCATTTTAATTTGATCACATTTACATGATAGGTGGGGTGACCTGCCACAAGTTACCTCTCCTATCTGGGGTCCCCCACCTCCATGTAAACAGGTCCTAAATCTGTTAATTAGGTGTATTCAAACTTTATCACTATGAGTGTTGTGAATAGGGCACCAATTTGAGCATGTATGGTGTTCATATTGACAGCTCAGCATGGGGGATTTGTAAGTCACGTTCTTTTTTATCTATTTATTCAAGTTACTTACAAAAGTTTCCATTTACTTTTCCTCACCAGATGGGTTGAACATGCCATTTTCTGACTACTATCAAGTGGACTGGACTCTGGGCCCCAGTGTTCTTGTCATTGGAGGGGAGACCACAGGTCTTGGAAAGACTGTAAAGAAATTAGCTCATGAAAACAAAGGACACATTGTTCATGTGCCGATGGTGAGCAAACTGGACAGTTTACCGGTAAGTGCGGCAATGGCTGGTACTGTAATCATATATGAGGCATACAGACAAGTGATTACTGCTACGCAAGCAAAAAGATAGCGTCAAAAAATAAATAGAGTGGAGTCCAATTCAGTCTGTAATCAAACAAGTGATTAAAAACATCGGACGACTACGTAGCGGGAGTTCAATTTGCTTAATCACGAGTATGATTAGTTATGGTAACAGGACTGAGTGGAGTCCAATTCGGTCTGTAATCATATGAGTGATTAATAAAATCGGACTCCCACTACTGTTTAATCATAAGTATGATTACAGACCGAATTGGGCGACACAGAGTTCTGTTACCAATTAATCATAACTTTAACAAAATTTGCGATATATAGGGCTCTTTTTTAAAATAAAAACACAAGAAATTCCAAGACCTTTTTTTTGCCAGCAGTGAAAAAAAGCCATTTAAGTGAGCACGTGATGGTGCGTACTGTCCAATTACTTAGGTATAACGCGTATTGTCCTATTAAACTATCCTAGGCTAAATCAGGGCAGTTGATAGCCAATCAGATTTGAGAATTTTGTTTTAGTTATGATTACAGACCGAAGTGGACAAGGGGAAGTTCTGTTAACAATTAATCATGACTATAACAAAATTTCTGACGTTTTAGCCCTCTTGAAAATAAAAAAAAAAACACAAGAAATTCAAAGAGTTTTCTTGCTAGCATGGAAAAAAAGCCATTTAAGTGTGCGTGCTATGGCGTGTACTGTCCAATTACACAGGAGCATGACACATGCTGTCCTATTACACTTTTAGTGCTGAAATCAGGACAGTTGATAGCCAATCAGATTTAAGAATTTTGCTATAGTTATGATTAATAATATATTGTATTAGTGAATATTTTCAAAACAGATGTTTACAACATTCATTGTAAAAATAAATACAGTTTGTTACTGCGTCAGTTTTAATATTATGTAACTGCAATCAAGGACACCTATCTTGGCTCACACTGCTCTGGTACATGTACGTGCCTTTCTCCCTTCCAATGTTGTTTTGTCATGGTTTTTTGAGGCCAACATTGAAAAGAAGAGGGAAAAGGATGTCGTGTACAACATGTCCACATTAGTACTCTTATTGAGTAAAGTTCTAATGTTACGAATTGTAGCTTCAAGTCAACACTTATGTGAGAGCATCTACAAACATTAATAATCTAAGGAGACGAGACTAGTAACTGCTAGTTGCTCCCGCAATGATATATTTTATAGATAAAATTGTTCATCACTAGGACACCTAGGAGGGCAATTCCATTATTATTAGTTTTGGCTCCATTAAATCCTTTTCTGGTGAGTAGAACATTTAAGGAGCAGCCTCTCAGAATGTGAAGCTCATTTAGTTAATTGTTCCCACAAGCTTTATTGCACAGTCAACTTCTTGCAAATACTTCTAAAATGAACACTTAAGGGTGGTTTCCTGCATTGTTCAGTCAGTTTCTTTTACCCCTTTAATAGTAATAATTATGCTCTCTGCAAAGTGCATCTTGTATTAAGTACATTCTAAAATAGCAGCCATTGCAGCACCAAATGACTCTTCTGAGTTGTCACTCATCACAAGAGGTAACCCAAAAACCTGTTCAACTTGTTTTTGAAGAACCTGATTTCTTATTAAAGCACTTCCAGTGCCTACAATCCTTTGCACGCCATGCAGGTGAAGGAATTCTTTGGGCATCATTTCATGTAAATTTTCCACAAGTCCACGATAAAGTGAGAGTCCCACATCACCCAGTGAAATATTGTCTGATGAGAGATTGCTTACTTCAGCCCTCCTATCTGGCATGTGTCGCTCACCCCACAGTGTTGCAGTAATTTTCAGAGATGATGAACTCTTCTTCTCAGCACAATCAAGAATCCTCTGATAAATTTCATCAGTGGCTGGAAGGTGATCATTCAAACCAAGATCCCTCATCCATGATGTTAGCATTTGAACATATGTAGCCAAAACATTACCACCTTGGAATAAACAAAACTCTTTTACCTTCCACTTTTCATAGACTTATATTAGACCTTTTCAGTCCTACATGTAATAGTGCCCAAATATATGTAAAGAATTCATTTAATTCTTACATCCAAAGAAATAAATTGCACCATCCAAAAGTTATGTAAAAGGGGTTTCATTTGAATGAAAACACTTAGGATGTCCTCCACTAATTTCCATTAAGTGACAAATTAACGCTAAATAATTTGGTCTTAGGATGAAAGGGAATTTTCAGTTTCCTCACATAAATAGGCTCCCCTTGTGTCCTATGGTTATAACACTTGCATTTTGGCAAATTTTCAGTTTTCCAATGTAAATAGTAAGTTCCCCTTAGCTTGTGTCTGTCCTATGGTTATAACACTCCAAGTTTGGCAAATTTGCAAACAAAAATTCAACAGATAAACAACCTGATAGTGATGCTGCAGTCATGACCTTCTTTCCTTGAAAGAATGGAAGGCATTTCACAGCCTTACTCGGTACTTCACCAGTGAAAATATTGCCTTTGTCATCAGGTACAACCACTGCTAGTTGACTAGAAGTGCTGACATTCAGAACTGAAAGGTCAATGTATAAAGCTAAGTATCATAAGAGAAAACAAAGAAGTGCAATATTGATGGACAAATGGGAAATTCAGCTGAATTATAGAAATGTCTAACTGAAGTTTCATCAGTGTACCTGCATCAGTTTCTGAAGAAATCGTGGAAAGCACTGCACATTGAAAGTCTCCCAGAGCCACCCCGACTGAAATTCCAGAAGGAATGCCAAACAATGGCTGTTGAAGTTTACCAGCTACAGCTGATGATTCAGCTACTACAGGCAGAAGATGGGTGGGGAAGTTTGCACTCTTCAAGCTGTTAGAGAGTACAAAATGACAGCTTGATTATAGGTTATTATCTACACAATTAGAATGGGTGGGGTGGGAAGTTATGAAAAATATCTGGAGTTAGAGTTGCGGTCACCAGGAGTTTCTATCAATAAAAGAAGAATCTCACAACTTTTTGTAAGACTTCCAGATGATCCTTTTGGGTTGGCAAGTCTGTAGCAAGAAACATGGTTTTGTCTTTGGTGGCAAACCTCAACACAAACCTCCCAAAAGCCCCCCACCCCCCCAAAGTTTAAACCCCTTATGAAAGACAACCTCCGAAGGGGTATAGAATGGTATGTCAAAAAAATGTTGGTCTCAGAAAATTTTGGCTTGATCTTAAAATCTCAGAAGTATTTTTGATAGGTCTCAAAGTCTTGTTTTCAGGTGATTTTTTTGCATCTTGGAGTCTCAAATTTTTTTCCTGGCGGGTCTCAGAGTTGCGGATTTGTTGTTTTTTGTTTCCGTTTGTTCTTCCTTCAGGAATTTAATTTTCCAGAGTTCATGGAATGCGATATAGCTTATCGATATGAACTTGTAGATTAAGACAGTGAAATGAGACAAAGCAGTATACTGGTGGGCTTCTGCTAGCTTTTGGTCATTTTATTTAGTTTTATTTGTACTGTAAACTTGAAATTTTCTGCGCTTAGAGTCTTTAGGCGGAATTTTTAGAAGTATAGTCTTGGGCTTAGAAGTGATAAAAACGCTGAAGTCTTGGTCTCGAATTTTGAAACCAGGGTCTCAAATCACAGGCTTGCAAAGTTTCAAATTTACCAATCTATACCTCTCATAGGGGCACACCCTGGGACCAATCAAATCTTGGTGCTTGGAGTGGTGAGGTTTAACGGTTTATAAAGTACTACATGGCCTGAAATGGTTATTATCTGTTATTATTTTAGCCCTAGTAAGACTTACAGGTCCAACTCCCACTTCATGTTGTCAACATCAAAATAACCCCAGCTGACAGCATTCTGAGAAGACATACAAGGCTCTTCCAATTGACACAACAAACACACAATGAAATCCATGATCGTTCCTGCACAGTCATAAGGTTCTAGAAGACTAGGATAGTTTCTTTGAAGCCAGAAAAGACTAGCACATCCAAAGCCTGTAGAAATAGCGACGTCTGTCTGAGTAAGGGGAAGAGTAGCCAAAAATTCATTAGTACATCTTCTGTCTTCCCAAGTTATAAGATTAGAAGCGTTGTTTTTACTAGTATCCCAAGCCTTGGCCATGCAATATCCTCGTTTCCACAAAACACAGCCATGCATTTGTCCGCATATCCCAATTCTGTTTACTCTGGCAAGGAGCTGTGGTGACAGTTGACCAAGAGCATGTTGTAAAACAGACAGGATTTTTGTTACATCTTGTTCTACAAATGACGTGTTCTTGTCTGAAATATTTGCCTTTGTTTCCCTTCTAACGCTCTCAATAACTTCTCTAGTGTTATGACTCAATAAGCTCGCTTTGATCGAGGTTGTACCAATGTCGATTCCAAGGATAAATGTGTTGGAACAGCTAGCGCTCATTTCGTTGCCTTCGTCCGCCATATTGTGTAACGCAATAGTCTGCGTGACAAACAGATTTTCCAGTGACGGTGCAAATACAGTATCTACACATGCACAAGTAATTCGGACTCAAACATAAGACACGGGACTCTGCCGGCCGGGAAAAATGAAAGTTGCAATCATCGGCGCTGGAGCAAGCGGCCTAACCTGCATAAAATCTTGCAAAGATGATGGTTTGGAGCCAGTGTGCTTTGAACAAGAGGATTCCATCGGAGGACTGTGGTATTTTACAGAAGAGGAGCGGCATAGCTCTGTTTACAGATCAACTGTAATCAACACCAGTAAAGAGATGATGTGTTTTTCAGATTTTCCAATACCTAAGGAGTATCCACCGTATATGCGCCATGATAAAATCGTACAATACTTCCATCTTTACGCTGAAGCGTTTGATCTCTACAAGCACATTCGATTCCGTACGAAAGTAGTCGATCTTAGAAAAACGTTTGATTTTGAAGAGAGCGGAAAATGGGAGATTGTCTTTCAAGAACTCAACGGGAAGAATCCTGGAGAAGACAAAGTAGAAGTTTATGATGCAGTGATGTTATGTGTCGGGCATCATTCAGAACCTTCGTGGCCAAATCCTAAGTTTCCGGGCCAGGACGAGTTTGCTGGCGTAAAGATTCACAGTCATTCCTACAAGGATTTTAAACCCTTCGAAAACAAAAAGGTTCTGATGTTGGGTAAGTCAAACAGACAGTCAGATAGCATTTATTTTAGCGAAATAAAAAATTAAGGCCTGGTATACATAAAGGAGATTGGTCCGGATTTATAAATGTACTGGATGTATAACAATAAAATTATGAGATTATGCAAATAGCCAGGTGTTTATACTGGCCGGGGGGACACTCAAGGAAAGTTTGGGTGGTGATGTGCTGACAAGGCCTTCAAACCCTGACCCAATTCACTAATTCACACCTAATGGGGAAGTGCTCTCCCTCCCCTGGCATTTAAACAATTTACAACACTGGTTGGGGGACTTTGCCAGACTGCTTAAGGTGCAGGTTACAAGTAATGAGGGAATGAGTACTGATGCCCCCATACATGAGTGTGAAAGTGAGATAGACCACTACACTGGGCACTACGTACCCTACTCTTTACAAAGAGTGTGTGGGTCGTGTAACGTCCTACAGATTTATTACATGTGCAAGGGCTTGTGAGACGGGGCCTACAGTTTATCGTCCTTATCCAAGTAGACTAGAAAGTCTAACCGTTTGCAGATGTCATTACAAAGGCAGCACTTTCTCCTCAGTTATTTAAAGACCCTGAGTGTTGGTCTGGCCGGGATTTGAACCTATGCCCTCCCCTCAACAGACCGGGGCTTATCCCATTGAGCTAACCGGGCGGCAGTTTTGGTGATGGTTAATATCATTTGAAACTAGAAGCAGAGACATTAACAATAGATAGTTATGACACCAACTTCTTGCCCGTTTTTCTCCTTCCTTGACCTCTGATTTCCTTGGAATAGAATACTTGTTAATGTAGTTAATGTTTTATTTTATTTTATTATATTGTCATGTCTCAAAAGAACTGGAAACAAACAAATTCAAGGATTTGATTGGCTAAAATCGATCCTGACCGTGGTCTAGATTTTCCCATCTAGACCAGCTTCTAGACCGATCCGGTTGTAACAGTTGTCCTCAAAAAGTTACAAACAAAGAATATGAAAAAATTGGCTTGTTTGTACAAAGTTTGTACAAAGCTGGACTTTGAACAGTTATTTTTGTCCCGTTTGGACTGGAGACCAGTGACAGAGGAAAGCCAGCTAAATGCTTGAGCCCGCGCAGGGAAGCAAATAAAATTATTTATGTTTTTGCTCCTTTGCTTTCTTGTTTGGCCATATAATAAACATCTTATTAACCGAGCTAGGTCGGTCTGTATGGGAGAATCTTGACCTCAGTCGCTGGCACAAACATCACTGCGTTCGGTCTGTAATGAAGACCTTGGTCAAGATTCTCCCATGCAGACCTCCCGCTCAGTTAATAAGAGCTAAATATAAACACCAATGAAATACCAGGTGAGCTTTTGTGCGAAAACAGATCCTTACACGTGAAAATAACATGTTATCTTCACATGTGAAAAGATCACCATTGCTATGGCTGCATAATAAATTGCATCTTTCACAGCCAAAAGCTATTGAAGTGAAATAGTTTGGTATTTCATTGGTGTTTATATAATATAAATAAAAATAGAACATTACATGGTCGCTTGGAGATACAAAATTTCTCTTCTCACATTGAAAAGTATTATTAACCACTCGAAGAGAATTTTTTTTATTGCCGCACGGCCATGTGATATCTTCTTTTTTATCTTTCCATGATGCGTGATAGCTTTAAAATCAGCGTGATGCATGATAGGTTCCTCCCCCCCCATTTGCTGCCCTGTATATAGCTAACAATTTTCATTTGAATATAATCAAATTGCTTTTTGAGTAAACAGACCTTTCTATACAAATTTAGATTGTGAGAGTTTAACATTTCCATCCAGTCAGTCATTTTTTCCGTCAAAATGCATAAATTATTCCAGATGAGAAAGCACCAGCTTGTCAACTGAGAAATAACCCAGTTTTAGTCATCTTGACCAGTGAGAGTTTGTCTTGGGGGTTAACTAAGGGTCGCATGTCCTGCAGTATATAAATCATTTTACATACCATTGCAATATATAAAATGATTAATACACTGTTATTATTGTTTTTTTGTGCAGGTATAGGAAACTCTGGAGGAGACATTGCCGTGGAACTTAGTCGCCACTCTTCACAAGTCTTCCTCAGCACTCGCAGGGGTGCGTGGGTGCTGTCCCGCCTTGGGAAAGGTGGTGAACCCGCAGACCAACAAGCAGGGAGACGATTTATATGGTATTTACCTAGAAAATTACTTGGTTACCTTTTTCACAAGGTAGTAAATGAAAGATTTGATCATGAAGCATTTGCATTGCGCCCCCAACATCCTATTACTGCTCAGCATCCTATGGTTAATGATGACCTTCCCCATCGCATCATCACAGGAAGTGTGGTTGTTAAGCCTAACGTGAGCCACTTCACTAAGACAGGAGTTGTTTTTGATGATGGTTCTGAAGTTAATGACTTGGATGTAGTGATCTTTTGCACAGGATACAAGATAGGATTCAAGTTTATAGATCATTCCATTTTGCCTGTAAATGATAACATGGTTGAATTGTACAAATATGTATTTCCACCAAACCTGGAAAAACCAACTCTTGCTGTTCTTGGTTGCATTCAGCCCCTCGGAGCTATTTTTCCTATATCAGAGTTGCAAGCACGCTGGGCAACGCAAGTCTTCATTGGAAAGAAATCACTCCCCACGAAGGTTGCTATGATGGAAAACATAAAAAAGAAAAAAGAAGATATGGCAAAGCGATACTATGCTACTAAGCGTCACACCATACAGGTGAGATGTCATAATAATTATAGGACCTCAAAATTTGCAAGAAGAAAAGTACCCTTAGTGACATGCTCTAACACTCGACAATATTTATCAACTCTAAAAAGATTTTTTGCATGCAAGACACCTGTGGCCACCTTAAGGCTGGTTCTGATATGCTGCCAGTGGTCTCCCAAGGTATTTAAGGCTATGAGGGCCACCTGGCTTAATTCACTGGAAAAATGCTGCCACCTGGCACCCTCGGCCAACAGAAGCCTATGTTGACATTTAGAAGTAGTTATTTCAGAGAAGAAATCACTCTATAAAAGTTAATGAAACATTGTCTGGTGTTTCTATTTGAGTGTTTTCTCACAATTGTTCATTGATTATAAAATTGATTTACTGTTGGATGAATATTTTTAAACCTGTGATGCATTGCTTTCACTAAACACAAACAGCAGCCATCACAAAGGGCCATTCAAGAAGCTTAGATGGAAAACGAAATGAAATTCTTGCACTCACTCTTTAGGGAGTTTCAAAATCAAGAACTTGGTCAATCAAAGATGTGTGAAACGAAAATAAAAAGCTGGTCAAAACATTTACTGAGTCCTTTTTTTCTGTGGAGAAAGACAGAAAATTGATGGAAATGTGGTGGAAGAAGTTCAGAGACCTAAAACAACACCAGATCTTCCAAAATCACTTATTCCAAACAGCAAAAATCAGGTTTTCATCCAGCATGACCATTTCCAAGTTTTTCTTAATTTTTTTTTCAGGCAAGAGAGCAGGCTTCATACAAACACTGTTGAAAACCACAGTCAAAATACCACCTAACATCCAATGCAGACATTCTTAGGGCTTCATGTTGTCACATGTTAATACCCCCTGGCCTTCCTTAAATACTAAGGAGAACACTGGCTGCTCACCTGGGGTCGGTTGTTCAAATCAGATGGGTTTAACTAATCCCGGGTATGTTAGGCCTTAAACCAGAGATTAAATTTCTCAACCACGGATTTGTTAACTTTAGGTTGAAATTGCATTGTTCAAAGTGCAGTTAGAGGACTGGCTAGTTAACCTTGGGTTTACTGCAACTAACTTGCAGTTTGCATCCCATAATACCTTATTACATGAAATGTTGGCGACATATTAATTTAGCGATTTTGAAAAATCCTTTTTTAGTGGCACTTTAATTTAGCAATTTTTCAAAATTATTGTGTAATGTAAGTGACTTAATTTTCGCATTTTCACAAACTGAAACTTTGGCAAATTAAGGTATTCAAAACGTTTACGACGACAATAAAACATTTATGTGATAAAATCAAACATCAGTAGCTTCCTTTTAATTAAAATCACACAACATTCTGAAACTTAATTTTGAACAAAACAAACAAAACTGCAACTACTGTAATGCTATGACCTCACTCAGATTCAAGGTACACAAAGTCAATAATACAGGTCATAATCGACTCTCAAATAGCATATGTGTGTGAAAGTGATCAGATGGTGAAATTTCATATAATTGTACTCATTTAAATTAACCCATTTGCTCCTGGAGATTTTGCCGAAAAATGCGTTTTGAAGCTAGTAGAGTGGTTTTCTGGTCACTGTTGTGCTATAAAGAGCTAAAACTTACCACAAACCGGTTTACAGGTCGTACCCTTCATAGCCTTCTGATCCAGATGCAACATATCAGCTTGCGAAGTTCGGGCATGCGCAGAAAGCAAAATTTCGAGATAGTTTTTGGGTTTAAAAGTGACACAGCAGTCTTGACTTTTACTTTTCGCTTTTCTTGCCTCATTTTTTTTTCTCTTGCTGGGCATTTAGTAGGCTTCATTTTGGTGGGAATAGTTTTTAGGAAAGCTTTTACGATCTTAGGATTACGTGAAAGGAAAGGTAGGTGGGCAATAGAACAAGATTTTCATGGAGATTTTCAGGTCAATGTTACGTGGTTTTTTGCCTCTTTCTCTGGTGTCCTTGACTGAATTGTGCTCATTCTGGTATGGTTTGAAAGACCTCTTCACTCTGCACAAGTTAGCAGACAAAGTTGTCCTTGACCATTAAAACTGATGACGTCACAAAGGGTAGAAAGGACGTGGATCCGCACGGGCGGTTACAGGCAGTTCAGGGATGAATGGGTTAAGTGACAATTTAAATTTAGTAACACTTAATTTTGATGCCTTTTACTTTAACGATTTTAAGAATTTTCGAAAAATCGCTGAATTCGCCAAATTTTAGTGTCACCAAAATTTCATGTACAATGGAACCCCGATTTAACAAAGGGCCAAGGGACTGACAACGTTTGTTCACTATAATTCATTATATCGAGGTTCTTTTTCATATAATTATTTTCTACTATTGGGGAAAAGAAAATCATTCGTTATATCGAGGACTTTGTTATATAGATATAGGTTCGTTAAATCGAGGTTCCACTGTATTAAGGTACTTTTAAGTTCTTTTATGTCCTCAAACATAAGAGGAGGAAAAATAAGTAAACCCAGAAAACTTATTTCTTGCCTCAGATTTGCTATTAACCAAGAAAGTCAAAGAAAAATTGCACGTTTCACAAAGTATGTTGACAAACAGTGTGACAAGCCAAAGGAAAAAAGTGTGGACACAAATAACACCAAAACCATGCTGTAGGCCTGGTGAAAGTCCCAGGCCAGAGAAGTGGCAGAATCTTCCTTCTTGTGCCTAGTTTATAATAATTCACAAACTTTCAAAAAGAAACAAAGAGAACTGGTGGGCTCTAAGGTCTTCATAAAATTTTCAATGTTTATCTCTTATCACTCAGGTTGACTACATTCCATACTGTGATGAAATTGCCAGTGAGGTTGGTTGTAAGCCAGACTTGTGCAGGCTCTTTGTCAGTGACCCAGTCTTGGCCCTAAGGTGCTTTTTTGGACCCTGTACACCAGCACAGTATCGTCTCATGGGACCTGGTACATGGGTGGGTGCAAAAAAGGCCATTGAAGATGCTCCTGGAAATGTGATTTATGCAACAAAGACCCGAACTTCACCACACGAGAAGAAAATGACATCCACAGAAACACACAGCCTAAAGATTTTGGTTTTAGTGGTTGTGTTGGTTGCTTTCTTTCTGAGATACATACAGTCATAGGTAATTCAGCCATCAGATGTTATTGTAAATTTTACTTCTTAGCTTCTACAATAATGCAGTACTTCAGTTCAACCTTTCTTTAATGGCCACCTTGGAATATGTAACATGTAATAACAAACAAGGGTTTAAGCCATTTACTTTATCTTGTACATCTTTTTCAGATCCAGAAAGAAATACACTATCAAGTTACACTTGCCAGGTTTCACCACAAACAATCATTAAAAATATTAATTTAAAATATGCTTATTTTTCAATAAAACAGTCTCGATACACAATCTGCGTCAAACATTGATTACAGGATGACAAATTATAAGAAATTATCTTTAAAATTCAGAGGAGCTCAATGCTGAAATGATGTACCAGAGGAATAAAAAAAATAAAATATTTAAAAGTAATGTTCATGTTATGTACAAAATCAGGTGTCGATTTTTAACAATCAAAACCATCTGCTATAAACAAGCTTATTAAAACAAGGGTTCTTCACAGAAAACCTCATCAGAACTTGCTTAGATCTCCTGTAACCATAACATTAAGATTTTAGCAGGCTTACATATTGTATAGTGCTTTTATTGCTGAGGATTGTGTTGCCAGTTACTAAAGTTAAAGACAATAAAGATGGAAAAATTAAATTTGAAAAAAGGATCTACTAACATTAATTTTACATTGCTTGTAGGAAACATATTTGAACTCTTGCTTTTGGAATCTTCAGTTATCTTCTTAACAAGATAAATTTAAAATATAAAGAATAATTATTCTAAGCTCTTCAATAGAGCCTTCAAAACACAGAAAAGCCAATCAGAACAACATGTGGCACATAGCATGTATATTTTTTGAAAACAAAACTGGTACAAGACAGTGGTAAGTCGAGAAATTAAAGATCATACTCAAACAGCAAGAACACTGTGGTTCAGGGTAAGGATTCAGTAGTAATTTTGGGGAAATTTGGGAACAAGATTTCTTCAACCCACCCCTTTAACCACCCCAGAACTCCCCTTCCTGTTATCCCGTTGACCTAAAACATCCCAGCTTCTAGGAATGAGATTTTCATGAGTCGCTTTTGGGCCACTCTTCGTTATTGCCTGAACAGTCAAAATAAGTAGGATCTGTGATCAAAAAGAGTTTTTGAGCAATGTCATTAGCTTTGAGGTGAAATGCCCTTACTCTATGAGTTGGAAAAAACTTCAGACAAGAGTGGCGCATTTTGTGCTCTCTGATGACCTAAGACGAACGCTCAGTATCCTCACCTTTAAGTGGAAATAACTGGAACAACATGGGGTTTTTGGGGATGGTTAATTTCTGGTCCAGGACTTTGGTAGGGTTTTGTTTGGAAGCCCTGGGGACTTTGAGGAGTTCTGATTCCCCTCCCCTCCCCTAAATCATCCCTGACACCTTGGATCAAGTCCTTTTTGACTTGCGACAAAATCACATGATATATCACAGTTAATAATTACTAACTATGCACACTTTTGTAACCTTTCAAACTATTAAAGTGCGACTGTTTGTCATAAGACTATAATTATTAACAAGGTAAAATAATAATTGGGTCGACCTCCAGAAGGTGGTAGTTGTTCATTGCGGTGGGGTGATCGACCATATTAATAAAATAATAATAGGACTTTCTGACAATAGGAAGGCACTGGACTTTGATAAGGCAGGATTCCACTGAAATTGTTAAGTAAAAGAACTCTGGGAAAGACCATTCCTTTTGTGGAAAATTGTGAATGGCAACATTTTCAGAAATCCCCTAATATTATTGTGTTAGTTACCTACAAAAGCTCTTAATCAAAGAGCACAGTGGATAAGGAACATGTTGTAAACCTTTCAACTCTTTTTTTAAAGTTGATGGAAAGAAATAAGTTGGAGTAGTTACCATGGTTACAATGAATCTTGTAAAATAAAAAATTGTTTTTACAACATTTCATTGAGTAAATTTCACTGTGAGTTTTTCAATACTTACCTAATATGAGTTTTCTCCTGAATTTCATTAGATTATTGTCATTTTCATGTACACTGGGTTGCTTTTTACAGTCATAATTTTGCGACATAGGATATGTGTGATTATCTTATGAAATGAAGACTTTATTGATTATTACTTTACATTTTCTTGACAAAACAATAAGAGCTCAAATCATCTATTCCTGGGAATAAATTCAATCTCAAATACTTTGAAAAGAAATGCCACAACTGATCTTTTTAATACAACTGAACAATCAGTTGAAACCATTATTAGTAAACAACATTGTCAATCTTTATCTATTTGGTACAAACATTTATCAACAAACAATGACAGGGCAAAGAAAGCCAAAAATACCAACTCAACGATTCAGTTTACTTCAATAAATGTAAAGGTAACTGCAACAGTTTTGGCACAAGTTCATGAGTAGCCCAATAAAACATGTTTAACATTTTACATAAGGATACATTCCTTGAAATGCAATGACTGGGTAAGAAACAATCACTTTTTTGCACTCATGAGGTTTAGCTACTGTGTGCGTTCCTTTCATGTCTCTTTAAATGTGATGACTGGGTATATCGCTTATCACAATATTTGCACTTATGAGGTCTCACACCTGTGTGTGTGAACTCATGTTTCTTGCAATTATATGATTGAGTGAATCCCTTCAAACAATACTTGCACTTATAAGGCTTTTCTCCAGTGTGTGTATATTCATGTTCTTTGCAGGTAGATGATCGCATAAAGCACTTATCACAATACCTGCACTGGTGTGGTTTGACGTCTTTGTGAGTGTTCTCGTGTCTTTTGCGGTCTGATGACCAGCTAAAACACTTTTCACAATACTTGCACTGATAAGGCTGCAATTCTTGGTGGGTCTTTTTGTGTTCATTGCACTCTGATGAGCGTCGAAAGGACTTATCACAATATTCACACTTGTAAGGTTTAACTCCTGTATGTATCAGTTCATGCTGGCAGCAGTGAGTCGACCGGCTGAAAGAATTATCACAATGCTTGCATTCATAGGGTTTCACACCTGTGTGGGTTGATTCATGTTGCTTGACATTTGATGACTTCTTAAAGCTCTTGTCACAATACTTGCACTTATAAGGTTTCACTGCTGAACATGAAAGTTCATGTTTCTCATGATCTGATGACTTATTAAAGTTCTTATCACAATACTTGCACTGGATAGATTTCACTTTTTCATGTTTCATTTCATGTTGCTTACAACGTAACATTTTTTTGTACCTCTTGTCACAAAACTTGCACTTGTAAGGCTTCTTTTCTGAGTGTTGTATCTGTTCATGATCCTTCCAATGAGATTTGCCTCCTTTGTGTTCACATTTATGTTGTTTGTAATCTGAGGAATTGCTAACGGTAATACCACAATCCATGCACTGCATTGTCTTGCTGCTTGCACTTGTTTGTTAAAATTAACTGCTTGCTTTGATTTCCTGCTCTCAAGACCCACTTTGCCAGTGTGAGTGAGGTGAATAACCCTGAATGTTGTTCTTTTGTACTCTTTCACTTCTAAAACTAAACTAAAAAGGGTAGATCAAAATATCAAATTGGCCTTTAAAAGCTGTATACTAATCTACAGAATATTATACCCCAGGAGACTACTCATCAAAGTTTTATACGGGGAGGCCCCGCCCTGAGGTCCAACCCCTTATGTACCCCTTTCACATACCTTTCATTGGAAAATGGTTCTTAAAAAAACACCAAGAATTACAGGCTTATCACTACCTACGTGTAGCTGCACCCTCCCCCTGACAAAGGAAAAATGGAGAAGGGAGCTCCCTCTCTCTGTTTTTCCCTTGTCGAGGGGAGGGTGTGGCTACACATAGGCTATCCTCTCATATACCTCAACTCGTGAATCCCCTCCACTTTCATAAACCTGAAGCCTGAAAAAGGTACCCCCTTCTGGCCGGAGCCCCAAGCTAAGGCCATTATAGGAAGTTTCCCCCCCGGAAAGTAAACAATATCCCAGATGGCAGAAAAACATGTGATTCAATCCCTCAATATGACAAACAGTCCTTGCGCCATCTCAAGACTGTCGTTTTTGTACGTTTATGTAAAATCCTAGAAAATACTATAATGTGCAATTTTCGCAATTCTGTTGTACATTTCTATGTACATGTCATTGTCTTGACTCTTCGCCGTTTGCAAAAATTGTTTTGCATGAGATCAGTGTTGAGATGCGCGCGTTAAGAATGCGTTAAACAAATTTCAATAAGTCGAGGAAATTTGCATTGGTTGCCGCTGTGTGGGTTAAAAGACACATTCTTACCTTTAAGCTTTAACACCGCTGATGACCTACCCGGGTGATCTACAAACGTTAAAAAGAAGAAAAAGACGGCGAAAGACACTAGAAGCTCCACGCGAACTTTCCACGCGCCAGTAAAACGGGTCCGGAGCTGCGATCCTTATGGTCAGCGCGACGGATCAAAGAGGTCGCATCTCGCGTCTCCTTCGAGCTTTGTCGAATGTATCCCGAACCGGAAGCGGATAACTTACAGCAGGAGCCCATCATTTGGTGGGCTCCTGCTTACAGTCGTGCCCAACAGGGCTGGCAGAGTTAGCAATATTATTGTAATGTACATTGCCAATCAAGGGGTTATTATATTCGACCGTGTCAAACAAGGAAAACCAAAAGGCCTAAGGTTGTCTCTCCATTACAGCAGGGGCGTAGCCAGGATTTTTCTACAGGTAGGCACTATTTTCCAAACTCCACCTGCGTGAAAACTCAATTTCCCCACATTCCCAGATAATCACCGGTAATACGAGGACATACTCCTCCGTGAAAATCTCAACTGACTTCTGGTCTTCTAGTCCTCTGTTAAGGAGTTTATTTTTTTTCCCTTAGGAAAACATTGTGGGAGTCTTCGTTGTTGAGTTCATCTAAGGGGCCTTACTATAAATAGGTCCGGTTAGAAGGGTCACCCGCGTGGCCTAGCCACCTTCGGCGAGGCAACTTTCCAGTGGCGGATCCAGGATAGGGACCCCAACTAAGGGGCCGAGGGTTTCTTATTCAATTGTCCGCTGAGTCGGGTTTCGAGTCGGGGCCAAGTTGTTCGAAGGCCCGATTAGCGCTAACCCAATCAGTTCAAGTTTCTTTTTCTTTTGCTGAAAAACATTTTCGCGGATGATTTTCTCCATTCTCTTGAGAGCATCCAATCTTTAAATTGCAGACTAAAATAATTAAGCTGAATTTGCTTTTTAAGCTTTGTAGCTGAGTTCAAATTTCGCATTAACCCTGGGTTAGTTTCACCTAGCTTTGAACAACCCGGGCCGGGTACTTATTTTCCCGATCAATAGTCTCTAGGGGCCCCTGGATCAGTCTCATTTTATACCAATACCAATTCCATTCGAGTGGAGGAGAGCATATAGAATCGATTTAACAGGTAAGCTGAGGTTTTAACGTTTGAGGTCTTTTAGTCGGAATTAGATTTTAGCGAATTAGATTTAGATTTAGTGTGATTTAGTGCTTCGGATGGAGCCAATTTTATTCCAAGTTTTAAAGAAGTCAGTTTTCACCTGCGTATTGTTGAAATGAAAGGTAGAGTTTCATCTCACGACAACTAACATATGTTCCGTAGTCTTTATAAAGCAGATTGTACACAATTCAAAGTTGTTCATTTCAGTAAATTTGAAAATTCCTGGTTTCCTACGAATAGCGCGTGTTGTTTATTTCAGTGTTCCTACAAACGCAGTTATAGTTGCCGCGATTTGTTGGCGCCGTTTTCTGTGACTGTATTAAATTACGAAATGAGAAAAGCCTATAAACATCTTCAGAGAAGCGAAACTTCCTGAGAAGCCGGCCGTTTATTGTTGACAAAACTTGCAAAATAAGCCGTATCGGCGACGTAAAATTCAAACATGGGCGTAATTTGTTAGAATTCCGCAGCTTCTGATTGAATCTTCCAATGTCTGCGAACACGCGATTCAACATTGTTGTTACTGAGTATACACGAAGACCTTCGCTAAAGTGATTCCTTTCTTCAGAGAATTCACTTTAAGCTGTGAATCGTTTTAAATTATTGGCTCATTAAGTGAACAAGGACTTCTCGGTCTTGGGAAAAGGTCGGCTTGTGTTAAATGTATATTTAACGTGACTGTAATTTAGGAAAATGTTGCAATGTCCACTTAAAAGTAAACATGGTTTGTGGTACTTCCCTCCTTGTCTGCGGCAGCGCATGCTGCAAGTTATTATTGAATAAAAACCTGGGAACTGATCAACCCTGAAAAGCCAACGCGAAGCAACAGCTGAAGAAGTAAATAAATTAGAAAGCCTGCTCTAGGAATACAGGAAAAAACCCGAGTGTAAATAAGAACCTAGTGGTTTCAAGAACCTGATGGCAGAAATTTGCCATTTTAATAACCAAAAACACGAGAACCGGTGCAGCCAACCACGTTCAAAAAGTTTCAAATATGTTGGAACACAGTTAATTTTGATAAACATTCTAACAATGGAGTTTGACTTCGAGATAACAAGGTTACATTCTAAGAAAATGCTGATAAATAACATTGCAAACGTACATTCTGTAATCAATTCGTTATTAAACCTTATCATGATATCAGAGTGATTCATGTTCACTCTACAGTTTATTACCCCGTGTTGTGAATATTTAAAATACTGTATATTTAAGGACCAAACCCATGCAACTGTTCAATTTTTTCTGGTGATCAACAAATATTTCCCCTTTATAGAAAAAAGAGAACCTATTTAGCCTAAATTGTCAATAACTACCCCAAATAATACAAGAACCTATTTTGCCAAACTTCAAAAACCGTAGGTTCTTACACACAGGTTTTTATCGTAATGTGTGCGGGGCTGTCAACTCTCCCGGATAATCCGGGAGACTCCAGATTTTGAACCGTTTCTCCCGGTCTCCAGATTAGAGTCTGAAATCTCCCGGATAATCGCCGAAGTTTGCAATTTCTTGTAGAAATGAAATTTCAAAATTGCGTTGTTTGAGCTATTTTACTGTTAACAACGAACGTTTCCTCACTAACTCCGGTATGCCATTGTAATATAAGCAATAATGTGATTGGTGGGAAGTAAGCTGATTAGGTCAAATGTTACAATTCCAACAATATCTTTTTCGCGCGTTTTTTTCCACAAATGACGTCATGTGCCGTCTGCATTATGACGTCATTTATCATCCCTCCCGCATCAATTCTCAATATTTGAAGACGTGGGGGGTTGACAGCCCTGTGTGTGCTATTTTTCCTTTGGCCCTCAATTGAAAATCCTTAAATAAGAATGACCGAGACCCTAGGGGGTACTCGCTGTGACGGGGAGGCTCGGTCCGAAAGGGGTGCCTTTTTTAGGCTTCAGGTATATGCAAGGGTAGGGATTTCACAAATTGAAGTATATAAAAGGGTGGGGAAATCTGTCAGTTGGGCCTGTAAAAGGGCCCAAAAGGGCTAACATATGAATTTTATGGCTTGAAAAAGTGACAGTTAAAAGGGTTGCAAAGTGACAGTTATGCAAAGTTCTAAACAAGTTATGTGAGAAAGGGGTACCATTTGTCAATAGAAGGTTTACGAAAGGGGTGCCTTTTTAGTGAAATATGGTATATAAAAGGGTAAGGGGTTGGACCTCGAGGCGGAGCCTACCCGTATAAACATTTGTTGAGTACCCCCGCCTCCCGCCTCCCCCCACCCCCGGGACCGAGACAAGGTTCTTGGATCTTTAAGGGGAGTGGAAGTGGAAACTGAAAGGCCTGGGAAAAATCAAAGGCGTCTCGGCGATTGGCTGATTAACCGTCAATCTGAATCAGTCGAAGCTTGTTTCAAGAGGTTCTTTCCCATAGAAAGGAGTAGAGGATTATCCGCGGTGAGTGTGTTTTCTTCTGATTCTGTGAAAAAAGTCATTCTAAGCTATGTCTACTTTTTACCGGATACCTTGTCTTGTCGACATGAATCCGGTATGGTATAAAATACCAGTTCACAGTGCATCAAAGACTGTTTACTTCAACGTTGGTTTGTGAGATAGCCGAGCTGTGGCCGGGATGGAACAAAATTATGAAAATAACTAAAAGCCACCGAGATGCCACACACGTATATCTTACCGTAAACAAATGCAACCAGAAGGTTGAAAGTCGGTTTAGGATAATGCTGTACTACATCTATCTACTTGTTTCATGGCACTGAAATGTTTCATGAAGATAAGTTGAGCTTCTGTCCCTATTGGTTTGGTTTCGATTTTCTTTGTTATGCCAACAAAGGCACAACATTTTCCAAAAGAATTTGATACAAATTTCAAGAAATCGCTGCTTATATATGTGTAGTCAGAATCTTGCACGTTGTTGAAATTTTAGATAACATATATTTTCCCGATGAAAGAGACGAAAGGTCCTAGAGTGATATTTTCAAAACACATTGAGAAAGGCCTAACAGGCTACGCGACGCCAGTGTTAATTTCATGGAGAAGTTTTCCGTAATTTGTTACATGAATGACCGAAAATTTTCCTTGTCTGCGAACATGCTTTGGTAAAATTATATAATCTGACCTCGTCGTTAGTTTAACTCTAGAAATGTTCGCCGCTAAGTTGATTCTTTAGAAGATTTGATTTTTAGTTTCGTGTTATCCTACACCCTATCACGGCAGTTAGGCCAGCTAAAACGCGATGAGAAAAATTGTTGCTTTGAAGTTTTTATTTACAAACTAACACATAAGTATCAGTCTTAATATAAATGTAATGTACTCTGCCACATTTACTACCTTGTCTGTATATACAGGTTTGTAAAATACTAAAAAAAAGAATAGCAACGGACAACGCAAAAACTAGGAAGTTGTGACTCCACAAAAGCATGATAAGAATCTCCGGTTAATCAGACGCTTCACTACGAGCCACCTAATTCCACATCAAAAAGTATATTCCCAATTTTCGAACGCAAGATCTTGATATCGGCAAAACACGAGGTTTTTTTAAGAAACTTCTGAGACGTAGCTTAAGTCGGAAGAACGAGCTGCTAATTTAGCAATTTCCATTCCTAGTTCATTATAAACAACTGTGAAGGGGCTACCTGTAACCCACAATATTATTGTCAACGACTTTATTCCGTCATTCCGCCGTTCCTCGATTGATCTCCACGGGAAAAAAGACATACAGAAAAACTGCAAAAGAGTTGAATGCACCTGGAAAAGTTTAGAGTTTTCTCTGGAAAAAAGTTTCCTAGGAGATTCCGCTAAAACGCTCGAATAAGGCTTAAGGAGTAACGCTTTTATCTCACTAAAATGCTAGCCTAAAGTACAAAAGCCTAGACGACTATTACTAAAATGGTGCGTGAAATAAAAGTGCCCAGAAGTGTGTGGAAGAAAAAATGTCTGAGTAACAAAAAAGTCTAGCTAGGTAATTATTGTTTAAAGGTCGATATGTAATATTGGAATCATATTGAAACAACAATCGAATAAGATGAACATTATTATGCATTCAAAATATTTCTCCGTCTCTGATTGGTCCAAATCCCCCGGTTAAGTTTTTACTATCCCGCCAGCGTTAACCAAATACAGAAGACTACTGCGAATATCCGAGAAAATGAGATCAATGATACTCATACAATAAGAGAGGCTATCTCCAGAAAAAGAAACGGCAAACGAGAAGCCCTGGGGATAAGGTTGATTAGCTCAGTTGATTGGCTCAAATCCCCCGGTCAAGTCTTTACTATCCAGCCAGCGTTGACCAAATTTGGAAGACGTTTGCGAAAAAATGAGATCAATGATACGATGATAGAGGCTATCTCTAGAAAAAGGAACGGCAAACGAGAAGCCCTATGGATGAGGTTGCTTTAGCTCAGATTTCCTATAGCTGGCAGGGTTCTATCTAGGGTATTTGAGGGGTAGAAGCTCCCCCCCGCCCCCAACAATTCCCAGCTTCCCCCAATTCATTACAGTATATAAGTAACTATATGGGAAAAATCATCCAGACGCGATGAGGTCAGTGCACACACAGTAACATTGCTCAAAATTGTGTCTCAAAATCGCCAGATTGCATCTCAGCGCATATTCATTTCAAAAATTTCCGGGGGACATACCCTGGACTTCCCTAGGAAGCTTGTCGTCTTTGGCCACTGAGAATTCTCCCCCAAACGATAAGTCCTAGATAACACCCTGGCTGGGGAAAGTAGTTGAAAATTTCTACACATTGTTAAATTAATGATTACTGAAATGTTTCAGATATCAAGACAAGACAGATTAATATGGCTGCGGAATATTTTGAGAGAAGGAGAAGCAAAAGAACAAATATTAAGGTATCTTGTTTTTGAACTCATCCTCTCTTAACTTTGATGGTATATACCATCACATCTAACCAAACAAGATTGTTATATGGCCATGTTTTCATTATTTCGTTGTTTCTATGGTAATAATAGAAAATAAAACACACTGAAACAGTTGTGATAAAAATTGTTAAATTACGCATTTTTATATCAACTCGGCGCTTCGTATGTTGGCAGAAGCATATAACCCCAAATTTTCAAAAGTGAACGTTACAGATTATGACAAAACCTGTTGAAGAAGAAATAACAAGAAAGCGCTTACAGTGGCATTCAGGTCTCGCCTGCTTGGAGATTAGGTCGAGAAATGAGGAGACGATTAATTCTACAAGAAACATGATTTACTCGCTAAAAGTTTTTTACTTCCTACTTTATCGACGTCGATACGTTTTATTTGTTTCTGAATTGATTTAGTAGGCGTGCATGTTAGCGACGACCAAAAATACCTCTGCGGTCGCAGGCTATACGCGTGTATATAAATTCAAGGGCCACGATTCCAGAGAAATTACATCATTGCCAGAGATCGAAAAAGTGATTTACATGGTACGTAATTTCAATCATCGCCGAAAATAAATCGGATGCTCATCACAAGACTCATTTGCATAAAGTGAAAGTTTACAACACCCGACCATCCCAATTTTGCTAATTAAGATTCTTATTTTTTTTCGACCACACAGTAGTGTTCACTTGCTCCAAAGTAATCAACAATTTCAAGTGATAGAATTCGTGGACCTACACGTTTCGGAAAAGCTCTAAATTTAATATTTCCTAAGATTTCTTCGTAAAACATGCATGGCTTCGATCACGCAACGATTCTTAGTCCCACTTTCCACGGTCTCCGCAAGAAACGCCTGGCACAATGACCTGCCTTTAGTGTCCCAAAAAACGACCAAAAATTCCGGGTGTACTTCCAGAAAATTTGGGAGGGGTTGTGCGGCACGCTTCCTGAAACCCTTACCTTATTTCAGACCAAAATCTGTGATTTTCCCTACCCAATTTCAGACCTGAAGCCCTGGAGTCCGGCGCGTGACCGGAGCGCGTGACAAACTGTTACGGCACGTACACGGTAAATTGGTGTAAACATTAAAAGGGAAATGATCTTATCGCCAAATGATGAAGAAGTAGCTAGTTCTTCTAAAAAACATACCCAATTCAAGACTAGAGTGCACAAACCCTACCCCATTTCACACCAAAACGGCTAAAGCAAACATACCGTTTGGGCAGTAATCGGCTCCTAGTTTGGGGCGGCACATACCTATATAGCCCATATAAGGGACTACCCCCCGGGGCGAAAAACGCGTTGCAGATTATTAGCCTCGCTGCTTACGCAAGCGAGACTAATAAGAGGTCTTGGACTGAGATTAAGAAAAGTCCCGACGGTGAGTCCAGAATAAAGAGAAAATACTGGTTCCATTATTGTCTCTTGAGTGAAGATATAAGGCAACAGCTGTTAGTATCAGATTTTCACTGCCTTGATGTTGACATGTGTTGGCCTGAGATCTTGAAAAAACAATGTTTCCTGTATTTCGCGTTGATAATTACATTTCCCCTACACAACAATATGTTGTTTCAAGAGCCTGGAATCCAATCATTGTGAAAAAATGTTCATTGCTTTTTATATTGTAATCTTGTTTACAGGGGGATAAGCAGAAAGTTCGTGAAGAATTACTGCTGTCTGGCAGAGAAGATGGTCTGGAGGTGAAATACTTCTATATTAACGCTGTAATCTACTGACCCCCTATCCTGCGGTATAACCGCCTTTGGTTTGTACCACGTGACCAAGTTTCCTCATTATTTGTCGTTTATTGTTCGTTATTTGTACACATAAATTAGTAGTTTCACGCAATTTTTTATCCAGAATAATTGTTTTGAGCTTTTTTATCTGCTCATTTTATATTTTGAGATATTCTCAACTTGAATCAGACGTTTGCCGTTTGCCGTATGCGTGAAGTTTAAACTCTCTCACTCACACGCTCATTCGAAAAATAACTATTTACCGGGGAACATAAGCTGAGCGAAACATCAAAAGGAAGCTATAGAAGCCATGATAACAACCGAGATGTGTGTTTATGATTTATGAGTTACGGGTAAAACCGCAAATAATCAGCAAATTGGCTGTGAAATTTTCCTCGTAAGTTTGGATTTCCACTGTCGCGTAATTTTTGCGTGCAAACGTAAATCTAATTATCTACATTATTAAATGTGGTATCTGGAAATGGAGATGATAGGAGGAAATGAGGAGGGCAACGAAGAAGCTGACGAAGTTGAAATTCTTGTGGAATAGTCAAGACCCTCAGACAAAACTAAGCCGCATTCTTCGACCAACCAACCTGTGGCACTGATATTAGTATTATGAAGAATTCTTGGAGCATGAGTTTTTCTCGTAGCTACATATGGCTATGTCGAGACGTGGACACTTAGAACAACAACTTTAAAAAGACTAATTATTTAAAAAACTTTTCAAATGAAGTGCTACAGAAAAATTTTAAAAATATCGTGAACCGAGCACAGAACAAATAAGTCAAATAGAGAAGAACTCAAAGTGGAAGATCGATGGTTAGAGATCTTTATAACGAAACAAAAGCTAAAGTACTATGGCCATTTGAAAAGTAGTGAGGGCTTTAGAAAGGTCATCTTGGAGGGAAAGATAGATGGGAAAAGAGAAAGGGGAAAACCGAGAAGGCAGTGGGAAAGGTACAGGATATTTTCGATTTGTCTGTAGTGTAACAGAAGTTGGATCGATTGGCAATTGACACAGAAACTGTTTCCACTGTGCGGTCAAGGATGCAACGTCCTCTGGGGATAATCAATCAGAGTAGTAAATATATAACAGAGGCAATGTATTAAAGGCCGCGCGTTAACGTAAAAGTTAGCCTGCGTAACATGGCGGTCTGTCGCACGCACTACTGAACGGCGAAGCCGCAAAAGCGCGCGAGGTTTCTCGTTGCTCCCGCCTTTATTGCTTTGCACGCTCAAAAAACCGCCATGCTACGAAGGCTACGTTTAAGTCGAACCTCGCTCAACTTTTACGTTTACGGGAAACTTTCCATAAATTGCTATAATTATGCTATTTACGTGCGCACGCACGAAGTATAAACAAAGCGGCAGTGGAAAACCATCACCTTAAAAGACGTTCTACAACCGGCGCAAAAATACTGCGGGAAACAGCTTCTCTTTTTTTTAGCTTTTTGAATTTTTCTTGGTTTCTTATCTTTTAGGTACGAGAAGTAGAAGGGAAAGGGAGAGGCGTATTTTCTACGCAAAACTTTTCAAGGGGGCAGTTTGTTTGTGAATACGCTGGAGAACTTATTGACAATGAAACTGCTAAAAGAAGAGAATTGTTTTATGAAGAGAAAACGGAATATGGGTGCTACATGTATTACTTCAACTTCAAGAACAAAACGTTATGGTGAGTAAGACTGGAGTTCAATCGAGGCTTTTCTTAACGTCTGTCATCATGACTGGAAAGTTTTTCTGGCAACTTGTGTGGCAATTTTGTTGCACCTTAATAGTAATTGTCTGTGGTCGTTAACATGATTCACCACGTTTCCGTCACAGCAAGCATTACGTAAAAATCGTTGACAGGTTCTAGATCAAACATAGTGGCCTGTTCCAGGCTGTCGGATATTGGGGAAGATTCCTGTTCGCGCTTCCTCAATTCAGTGGACCCGACTATCTCATCTCGGAGCCTGGAACAGGCTACACGAAACACACTCAAACGATGACTACAAGCCGATTTGTTTTAGGGGTTGTTACACCATGCAAGCAACGCCTAAGCATCTCGCAACAACACGATAAAACTGATGCAAACTGCAAGAAAAATTGTCAGCTAATTTGAAAATTTTTTTTTACTAGAGCTGGCTGTCGCCGGAAGGAGGCCTTCATAGTGTTGAATCTGATTTTTATGGTAACCCATTAGGTAACAAAATTTTCCAGTGCGGTAATTGTAGCAGTGCTTCTACATTTTAGTCCGTTTTCTACTGATTGATTTTGTGATATTGTTGAGCCTAGTTCAATAGCGTTTGCGCACGCGTCGTGAAAGCCGATTTGGGTTTCGGATCCGAAAAGGAACGATCTTAAATTTTCTCTGAACGGATGAGAAAATTGAAAGTATCAAAAAATTGTCTTTACTATGTGAGTTCGTTTGGGTAATCGAAGATTCCTCGAAAAGTTACAAATCATGTAGAGGTAAACGTCGACTACATACGTGTGTGAGTACAAATCCTATCATGCAGATGCGTCACTCAACAGTGGTTTACACTGGGGCGTTCAGATCATGAAAAAGCCTAAAATAGTTGGTTTCATAATTGTTTATAATCTCAATACCAGTATGAATACAACTGAACAATGTAACTAAATAAAGCTTTTTTTGCTAGCCGACTTATTGTTGACTAACCTTTTTTTGTCCTCAATATGAACAGTGTTGATGCTACTGCGGAGAGTGGAAGGCTCGGCAGATTGATGAACCACAGCAGAAGAAAAGCAAACTGTGCCACAAAGCTGGTGTGTGTCCAGGGCAAACCCCATTTGATACTGGAAACAATCCGAGATGTCTCAGAAGGAGAGGAGCTTGTTTATGACTATGGGGAAAGGAGCAGAGAGATAATGGAAGACCATGAGTGGTTAAAAAATTGAAAAGGCAAAGGGCAGTGCCAAAAAAGAGAGTTTAAGAGGGATGTTGTTGGTAGTTACTAAGCATTCTGAAAAATCATTGTGTTGGAGATCTTCTCATTACAACACCATATCTTCACTGCATTGCTTCAGTCCATCTAATGGAACTTTTGGAAGCCAATATCTGTATCATAAGTCTAACGCTTTGGCTGTATTCACAGGCTACTTCTTAAATTTTGGGAACGGTGATGAAAAGACATTTAACGCTTGATTAAATCACATCACCCTAAGCAATGAAGCGAAACTGTGGTACTGTAAACAACCGTGACTGAGAAACTGGATTTTGAGAACCTCTTAGGCTAAAATTTGTTAGTTCGGTCCCCTTTATACAAGGACCTCTTTTGCCTAAAATTTGAAACAGGGTTCTTATTTTCTAAAATCGTTTAAAACAAATCCTGTTTACTTGGGCAAATGGACTTCAAAATTCATGTGGGTGGTCAGCGCTTCAGTCCTTCCTCTCATTGTCATTTTTACATGAATACTAATTTGGTATGCAGATGTTATACAAGGAATACGATGAATACTTCTTATTACTCAGAGCTACTACGCTTTGTTTTTTCTTCCGAAAATAAGAACCTATTTTAAAACCTTTTGTAGCCTAAATTTGTGCTAATTACCATTTATTGCGAACCTGTTTTATTTAAGCTAACTTGGGAAAATGCACGTTCTTATTCCCGGGTTGTTACAGTATCAACCACATCTTCTTGACCCTCTTGGGTTACTCTCACTGGTCATCTCGCCCTCAAGTCATTTCGCACCGAGGAATGTTATATATGAAGCGTGTTTGTTTTGGTTTATGGCTAAAAGAACGAGGAATATTACATTTGAAGCGCGCTAAATGACTCGAAAATAGGGGGTAAAACGGGGACGAAATGACCAGTGACCCCTTCTTGACTTCACACAAAACAGTTGTTTCTTCAGCACTATCTCTTGGCTAAGCCTGGACCATACCCCGGGTGCTATGCACGAGAGACTTTTCATACGCAGTTTCCGGTTTCAGTCGAGTCTTTTCGGCCCTCAGCCGAGTGGCCGACACAAATACAGAAAATTTTGACTCTCAAGAAGGCTACTGCAAAGGTTGTCGAAACTCGTCAGTCACTGTCAACAACAGTCAGGGCTAAGTTCACCCGCGGACGATCATACTCAACCTACGTATGAAATGACTCCTGTATTCAAGCATTTCATAGTATATAGGCATTATTGCTGAAAAATATTTGTGGTAAGTGATAATGGAAAATGAGTATTGCTTCACCTCCTTTGTCGTATTAAGTAACTGTTTAAGTACAAAAGGAAATTGGAAGTATTGTGTTGGCGGAAAAAACAATCAGAATTTTACAATCTGCTAGCGGTAAGCTGATGGCGAAGTAAGTTTTAGGGAGGGCTCATATATGTTCAGAAAATTTTCTTATAATAAATGAGTGGAAGAACTCTTGAACACTTGAAATTGCCAATTTTGAGAGTAATTTTATAGATGACCAACTTGTCAACTGCTAGAGGTGCCTCAAATAAAATGACCCGACAATGTTAAGCACGATTATGAAAGGGTTCAGAACTAAAGAAAATTTATATAATAAAGATTGATTCGAACCGTTAGAAACTAACTGAAACTGTGCTTTCCAGGGATTCACCCGCTCTTGTTCCCGTCCCGTTTAAGCTATTGTAATACTGGCAACAAAAGGCGTGGAACTTGAAGGGGTTGAAAAGTGGTGTTGCGTCCGTTTACCACCCACGAATCAAACCTATCTTGCAACAAATTAATTGTTGCAGGTTGCGAAACTGAATTGTTGCATAAAGTACATCTAATCTCTGCTTCATTGCAACAACTTTTCATGATCACAACCCGCGGCAACTTAGTTTGTCGCAAGACACTGGTTTGATTTGTTAATCGTAGGTGGTAAGCCACGCAACCTCGCTGCTTATTAACTTGCACAATTTTGTTGCCCTTTTTACCATAGCTCTACGGCTTGCTTCTTTCGATTTCACTCTCTTTGTTTTGTTGTAATATCTAATAGTGTGTACTTTGACATTATCTTGAAAAGGTCGCAAGATAGATGTTAAAGAAGGCCCAAACTTACTCAGCGTTTGGCGTACAGTTTTCCATTCCGAAATATTCCCCTTTACAATATATTCTGCAGGGGATCTATGGATTCGTTCAATTTTGTTGTTGTTGTTTTGTTTGCTTCAGGCGTAAAGTATAGTAGCTTATAGTTTCTGAAATTGGCAAGGCTGCATTTTTCAACTTGAAATCAACGTCGCGCGTGGACATGACTAACTTGCATATAATTTTCAGGAGGAGTGCATGGAAATATATTGGTCCGAAATTCATGTTAATTTAAGAAATCTATTCCAACTTGATCACACATCGACGCAGGAGCCCGTAAAGACATGGAGTTTTCTGCGAGATTTTTTGGGTAAAACAGGGACCTCATTTGAATTAACGGCGCTCAAAGTCTCATCGCTACCTTTAAACCAGAACGATGGGAGATAAGAAACTCGAAATAAATCAGGTTAATTAAACTTGAAAATACCGTAACGATATAATACATAACACACTTGAAACACTAGAGTCGGGGATGCTTAAAGTGAAACATATTATTACACAAAGCCACCCTTTGCATTACAATGTTAGATGTTGGTAAAGGGGGTAGGGGAAGGAAGCACAAAGCATAGTTCCAAAAATAGATTTAACCTTTCCGCCATAGCCTTGACTTATCCAGTCTTATCTACCTTCAAGAAACGGAAGTCATCTAATCTTGATAGATAGTGCAGCCGGTCAGACTCAAGAAACAAGTGGCTCCATTTCCGGCCGGGCGCAGTAATTATTTTTAGGTCTACTTTAACGCAGACGCGTAGGAGGGCAGCGATAATTGTCCATGATTTGCTCACCTGTTGGTTCCTTGATTTGACAGTTAACAATGTTGATCGACGGTATTTACATTCTTCAATGGAAACAATTTAAGCTACTCTACGTAATTTCAAACCCAAGTAACAAATCCCCTTATAATTTCTTGTCTCTGATCTAAGTTCTCGCGCTGACCGATTACAATCTCAACAGGAGCAAACAACACAAGCTGAACCAAACAGACCACGAGGCTAACGCACGTGACCGACTCCTTGCGCGGGAAAAAACGTGAACACGTGCCCTACTCCAAGCGGGTAATGATTGGTCCAAAAACGAATTTGTACGATTCTTGGAACCTCCCTATCTGCGCATCCACAAATAACCTAGTTGCAGTTATAGCTGAGATAACCACAACAATACATTCTATTTGCATGGTACAAAAATTGTTAACACAACGCTCGACTTTCTTTCAGCGATTAATAAATAGGTGCAGAGTTAACTTGATGCTTAAGCTTGACTTAACTTCATCTCTGCCGTGACAATTTTTAATGGCCATTACTTTCAATTGTCGATCATGTTATCCGGAAACCTCACACTACTTTACTTGCGTAAACAAATATTTTACTGACGTAGATTATCGTCATCTTGCAGGAAGTAGAACAAACCATGATTAGTCTTATTACGCACTGGGTGAAGTGAAAAAGCGGAGAAACAAAAAGAAATAATTATGTTTGAGGTTCGGCGGAACTCTGTGAAAAGTTGCCGACAAGTTACCTAATACGAAAACAAATTTTTTTCCACACAAAATAACTGGTAAAAAATCTTTTAGTTGTCATTATTCTTTCTTCCAGCGGGCTGTTCTTGGCCGGCCCCAGTTGTTCAAAATGTCGATAACGTTAGCCACTGGATTGCGCAATCGGTTTCCCTGGCTGAATACTGCCGGATTTAAATGGTGGATAGTGCTATCCGATGTTTGAACAACAGAGACCAGGTTTATGACTTTGTACCTTCATCATCTTCTCAAAAAAATACACAGGTTAAGAAACGAAAATACTAAATCGCGGACAGTAGTCATATTTGTGGTTTTTTGGGTGAAAGGTTATCACATAAGTTGATTTCAGCTCTTCTAATATTTTAGAACAATTCAGTACCACTTTACCCTCGGCACAGTATTACATAGTATTTAAATTTGGTCAATCGACCACCCAATACATTGTCAAACTGACTGAAAACAAATGGGACTAATAATTACTAAAATGCTCTAAAGTCAAATTATGAGTGTGCGGTGATTGATTTGAGTCCTACGCAGAGGAGTGAAAAGCAAAGTAACTCAGTGCAGAATCTTGCGATTTTTGTTTTGTTTTTTGTTTTTGTTTTTGCGGCCTCAAAGAAGGCGGTGGCGACGACAGAAACGCTGAATCTTTCGCTAAGTTCACTTTTGGTGATCTGACACCGGTAGCGAGATTTAAGCTAGGCGTTTGTCCCTCTCGGAGTGAAACCGGAGTGAAATGAAATAACAATTTACACGATCAATATAGTCTGTGCTTGTTGGCATGGTTTGTTCGCTCCAAGCACTACCTACCTAATTTGCATGTTTGAAAAATCGCTTTGGAAAATAGTTTCCGTGCACCTGATGGTATTCAGGTTTTGTTGTTCATAAAGGCCGTTTAAAATGTAGTTTGTGTCTTAATGTATACATAACAAACCATTAACTTTTGTTAACGCGATAAGCGATATATTGATTTGCTGCAAGCAAGAATCCAAGAATAGATGAAACTGAACAACACAAATGTGACCTGTCTGAAAATAATGTTAATTGGCAGTAAAAGTCGGGAATACAAAAAATATTTGGAGTGCATACGACGTGAGTAAATAGAACTTTTAATGGCCTCTCCTCTGCACCGCAATCAGTATTTAATCGTTAAAAGTTTGGTGCAAAGAAACTATTGTTTTCACCTAAGGTGTAAAAAGCCTTTATTTTCACCCACGTGAGTCACGTATACTTGTTTCACTTTTACGTTGGTTCTTTCTAGTCGTATCAAGATTGGATATGATGTACAAGAAGGACTTGGTTTGGCTGTTTTCTAGAATTTCTATTATTTCGAGTATGTGTATATCTCGAGTAATCTCCTCGCAGGCGGTATTGTTACTGACGAACATTCAAAAGCAATATCTTTAAATATCTCCTGATTCTTCATTACAAAAGAGCCACAGTCGGTAATATCGACAAAACAAAGAATTTTAACTCACAGAGGGCAATATAAAGAAAGGAAGAGTTAATTATGACAAAACCCTTTTCAAGAGAGCTATTAGTTTCATTTTAACCTAGAAGAGCTACACACTCGAGACACACGTTCCGCAAACGAAGGACTTTAACGAACGCCCAAAGCAAGAGGCGTCGCGTACAGTCGAAAAGTTAACGATGAAAATTGCAATAATTGGCGCCGGGGTAAGCGGTTTAGCTTCTATAAAATGCTGTTTAGATGAAGGACTCGAGCCAGTTTGCTTTGAGAAAAGCTCTAGTATCGGCGGTCTGTGGAAATTTTCCCACGACCAAGAAATGGATACAAACGTGAAAAGTGGGTCGGTTTATGAGTCAACAGTCATCAACACTAGCAAAGAGATGACCTGTTTCTCGGATTTTCCCGCTCCGAAGTATTTCCCGCCGTTCATGCCGCGTGATCACGTCGTGGAATACCTGCAGATGTACGCTGAGAATTTCAAACTGTCAAAGCACATTCGCTTTAACGTGACTGTACTCGATATAAGCCGCACCCTGAATCACAGGAATACAGGCCAATGGAGAGTTTCCCACAAGGATATCAACGGAAACGTGACAGAAAGCATTTTTGATGCTGTTATGATTTGTAATGGGCACCTATCAAAGCCATATTTTCCGGCTTTTAAAGGGATTGATGCATTTCAGGGACAAAAGTTGCACAGCCATGCGTACAAGAGCTACCGCGGATATGAAAACAAAGTTGTTGTTGTCATAGGTAAGTTTCAAACGATTGAAAAAAGCTTTTACTTTTACGAAATAAACTTAGTATCTTCGATAGAGCTTAACGTTAGGTCATTACTAGCACTACACAGAGGGCTTCAAAAAGGTAGTTCTCATAGCCGATGACTATGTTTTAGGGCAAGCCGGCTTTTTTGTTTTGTAACCGATTTCAATCCCTTCTGAGTGACTCGTATCACATAAAATTCTTGACTTTCAAGTAGCTTTTTTCACTTGTTGATGCCTATCAAACACCATGATCATTTGTTTAATTACTTAACTAATATAGAGAATTTGTGCGAAATTTTGTTGTTAAAACTAAACCAGACGTAATAACATTAATTGACTATTTATTAAATTAGTTTTCTCTTCTCTGGGAAATTAATCGAGAATCAAGGAAGAGCAAGAAAATCACTTGTAAAAATTGGATGTTTCTGGGTGTAGCGGAAACCATTGTTGGTTCCCTTTTGTTTTATGGTGTGGGTATAGTTTAGAGTCTTTTCAATTTTGTATTACGTCATTTGGTGATTCACCAAGAACCTTCCCAAAAATTAAGTTCTTTTGTATGATTTCTTATCGGCAAACAGAAAATACTATCCGTTTACTATCCTAAACTCGTTTATTATACTAAGATAATCCGGTCTTGTTTATTTTCCAAATTTATTTCCAGCCCTGACAGGTGCCTTTTATTCACGATGATTTTTTCCTCTCGCCCGATCCCTAAAATAAATTCAAGTGAATGTACAGTTGCAAGTTAAAAAGAGATAAAAACAAAGTTTGCGCAGATAATCGTGGTTGCTAAGGAACGGTTCACACCTGGTAACCGGGTACGTTGCCGAGTAAAGTACTCACTGGACACTACAGTTCCCGAATACTCGAACCCTCGCTAACTCGAACCTCGCACTAACTTGAACCAGAATCGATTTCTCCTGGAATTCCCATACACTTACTGTAATTTTACCCTTGATAACTCGAACCTCCCGCTAACTCAAAGTAGTTTTTGTTTCCCCTCAGATCATCTCTCTATAATTTTTCCCTCGATAACTCGAACCATGTTTTGAGCCCTTAAAAAGTCGGGGAGAAAAACAGTCTACTGGCGTCCGAAACAGTGAATTTAGAATTTTCCCATTTACGTGCGGTAGGAGTATAGTTTATTGGTGGAGACTGGTGTTGATTGTCTCAAATCTAACGTGAAACAGTTTTATTTCTCAAACAGTAAAACGAATGCTCTAGTTAGACAATGTTTTGTTACGTTACGTTCTGATTTATAATCTAGAAGTATCTTTTAATTTTCACTTAACATTTCTACAATTAAATGTGATTAAAATGTTCACTGTGCAGTTAAAACTGTTCTTTTTCTTACTCCCGGCTATTTTCTTCGAGCTCCCGATAACTCGAATTCCCGATAACTCGAACTTTTTTCGATTTCCCTTGAAGGTTCGAGTTATCGGGAGTCGACTGTATAGTGAACACACCCTTTTTTTTAAAGTGTCCACGCTCGGAATTGCGGCACTGTGCTGGTGCCAAAGTACAAGATAGACCTTCTACCCCGACCTCAGTACTCGGGCGATGAAGTGAGCGCCGAGTCCATATGTACATACGTTTTCTCTTGTTCTGAAAAAATCCACTACTTTGTACTCCCTACTACGCTCACGACTCAAAATGGCGTCTTTGAAAGGGCGAAATGTAGCAAATATACTAACAAATAGATGTCAGGTACTCGAGGTGTGAACACAACAGCATTTTGGGCCGGTATCTAGGCATTACTTTTCAGGCACTTTGCGTGAATTGCTGAGTACCAGAGATAATCATTCATTCAAAGCTATAATTGTTATTCTTTCTTCTTTCAGTTTCGAGCTTAATTCACTACTTTCGGCAATGAGAATTCAGAAGCATAACGAACACAAAATGTATCCGTTGAATGTTTATTGCTTTGAAGAAAATTAAGTAAACCGACTCATGCCTTTTCGAAATAACATATTTAGATCCTCATCTCACATCGTAACTGAACGGGCGCGACCTAGTTTTTGTATTGCTGTTATGTTCTTTATAGTTTAATACATGACAGTTCTTTCCTTGCTCTTTTTTTAAAATGATAATGAAAAAAAAAAAAAAAAAAAGGAACATCGACTTAAGTCGTACAAGTAATGAAAAAAATAAAAGGAGCATTGACTTCAATCGTACAAAGTTTTGAGAATGACAACTTTCACTACAATGATTTTTCTTAACTCAGATCAGAAAACTTGATAAAATAATACGTAAATATCTACATTTTCATTTACTTAATTTTTAACTTACTGGAGTGATTCCATGTTGCGGACATTACATTCAGATACTAAAATTAATATTCTAAACCCCAATTTAGATGTCAAAATGTTCATTAAGAGTGTTCAAACATATCTAGAAAGTATTTTTAGTGTTCCCTTTGTACCCACTAAAAAGATGCTTTGGTTAGCTCTCAAGACCTTGAAGGTATGAGTTGAAGAAAGTGTGTTTCGGACATTACAATTTAAACAACCACTTTTTAAAGTAACTTCCTTTAAAGAGATTTTCCTGTGAATTTTCAACCTTGAGCAGAAAATAATTGTGCCTTCAAAACATGACAATAATTACAATTTTCAACTGTCAAAAAAAAAGATCCATGCAACCTTGTTCCAATGATTCTATACAAACAAAAGTTTGTGTTCACTTTCTAGTCAGTGTTGCTGACTGTGGCTACGTCCAATTGTTCTGTAGTTACTTCTCTAAAAATGAAGCTGTGAAGTTATCATTCACTTTATTTATGTTCTATTATAATATTATATAATTTCCTGCTGACCTAGTATCACGCAATACCAGCCAGATGTTTTGCAGCTGTACTGACTCCTTAAAATAATTTCAAAATTAATTTGATTACATCTCAAGTAAATGTTTTGAGAAAAAAAAAACGTTCTCAGTAGTGAGGAGATTATTTTGTTTTTTCTAAAACTGATTTAGCTACTGAAATTATCATATTTTGTCATTCAGCATAAACTGTAAATTTGCACTAAAATTGGTCATTGTTCACTACATATATTATTACAAATTCTACTTAACAAAATAATACTCATTCAAGTTTGCAGAAGAAACAATGACGGTAAGTGGTTTTCCTCAAAAAGCATGCTTACAAACTGTTCTGAGCATGCTCAGCAGTAGAGAACCCGTGACCAGCTACACAATTGGCCATTTTGGAGTTGCATAGAGAGCTGGGGCAAGTTTCAAAGTTAAACTAATCGATAAACTGACACCACCATATAAAAGTTCGTGTTGACATTTGTTATTTGACCAGGTTTGGTGCTCTTAAGTCGAACAGGGATCAACTTATGACTCTTGGAACATGGTTAAAGATCCCTACAAATGTCTGTAATTTTGTGACAGCGTCACCAAAACCATATAAACTCTTCACGATACTTTTCAGTTTTTCTGTTAAACTGCAAAATTATCATGCATCTATGCTACTTTATGGAAGGAACTAATTCGAAAATCACTATGTTTGCCCATTTTCAAAATTATCACAGAAATCATAAATTATTTAGAGTGTTTTTAATAGTTTGTAAGTTAAATTCAACCTTTTTGGACATTACGGAAAAGCTACCAGCTATTTTTAATTTGCCATTTACATTTGTACATCAATAAAAAGCAATTTAGCGTTAAGTAGGCTGTTGTCTGAATCTAATTCAGAGTTAGTAAGAAGGAAATATCTGCAACAGCCTAAATAAATGAAAAATCTAACATGTGTAATGTCCGCAACACTTTTCAACTTATATAATTTTTCTGAGCAAAGAAAACCCACTCTATTTTAATCTCAAAACATTTCCTGGCTATACATCAGACTAACTGAGCAGCATCAATAGCAAATGAAAATACAGTGCACTGCGGACAGGAACTGAAAATAGGTACCTTAATGTTGTGGACATTACGTAATGTCCGCCACACAAATTCAATTTCAATTTTCTTAGGAAAGTGTCAGTAGCTGGATAATTATTTATGGCGTAATGATAGTGTAAGGCAAAGGTTATACACACATACTTTTATGTTAATTGTAATGTTTTCTTAGATGTTAAACTTGGTTTAAAATTTCCTTCCAAAAATTCCAAATATAATGGGATTCAAATTCTCTGGATTTCATGCCTTCTCACATTAAGCACATGGATAAGACGCACAAGATCTTAGTAATTTCAAACAGCCCATTGTTTCAGCTTTCTGTTGGTATAAGTTTCATTGCGCAAAATTTTATTTTAAAAAATTCAAAATTTCATTGTCTGGCGTGGAATTGCCCATTGATGTACACGAGCACTGCCGGCATGCAGAAAATTACATTTTTAATTTGAGCCGAGGAGGTGCGAGTGGAATTTATTCAAGCTGTTCCAGACGCCCTACCCCACCCCCTCGCTGCTCGCTGCTTCACATCTCTTTGCGCCGTCCCCATGATCTGAATGAAGAGAGGATAAAGGGGACCTCCGTTAAATTTATCAAAGAATCCCCGGCTAAGATAATTGTCCAATACAGCTGTAGAATAATCGGAGAGCAATAACTGGGACTAGAGCTTTTAGGCCTTTGAAATAAAATTCGTAGTGTTAGGAAGTATTTTTTCTTGTACAACTAATTATTAAGAACTTGAAATTCGACATGCAACTTGTTCATTTCTGTCAAGAATTAAGAATTAACTAATTAGCGATAAACACCAAATATGAATACGTCAAACACTGCCTAGTGTACAAAGCGCTATAAATCTGCTAAGGGCCTCGCAAGGTTGTTGTCTTTCAGTGAACGTGGATAACATAACGTTATCCACGGAATCCAACTGCGCTCTCTGACGCGGAAAGGAATTTATGGTGATCAATTATGTGATGAAGTCGTTGCTTTCAGTCATTTGTTTTTGAGTTTTGGTATTTTCAGGTTTTTCTTATGTTTAGGGTATCCGAGTGATTCTTTTGTAGTGTGTGCTGGTAAACAGTTGGTAAACAGTTCATAGTCCAAGGAAATTCAATGCGTAGCTCACACGAAAAGTTCCTGAGTTTTTGAGTTGTATCATCTACATTGGGAGGATTCGTTTAACTTAATTGTAGTTCTTCTTGAAGTAGGCATGTTTGGGGACAGTACCGAATCTAGACCTTGAGATAAGAGGGGAAGGGCGGTCATCCAGACCCTTAGATATGGGGGGAAGCAGTCTCCAAAATTTTTTTTTTGGCCTTTCGGGCCTCAATTTGGTCTAAAATTAAGGGGGAGGAGGCCGAACCCCCGAGCCCCTCCCCTGGATCCGCCACTGGGGAATTATAGCTGACCTTGAGTTATACCTACACCGAAGCCGTTCCTGTTTTGTATGATTGGTTCTACCGAGCAGTTTTAAAAACACACTTTAATAGTAATTCCCCTAGGGACTTTTCAGTCACTATTTATAAAATAAAAACCAAAGTATAAAGGAAATATTTTACATTAAAACTATTGTTCAGTTTTTAAATGTTTTAACGAGAGGAGCAGGCTTTTAAACTGTCACCTAAGTTGTTCCACATGTTAACAGCTCTGTAAATAAAGTTCTAAGCAAGTTTTACTGCTAGCATTCAATTGGTTCATTGGTACTTGTAAATTATGACAGTGTATTTTATTCTCCACAAGTTAAGCGACAGCTTATGCAATGGAAAGTTCTCACAGTCAGCTAACCCAAACACACCTACAATCTGATTATTTAATTCGCTAATGATGGGCTTGTTAGAAGAAGAAGTGTTGTTGTGGCTGTTGAAGGCCGAGAAGAATAAAAGTAGAAGAACAGACTGAGAGTCTTAGTATCTTTCTCGTTAACTGGCCAAGAGAGCTATACATCCTCTAACATACTTGGGGGAGAACCCAGGCAATGATTTATTGGTCGGTTATGGAACCTGGTCTCTAACTAGAATCGAATCACATCGAGGATCTCTTCCGAGAAGAAGTCTGCACACATCTAAATTTTGGAAGAGGATTTATTGCATGCAATTTCGGAGTTACCTAAGTGTTGTTAGTTCTATGTTATCACTAAAAGTTCTTGGTATGCTCTGACTAGTGTAGTACATACTAGCCTACGTAGAAGGCGCTTGGAAGAAATGAATGCAAGAAGGAACGGGGCGCGGAAGGGAGACACGCGAGGGGAGAGGGAACGCCTGCCCGAGAGGCCCATGAAAATTGTTTTTACTCGCTTTCTGAGAGTGCGAAAAATTCCCATTGGTTGAGGGTTCCAAAGGAGATAAGTGTTCGCGTTAGGCGAGAAAACTGTCAAAGAAAGAAATCGTTTGTAAACATGTAGTACAATAAAAGGCAGTCAAAGTCTTGTAAACACCACTAAATGGTATACTTGAAGATCAGATCTTGGAGTTCTCTAATTCAATGGGACTATGTGGCTAAAATCTCAAAGAAAAGTTGAAGGGTTCAAGGGGCATTCACAAAGGAACGATTTGACATCAAACACCCCATCGCGTGCTTCCCTCGCGCGCCCCGTTCCTTTCCGCCCCCGTTACTTCCAAAGCGCCTGCTACGCAGGCTAAGTATAGTACATACAGGATCACACAGCGAACTAAGAGATCAGACCATGTGTAAGGCGTTCGTTTACAAGAGGTTAAAAACAATGGAAAGTGATAAAACCATATCCCAAAAAGTGGTCGCGGTTTCTTGCGAGATGTGGTCATTTACGAGAGGCTCCGACTGTACGATTTTGACTGGGAAATTTTTGGTGTTTTGGATTTGTGGTCGCTTATACCGGGCTGAGAAGTGGTCTCTTACTAGAGGTGAACACACATGGAGGTTCGACTGTATTCAAATGTTTAAGTATGTAGTCAAACCATGAGATGCCATCAAGAGACTTGCTCGATATTTGTATTAAGGCTTTAGGAGGCTATTTTTCAATATCAAAGCGCTATGTAGCCAATAAACACAATGACAATCAAAGATTGGCCGCTTTGGCAACTAGGCTTTCGGTGCGCTTATACATGATTTAAACATTATAGGAAATTAAACCAGCGAGAGAATAACTGATGTAAGTCTCCTTCATACCAATGAGTACGATTCTTTCATAATTCTTCTGGAAAACAAATAAGATAACAATTTCGTTGTACTGGTATTGTCTCTGGTCGTCTTAAGTAAAAACTGGAAAAAACTCAGAACATGTCGAGACCAATATACAATCAAATACTCAAGTAATTTCAAGAATGATCGAATAGTAGTGCGGTGAAAATCTTAGAGCCTTGCCTTACTTAAGTCATTTACGTTAAAAGAGAATGTTGATTAGAATACTACTCCATTATGGACGAAATTTTAACGGATGTTCTCAAAATATTGTTACTAAAATCCGACCTTTGATTACATCAAGTTCAAGGTAAAATATTTTTTATGTATACTACATAAGAGGCATTACAATTATCTAAAACCCATTTGTAACAGGGCTCGAAATTAAAAAAAATGTCTGGTCGCAAATTTGCGACTAGTTACGAAAATTTGGTCGCAACTTTGAAAATGTTAGTCGCGAAATTAATTGAGGCCATTTAATCAAGAAATAAGTAGGCTTTTAAATGATTACCGCTTTAATTTTCATTCTTTCAACAGCTTTCATGTCATTTCGAGACTTAATAGTACAGAACGTTTAGCGTCTCGGACAACACCAGTTCATCTAAACGATCAAGTTGAACCTGCGTTAAGGCACATAAATTAGTGTCTGTTATTTTAGTCAAAGCGATAGATTTCCAAATCATGAACAGATATTACAGCAGGAAACTGCAGTTCTTAAATGCCTCCAATCTCTGCAAAATAGCAATAACATTTGTACTGGGCGGACATCCGACATGGTTATAGGTTACGTTACGTAACTAAATTCCTTTAGTTTTACCTTTTGCAGGTTTTCCACCGATGACAAAACAAGTAACGAATTCTTTTATATATTAAGCTTTGCATCTGAAGTATCAGGGGTGTTACTACAGTGATTATTCAAAGAACCCTGAAGGACTGAATCATTCAATACGACGATACGTGCCATGCGGACATTCCGCCATCTTTGTTTGCTAAACCCCGTTTTCATGTATACGTAGATTCATCTCGAGGAAGATTACTGTATCTTGGTTTTGGCTGCTGACTGATTAAACGTGAGAATTCCTCTTGTTTTCTTGAGTATATAACTTTCGCTCGGGTCGATTTCTTCGTTTAAAATGTGACCTTTGAAACAATTTAAGTCGCTTTCATCCGACATAATTGACTCACTAAAGAAGAACACATGTGTACTGTGAGGGCCGTAACGCGAGTCATAAACGCGGGAAAAGTCCTCAGCAGTCCTCAGCATGCTGGCGGGACTGTCAGGGGCAAATCAAAACGAAATATGAGCCTGCAATGTACATGTTTACAGAACCCGCTAAAAATGGTGTGCTGTTGAAGGAATATCGTTGCGTGTATGCATTCCAGGTAAATTACGGTAAACCTTCAGATTGTAACAAAATTATAAGACACTACTTCAATGAATCTTTTTATTTCTAAATTTATTTAAGCAAAAATTCAAGTGCTAGTCCTTTTATTTCGTACCAGTTAAGGGAAAACCTAGCCGCAAATTTGCGACTACTCTCGTTTTTCTAGTCGCAAATAAGAAAAATTGAGTCGCAAATGCGACCGTATCGGTCGCAATTTCGAGCCCTGTGTAAGCCTATTTTCTAAACAATATCACGCTAAAACCGATCTACTACCACAAATCAATCTGAGCTAATGAGTTACGGTTTAAAGAATGAGATAATCGACTCAGAGTTACAGAAACAGATTTCTGCTCTGCGTTTTAGTTTTGAAAGCCATTCCTGAAACCCCCTTTTCCTTAAAGAAACAAAACTTACGCAAGAGATAGTTCAGTTTCGTAGCTTAAAAACGAGATAAACCAAACCCTCAGAAAGAATTACACCACAAGCACTGAATATCTGATACAATTGCGAGTAACTTTCAAGTCTTCGATGCTTAGATATATCAGTACAATGAAACCTTGATATAACGAAGTACTTCAAGTGACATTCTGGTATGACAAATGACCAGTTCTTCGCTCCCTATTATAGTAAAATCTATGGAACAGAGCACCCATCGATACTGTGATAACCTACTCCCGTTAACGGACGCTTTTAGACTGTCATTATGGGCTGATATCGCTCATGGTCTTCAAGAGAACCATGAGAACGTCATGAGAGTCTACTAACAGTGTTTTTAGCTTCAAATGGTTGGGAACGTTCAATGTAAAATATAGCCGACGTGTAGCCGCACCCTCCCCCCGACAGGTACAGGGGTAGGCTATATCAAATAGTACTAAACGACAATAACAAAATGCTAGAACAGTGTGTTGACTTCTCACCTGGCCAAGGTAGAGAGTTCTCACCCGAGTAAAACCTTTAGAAGGCAGGTCTAAAAACGGGCGAGGTAATGTAATGTCTTGTTCTAATATCATGAAAAGGGTTAATATGCAGTGAACTGGGCGGCACACGCCCATCAAGAATTCCTAGCAGCATCTCTCGGGTTAGAGACTATCACTCGTTGTAATTTGAATAAACTGATCACAGAGCTTGGTAAACGGAATATAAACTGAAAAGGCCAGTGAAAGCCTAATACCACCTCTCTTTGGCAAATGTCAAGTTTTTTTTTTTTTGAAGCAGGCTACGTGAAGGACTAATGTAGCGAAGCTAACCCAATATTGCTTTCTTGTCTCTTGAGCTAATTCACGTGCAGTTCACGTGATGAGGGGATTACAGTAAAAACCGACGACTAAGAAACTACATTTTGCCATGTTAGCCTAAACAGGGTCTTACATAAATGGTAATTAGCAACAATTTAGGCTATTTACGTTTTAAATTAATACATGTGCGGCTAAGAGTATTAAATGACATTCAGCTCATTCCTTAGGTAAAACCCGTCTACAATTACAATTGCAGTTGGAGTAATAAGGCACCTATGTCTCCAAAGAAGATCCTAAATATTGACTCGTCTTATATATTTGCTCAAGTGTATAAAATTTTTTATATAGATTTTAGAAAAAAAATCGGTTTCAAATTTTCTGCTTAACAGGTTCTTGTGTAGTCTAGAAGGGGCCCAAATGGTAAATTATAGCCTTATTACTCTTGGGCTTTTACTGCATGTCAGTTCATTGTTTCTTAGTTGATGTTAAAACTACCCAGCATCGATCTGCTCGCAAAACGTCTAGTCAGGGCAAACGACAAAACTATGAGCAGATAAAAACAGTCTAAAACAATCCTTATGGTTTTTAAAGTAGCGTTAAATTAGGCCCAGTTCAGACGTCGTGCTTCTGCCGTGCCGAACTAAATTCAGGAATTAAGTTCGACAAAAGCACGGCAGAAGCGCGGCGTCTGAATCAAACTTTTGAATTAAGTTCGGCAAGCAATTAAGTTCGACAAGCGCTGCCGTGCCACACGGCTCTGGCACGGCAGCGATTCAAACGTCGTGCTTCTGCCGCGCTAAACAAAATTCATAAATTATATTAATGAATTTTGGCGAGATTGCGTTCCCACGGGGAGTTGGGAGAAGAATTGTTACGAGGCATCAGTAAATCCTGAATTTGGTTCGACTCTGGCACGACGTCTGAATCAAAGTTGTTTTCCTGCCGTGCTACAGTCGAACCAAATTACAATTAAGTTCGGCACGGCAGAAGCACGACGTCTGAACTGGGCCTTACCTTCTTTTTTGCAAAAGGACTAACAAGTGGTCACATGGCACAAATTCACGTTTTCTATAAACGTGATTCTACATCTCTATAACATTTATAAGGTACTGAACCTGTGGTGAATAATTATTTGGTATAATTATTCAGACGAATTTAGGAGAAAAAAGGGAAACCCACAGTTAGAATTGTTAGTTCTGTAGCGGTTTGTAGTGAAATGTTTACGCATGAAGCCTGCATTCAACCACCATGGTACAGAGAAGCAATGGGGATGCGCTCGAAATGCGAAGATTTTGTAATAAAGAATTGTTCAGTTTGTGAACTTGGCAAAAACTCCTTTTTTCTCACTTTGAACTGTTTTGTGAATTGGTTGTGTTAGTTAAACCAGTTATTTAAAAATTGGTTCAAATCGTATTCCTTGAATTAAGTTGTTGTTTTGATGTTTTCCGCAGACAACGTCACCATTTTCATTCATATCAACAAACACCAGGAAATGCCATATTTCTTTTAAAACTGTTGAATTGTCCAGTGACGGAATTTTGTTTACATCAGTGCTTTCTCCTTTCCTGTAAATAGGTTCTACTGGGGAAACTAGTCTGTTAAACATGCTAAAAGATGAAAGTTTTGCTAACTTAAGTTACTTTTTTGTTGTTGTCTCTCACTAGCTAGCGTTGGCCGCTTACCATAAAGTGTAAAAGACTTTTTACAGCCATTAAACAATCAAATCTTACCTTAAATTGTTTTTACCTAAAATAAGAGACATCTTTACGAGGTTTTCGAGATCAATTTTCCTCCACTGTACTTGGCGTTGCTCATAGTTTGCGCTGAATCTGGTAAAGCCAAAGAACGGTCGAAGAACTTCGAAGAATTCTTCGAAGAACGAAATTTTCTTCACATGCACTGCGAGCTTCTGCGCGCGCGTCAACCAGCGTCATTTTGGCGGGAAAACGTGTGGTAGCCGTCAAAATTAGAAGTGTTTTTGCGATCGGGAGAGGGCTTTCTCCGTCAATAAAATTTTACCGTGTTCTCTTTCTGGTGAAAAGAGGAAAAATGAAGCTTTCCTGGGTGACTCTATTTTTAATTCGCGAAAAAACCCTTCACGTCAGATCTTCTTTTCCCGCGAAGTGCAGGGAAATGTGACGCAATCCATTCGACCAATCAAAGCGTGCAAATCTCCAACCACGTTCCCAGAGAGAAAAAACCTGGGAGCGAGGTTTGCAAATCTCTGAGTTATTACACCAATAGCGTTAATAGCATATAAGGCGTGTGGATTACATAGTTGTTAGCAAAATCGAGAGAACAGAATCAAAGTGTGTGTCTGGACAAAAATGTCATCGTTTGTCTCATTATGTCATCACTTAGGATGAAGATCGCTTAGCATCTGCGATGTCCCATTCTGTCTTCACATTTGTTACAAAAACGCTTTAACCTTTGCTTTAATTAATCTCCACGCAGGTCTTGGCAATTCGGCTGCAGACATCGCCGTTGAACTTAGCCGCCACGCCTCCCAAGTCTACCTCAGCACTCACAGAGGGGCCTGGGTGATTTCCCGTCTGGAAAAGCGAGGCTTACCATGGGATCAGCGCGTGGAAACGAGGTTCTTTCAAAACCTTCCCTACAAGATTAAAGAATGGTTGGCTCTGCGAAGCGCTCAGAAAAGATTCGACCATGATACCTACGGACTTCTCCCACGGCATGGAATTCTGAACGCCCCTACGGTCATAAGCGACGACCTCCCTCTTCGTATAGCCACCGGCACAATCAGGCTTAAACCCGGTATTTCCTATTTCACCAGACAAGGAGTCGTATTCACTGACGGATCCTCGCTGAGTCATGTGGACGCTGTAATATCATGCACTGGCTACAATATCAATTTTGAGTTTCTCAAAGACAGTTACATCCTTCCTGTTGAAGACAACCAAGTGTCTCTTTACAAACAAGTCTTCCCACCCCACCACCCTAAGTCAACCCTTGCCTTTGTGGGTCTGATCCAGTCCTCCGGTGCGTTTTTTCCCGCGGCAGAGCTGCAGGCTCGGTGGGCAACACGCGTGTTCAAAGGGCTGGCCAGGTTACCTAGCAGAGAGGCCATGTTGCATGACATAGGATTGGAGAAAAAGCTGCTTAGAGAAACATTCTTTGCTTCAAGGCGTCTGACAATTCAGGTAGGAGTGTCGAAAGTTATTTCTAGCTTGTTTCGTAGTAAACCATGAAATCTTGTACGATTGTGTCACTTTGTCCTCTACCGATAAGACCAGAATCATACAAATCAAGTCCTAGCAGCTATTAGCGTGGAGTATGTTTTTAGTGGCCTCAACCCCTCTAAAATCCTTAAATAACAATGACCGAGACCAGGTTTTATGAGCCCGCGAGACTGAGCACCCCAGCCAAACCCTTCTTTTCACTAAAACCGCTGGACACCAACCTGGTCGAAGTCATTGTTATCTATGGTCTTCTCAACCCCTCGCGTCCCCTGATGATCAGTTGTAGGGCTCCTAGACTAGTAACCAGAAGGTCAAAGGTTTTACTCCTATTACGAAAACGATTCTCAAGCCGTTTCAAGCGGGTAGCGCGTAGAACTGACGTTTTTTGTGCCTGCTTGGAATATTACCTTTAATCATAACTATAACAAAATTGTCAAATCTGATTGGTTCTCAACTGCCCAGATTTCAGCCTTAATTGGACAGTTTAATAGGACAGTACGCGTCATGCCTAAGTAATTGGACAGTACGCGTTATCACGCACGTGCTTAAATGGCTTTTTTTTCACTGCTAGCAAAACAAAATTTCGAATTTCTTGTGTTTTAGTTTAAAAAATAGCCTAATGTATCACAAATTTTGTTAAAGTTATGATTAATTGGTAACAGAACTTCGTGTCGTCCAATTCAGTCTGTAATCATACTCGTGATTAAACAAATCGGACTTCCGCTACGCGGTCGTCCGATTTTGTTAATCACTCGTATGATTACAGACCGATTTAGACTCCACTCAGTCCTGTTACCATTACTAATTACTATAGTTTTTAAACGCAAATCATGATGAGGTAAGGCAAGTTCGCGCGCGTCCATTCTCTCTTTCGCCCACTACTTCCAAGCGCCTGCTACGCAGGCTAGAGTAAAAATAAAGTTATTTTCTCGCCATTCGCCACACAATAGGAAACTGGGCCGCAAAGACTTCTGGGACTGTTACTTGGCCTTTCAAATATACCATGATACTTTTTGTTGTCCCTCTAAAATTTTGCATAAGCATTGTTTTCAATAAACGTTTTAAGCTTGTCAGTTTTGTTTTCCCATTACAGACCACGTGATGCTACCCCAGGGAACTGTTTTTTTTTTCGAATGCCGTCTCATGCACGTGCATCCACATGTATATGTGTGCAAAAGACAACAGGCAAATTCTTTGGAGAACATAAGGTGGTCTGAATTGGGAAAACAAACATACAAGGTGAAAAGGTGTATTTCTCTTGAGGCGATTGTAAGTCCCTAGAGAAAGCGAAAACAATGCTTACGCTAATTTTGGACGGACAAAAAAGAATATTGTGGTATTTTTGAAAAAGGCCTATTTGCCAATCGCTGACCGGGGCGTAACCAGTAACGATCCCAGAAACAATTGCAGTATCCTCTTTTCCTCTCTAAAATGGCAAATGAAATGTAAAGATGTGTTCACTTGTTTCAACCACAATTCATGAAGCCATTTCTTGTTATTTAATCTTCAGGTATCCAGCATTACATATAAAGATCAGATAGCAGATCTAATTGGCTGCAAACCGAACCTCGGAAGGCTCTTTTTCAGGGACCCTCTCCTGGCCATCAAGTGCTTTTTTGGACCCTGCTGTGCCGCCCAGTACCGTCTCATGGGGCCCGGGGCGTGGCCTGGGGCCAAACAAGTCATAGAGGACACATACCGCAATGAAATGTTCCCAAACGTCCAGAGAAGAAACGAAACCAATACAACTAAGAACCAGACCATTGTAACGTTGCTGAAGTTGGTCTGCGTTTTCGCCACCGTGGCTACTCTGAGAGAACTGTGCCAAGACCTCAACGCCGAATGGGACGCGGTTTGGGGATGGCTGCGAGCCGCGCGATGAACTCTGATTCCCGGATGTTCACTGCGAAAGACTGCTGACACGAGCTCCCCTTGCCACGGGTTCGTTATAGAGAAGCCAAGTTGCAACGAGGACTTCCGATGGACTGAATGCCGAAAGTTGTGAATATGCTGGAGAATCAGTGGCTCACGGACAGAAACACTGGGAAAAAAAGAAGAAAAGGAAACTGTTCGAAGGTGACTTTAAGCGCAGATTTAAGTATTGACGATTCTGTAGCTTCAACGAGAACACAGTCTCGAAAAAAGAGAAACATTTGGTTCACAGGAAACCACTGCTAAAGTAGCTTATTAATAAATCATAGAGCTGATAACTTTCAATCACAACAAGGTCCGCAGTACAGTTAACACCTTAACCCTTTAAACCCTAAAAGTGATCAGCATCAAATTTCTCCTTGTAATATCAATGCTTTGTAAAACAGAGTGGTCATGAGAATTGAGAACATGATCAGGGAAGACGGGTCTAATTGATATTTCAACAAATTCTCCAAACTGCTTCTATTGAAAAAGTATAGGGACAGTAAATGAGAATCTCAATTTTGATATTAGGGTTTAAAGGGTTGAAAAGCGAAGACTTCCAGTAGTACTTTAGTTTCTTTCGGGATAGTAGAGCGCGCGAAAAACACGCGCACACGTGAAAATAGCCTGAGAACGTAGACGTATTTCCGGTAGTCGCCTCTCTCCTCTTCGGGTAGAGAGAAGCGACGACCGGAAATACGTTTCGCTATGCGCGAGAAGGATAACCTTTTTTCACGCGCGTTCGCGTTTTTTCTCGCACTATCTTCCCAAAGGAAACTAAGGGACAAATTGTAGTCTACAAGAGGAGAGCTCTGCTCGATACAGTTTTAACGTAAAAGATTGAACTGCGCAAGTCACCCACGCATGTATAAATAACATATCAGCATTTGAAGACGACAATATTGTCATAATTATTGAAAAGCATTACGGCTTGGATAAACAGATTAAGCGCATGTAGAAATAATATGATCTCTCACAAAACCTCCTTAGAAATAAGTATCATATAAAGACACATTTCAAAATATACACAGCATTTTAAAGCATTCTCTATAGAAAACCGCTGTTGTAATAATATTTATTTTCAAACTTAAGAGAGAGAATTGCTGACATAAAGCGGATACAGCAAAGCTAAAAACGAGCAGAATGCGGGTAAAATTGAAGAATATTAAAAAGCCTGCATTGGGGTAAACGTGTAAGCAGCGATCCAACGTTTTGATCAGGTTTTATTTTCAATTAGTAAAAAAGTGTAATATTTATTATAAAGCTCAACTCTTTTTGTTATGTGGCAGGTTTTGTCACCACATTAAGAATAGTGAGCAGATTGCATGAAATACCTTTGTCTACACAACTGCATAAGCTTTGAAATAAAATGTTCATCTTTATACCGTTTCGTTTTATTTTGCACTGTTAAGAAGCTCGACTCACCTTGCTCGCAAGGAAGGGGAGGGTTAAGATATTTGTAGGGTAACCCCTTCATCACCAAGACACGTGTCCCAAACTTCAAAGCCCAGATTGGTCAAATCATGAATGACGTCACTTACTGAATTCTCACTTGAATCTGGCAAAGAGATCATAGCAAAAGAGAATGGTATGAATGTCCGTCTACAATGAGTAAGGAATTTAACGAACAGTTCTATTAAATGAGGTTTTTAAATTTGAGAAAATAGCTTAAACCTATTGGTCAAAGCGAAAAATACTATAATATTCTTTAAACCTCCTGAATTTAAAGAATATTATGGTATTTTCCACTTTGGTAGCCTGAGAAAAACAGTTGACAATTCGCCAGCCTCGTTCCCAGTCGTCCACGACGTTTTGGGATGTGACGTAACCCGTCAAGCTTGTCGGGAAAAACTCGCCGAGGCGCTATCGCGCTCGGTTCCAAGCCTTCTCTGGTCACTCGGATAGTGCGAACTGGCCTGGGTACGAGGCTGACATTTCGCGACGCCACCACTGGTTTCCCCGCGAAATGACTGAGGAACTAGCGCAGAAATTCCATACTGATGACGCGTCACTTCGAAGATCTGGGTAGTGCTTCTCATTGGACGAAGCAAATTTTCAACCAATCAAAAAACACTACACAGGGGGTTGGGATGCTAGCAAGCTATCGATTTATGCAAAGCGAGGCGAGCCCCTCGCACTCGCGTCTCCTTTCGAGGTTGCTCTCGCGTAACTTCTCACCACTCCTCCAAATGGAGAGCTTGCTGTATGGACTCGGGAAACCAGTGGTTGCGTCGCGAAATGTCAGCTGTCTTCTCAGGCTACCGATTGGAAGTGGAAAATTCCATAATATTCTTTAAATTCATATTATGGTATTTTTCGCTATGACCAAAAGGTTAAAGCATTTTTCTCAAATGTTAAAAACCTCAGTTAATAGAGCTGTTCTCAGGCTACCACTTTGGCCAGTTAACGGAGGTTTCAGCCACACCTGGGAGAGTGAAATATGCACTGTTGTTCAAATGCCACTCTGAGCATCGGCGTGTGCATAAGACCATACTATAAAAGGACAACAAAGTAACAGCAATAAAGACTATAGCTTTGCAAAAGATCTCGACATCGAATGCTGCCTTTAACACAGTAGAAGAGCGTTTGTTTTTTGAAATAGATCTTTGTTTACGCACAAACCTAAGCGATATCTGCTTGCCAAGAAAAAGTTTGACTTTTTCTCCTAAAAACCATAAGTGAGACCAAAATCCGCGCTGACTTTACATCCGTAAGGTAGCCTGTGTAGAGACACCCCCTCCCTAAAGAAAAAATTGGGAGAGATGTTTTTGAGGGGAGGGGGTGTCTGCGCACAGGCCACCCAAGACAGACAATAAACATACCCGTACGTCTCATAAGGGAGTTCCCCCCCCCCCCTTCCTACTGTACAGTGCACCTTTATAACTGTAGCGTAGTTTACACAATTCTGTCCCTTTAATGTTACCTGGTGTGACAAGAGTAAAAGCGCATCCTCCCCCACCGGCTCCTGTCAGCTTGGAATGTAGACCATATTTGGATGTCACACAACATAGCTCGTCCAGTGAGCTGTGACTAACTCCTAACGTTACAAGCAACTGTTGGTTCAGGTCAATAAGCTTCTGTGTGTTATATAAACAGATGCCATCAAACGAAGTATGTGAAAATACAGCTGAACATGTTCATCCACTGCATGCATGAAATAGCCTATTCAGATATGCCTTAGCTCTGTTACAGAGCGACTGGGAAAACCGTGAACGCTTGAAATATCTCAGGAATGTTTATTGTGTTACGACTTATCACAGCAAAGATCAGGACATGCGAACTACCCTTAAAACCACAATCTTATTAACGTCCTTGCTTGCTGTTCAGTTTTCTCATGAGGGATTGGCTTTTTTCTTGCAACACAATAACATTCCTGAAATATTTCTGGTGCTTACGGTTTTCCCCGTTTCACTGTAAAAGTGTGGTCTTAGGACAGAAATGTAAGGATGGATTTGACAGTCAATCCAACTCGATCAATCTTCCCTAAATTTAACCTTGCTGTTTGTATATGGCTAAATGTCGCCAATCTCAATTAAATGTAAAGGGCCAGCAGAGGGCATAAGGGGAAAACAAGCCGAGAGAAAAAAAATATGATTAAAAAACCTGCGGGAGTGGCTACTTGAGTTGCTTTAGCAAGCATGCAGTAATACAGTATAATTATAGGGTCACCTTATGTCGTTACTCTTAAGGTAGTAGAGTCATGAGACATATCTACCTCTAACACACCATAGTGTTCTCGGAGATTTGGCCAGGTAGTGTTTGCCTTGGCTGTTCAGTGAAAAAAAAAAAGAAAACAAAAGTTTTTCAAAAATCACCTCTGCAATAAGAACTTTTGCGCACCCAAAAGATTAACCTACGATCAGGTGTTTTGTCCCCTTGTCTTCCAAACAAAAAGGGAAGAAGGACACCTGATCACAGGTTACTAAAATATACCTGCCTTGCATTCTAACTGTAGGTAAAATCCACTCTCGATCGAATCAGGTTTCCAACCAAGGTTACTTTATTGGAACTCAAGCAAAAAGCTACATCCTCAGCGAGTTGAATAGACCATCATTCTGCAGCGTAGGGTAACATGATTTTTCACATGCCAGAATTATCGGGTACAATTTTACTGAATACCATATAGAAAAGCAAGGCTAATTCTACATTTGCATTGTAGTTACTTGCACTGTATCTTGAGGGTACTCCTGGGAATTCTTAGCGGGGGTGTACCGCCCAGTTCCCCAAATCTTGACCCTATTTCAGACCAAAAAAGTCATTTTCCACATCTGTTTTTAAACCAGACCTCTAAGAACCATACCTGTTTTCAGACTTGGCCTTTAGGCAGAAATTATGTCATCATTGCTTAGATTAGATCACAAACAAAAAAAATTCTTCAAATCCATTTTGAATTCGCATATTTCTCTTTCTTTCTTATTCATTTGGAATTGAAACGATAAAATAATACGTTCATACACTCCTGTAGTTGCCCCAAATACCATACCCGATTCCAGACCAAAATGGGCAAAATCTATACCCATTTTTAGACCATAAAGGCACAAAAACCACACCCCTTGGAGCGGCACATACCTTAGTATATGGTTTATAAAAAGGAGTACCCCCCCTAGGCACTGTACCTTGAGCATGAGAGAGCTTCTCTAGACAAACACAGCACTCATCTGCAATAGCACCAATGGCATCAAACAAGGGACTATACACAGCTGGAAGCTGATAAACAGAGAGAGAGAGAGAGAGAGAGGTAAAGCACAACACATGTAGATGATATCACCTACACGAAAGGAGACAACATTGCCAGGTGTTCACTGCATCAGACTCACATTACAGTGGTCCCGGTTTCAATTCCTGCGCTAACCAATACCTGGATTTGTTCTCGATTGATTCAAGTTCAATGGAGCCTGTGTGGCTGGTGGGTTTATTTGTTGAACATGCAAATGAGCAAGCAAGTCATGAAGCCGCAAAGAGATTGAGGTGAGAACAATGAGAAAACAATGGTTTTACACACTGTATTTTTCTGGTGGCTTCACATTTTTAATTTTTACACGTGTGGAACAAAAACCACCAGCTACGCAAGCTACAAGTTGAAATCGTTGGCCACTCTTGTAAATAGCCAACTGTTTGCCTCCTGCCAGTTGGGGTTTTTAATCCTGTTATGTTGTATTTGAATTATTTGTTTCTAGTTATTTGAGTGGAGTGCCTGTAAACTAGCTGGATAAGCTAAGTGCACTTCCACTATGAACAAACCTTTAACCTTAAACCCGGCTGAACAAGTGATGCAATGGTGTTCAACATCATTGGGCCAACATATTCCATATTTTTGGACACCATGTTGAACAATGTTGCACCATGTTTCATGAAGTTGAATGATAATGACTGAAGTTTGATTTCCACCAAACGTTGTCTTCAACAATTTTTAATTATCAGGAGTGAACAACAATGTTGCATTATTTTGGCTACCCTGTTCAACAAAGGCAAACTTGCCTAGCTGTGAAATGGAGTTCTGTCACCAACAATTAATCAAAAATAAAAAATTCAAAAAATTCAAAGAGTTTTCTGGCAGTGAAAGAAAAAAGCCATGATGGTGCATATACTGTCCAATTACACAGGAGCATGACACATGCTGTCCTATTACACTTTTAGTGCTGAAATCAGGACAGTTGATAGCCAATCAGATTTGAGAATTTTGTGATAGTTATGATTAATCATGGTATAATTCCCTCTTTTCACTGACTAAACTACATGTATACCCTACTTCCAAACAAAATACCTGCTGATATCTTTCTCTGAGACCTGACACCAAGTCCTTAATACTGCGAGCAACTTTAGTATTAGTTATGAGAATCTTTAGTTGAGGTATCCTGTGTAAAAGAATACGAAACTTACATTTAGATCATATTATGATTTTGCTCTTAGCTGCTCATATCTTGTTGCTAAGACAACTAGACAAACAAAGTGGTACATTCAACAAGCTACAAGAACGTATAAACCCATTATTACTCCTTGGTCTAAAGAAAAATTGATTTGACTGAATGGTTTACCCATGGCAAGTGTTTTGTTGACTGATGCCCAGTAGTACAGGGATAATAATAAACAAAAAATATAAACTTGTCAATAGTACAGGACTGAAGGGCAGGGTTGTTATGAAGAGATGAGGGCTTGGGATTTTCCCGGCTATTATGAACATGGCCCCCGGCAACTTTCATTGAAAAATAGAAGAAAAATGGAACCAACAGAAATCCCTAGCTGTTTGATTTCCTGCTAACTTGTTGTATTTACCAGGCAGCTTGAAATCTTAGTGACATCCCTGGAAGGGGCATTAAGTTCATTGCGTACGACCACCATTAAAGTTACCTTGTCAAACAGTTTAAAGTGCCATCTTCGAATGTTAGAGCCCCTCCTGAGAAATAAAAGCATGCAAAAACATAACTGTTAATGACTTTATTAAAACACACAAGAATACTGGGATAAAAACAAGGAAAATTCATTCCATGTACTCTATTATCCAGAAAACCATCAACTGAATGTGCCCTTGTGTCATTAGCACTAAATGGGGACACTACATTTTTATGTCTAATACTGGAGACGGGACCGCCATTTTACGTGGTTATCCGAGCCATGCAAGGGTCTAGCCATTTGCAGGGCAAAGGCAGTACCTCCATTTCTCAGTCATTTTAAGACCCTGAGTGTTGGTTCAGTCCTGGAATTGAACCTGCGACCTCCTGCTCTGCAGTCAAGCACTCTACCGACTGAGCTAATCCTGCCACGGTTAAAGAAGAAGTCTTTTCAACTTACCATATGTACAAATAGAATTGTCTACTCCTGATGGGTTCCCATGAACTAGCTTTTCAGCTTCTAAGCTCCAGTCACAGATTAATGCAAGATCTTGATGAGGCAGAGAAATAGTTCCCTCACTCTCGGCAACGGATAAGGTAGCAGTTGTTGTTTCCTGAACTGAAGGAATTGCTTCCATGGCTGCTAGGAGGGCTGTGACAAGGCAGACACTGTAAGATGCCGAAGAACCAAGACCAGCACCAATAGGAATTGACGAGTTAATTTCAACTGAGAAGGAACCCAGTCTGTCAATGATAGAGAAATTGCACCAGAACAAATGATCAAACAGTGGCGTGCAAAGAAAGTCCTGTCTGATAGCCAGTTCTGTTCTTAACTTGCCCAATGGGCAGGTGAGGTTTTTTGGCGAATTCAAATTACACATTTAGTACTTTAAATTTTCAATAAACTTGCGTGGATCAAAACTACCTTTTCAAGCTTAACTGACAAAGGGCAATGCCAGACAGAAAAGTGTGGAAAGATTTTGTCATGGAGGCTTGGTCAGGAGATTGGTCTAGGAAACAAATTAACTTACAACATATACATGTATGTTACAGGGCGCAAAATTGCGACTGATACGGTCGCCAACGCAACTAACATTTTCTCCTAGGCGACTTAAAATTCTGGTTTGGTCACCAAATTGGTGACCACGTTTCTCTATGATTTAGAATTAAATTAAAAGAGTAAAGTTAAAACAAAACATTATTCAACTTGCTTGCTTTGCTTTCAATCTGATGCATCACACCATACTTATTACTATGAGCTGCGTCATTTACATTATACAAACTGGCGACTAAAAATTTGCATCTGGCGACTATACTTCTACAGTTGGTCGCCAAAAGGCAACCTGAGGATTTTTTTAATTTCGAGCCCTGATGTTCTGAGACTACAGGACATAGTTTGCACCTTGCCATTTCTACCTAACATCATTTAACAGGGGTGGATCTAGGGGGAGGGTGCAGGGGGTGCTCATCCCCTCCCCCTGAGATGACCTGCGGCTTTGTAATACAACTGGTATTCTGTATAAAAATTTGTTTATGTCATCGGTCAGTTACATTTTTTATTACTTAGTGCTGCACCCCCCTCCTAAGAAAAATCCTGGATCAGCCCTTGTAGTTCTTGAGAATTTTAAGAAATATTTTTAGTATTTTCTGTATATTTTAGTGGGGATGACTCCATAATCTTTTATCTTTTAAATTTCAACTTTTGAATTTGAGATTTTAGAGAATTACAAATTTACCTGTTGATACCATGTATAAACTCATTTTATAATTTTTTCCTAATATTTTAGCGTCCCCAATTAACTTTTAAAGCTAGAGATCAACATTTAAATGAAGTTGTTATGTTATGTTATGTTAAATATAGAGGGAATAGCCCATTTTACAGTTATGAATGGAAGCGAGGCTGGAGGTGACATTGTTTTGATACAAACCTTCCTGCTTTACTTTGTAAATCAAGTTATTCTTATGCTAACTAGTATTTTTCAAGGACAATTTTCATAACAAAGCAAAGTAGGTATGTATCAGAACAAGGTCAACCTCAGCCTCACATTCACTAGAACGCTAGGGTACTTAGTCCACAACTGCAAAATGGTCTATTATAGCATTTTCATATGCACTGCACAGGTACCCCTCCCTTCCATACACTCCCCATAAGAACATGTACATGGGTTTGAGTTACCAAGGGTATTACAGTTCACCCTATAAGTCCCAATAGTGACTAACATCAATTTTCTCCTAATCATATCCATACAATGTCAAGAGATTAGGTTATGAGAATTAATAAAATGATCACCTAAGGAAAAATGCCGTGATCTTTTATCAAATTCTCTCAACTTCTTCTTGAAGGAAATGTATAGAGATCAGTTTGGAGAATTTGTAAATGGATATTGGGGCTCAAAAGGTTAATGTATGAAGGAAATAAAGGGGAAATCGACTTCGGTTCGAGTTAACGAGGGCTTGAGTTATCAGCAGTCAACTGTTTGCATGAATCACAAAACTGAAACATCCACTAAACTTTTTCACAGCCATAAAATGCATTTGACAGGGATCATAACCGTTTTTGGCCTTTTTACAGAGCAAAATGACAGATTTCCCTACCCTTTCATATAATTCAACTCCAGGAATCCCTACCCAGGGCTGTCACTAAGAGCTGGGGGTCAGGGATTTTCCCCAGCTACTATGAGTGTGAGCCTTGGCTACTCTTATAGGACACAAGAGGAGAATAAAACCAACAGAATTTCCTAGCTGTACAATAGAGAGGAGAAGTGTGACATCATGTTACCATGGTGACACTATTTCTGGATGACAACAAAACCAACGATGACGGTGACAGCAAGGAGAATGGCACAAAATAATATGTTTATATTCACAAACAACAAGATGCTATTTTGTACATTTCGTTGCCATTGTTTCACCACTACGACATGAAACTTCCTAATTTCACAAGCCTGCTTTATGGAGTAGGTGAACACAACAAAAAAAAATTGTTGTTTTATTTTTCTAAACTTAAATAACAATATATAAGATCCCACGAAAGTTTCCCCAAGATCTGATCAGTGAAGTTTGAAATAGTGTGAATAGACTTTAAAGTGACTTAATCGGTTTGTTTCATCCAAAAATTTTGCTACCATGGCAACGTGACATAACGACTTTTCCTCTCTATTGTAACGACAGCCCGGCCTACCCTTTCATATACCTGAACCCTTAAAAAGGCAACCCTTTCAGGTGGAGCCTCAGTCGTTGTAAGAAGTACCCCCCGCGCCACTCACCTGTTAACGTCTTTCACAATCTTTCCAACTAGGAAAACAAAAACCCTGATTGCATTTATCATAACCTTCTTAGTTTCTTCCATTTGTTGACAGTGTTCTACAAATTTGTTGAACAACTCTGTTGCCTCATGAGAACAACCTGAAAAAGCTGAAACAGTAATAGATAGTCAATATATAAGTGGAAACCCTGGGGGCGCTGACACATTTGGTCTATTTGGGTATGTGCTGCTGTAAGGGGTAAGGTTTTAAAGCAGTTTACCCTGGGGTAAGGTATACAAATAGGGGGAGTTTGGGTCTTTAATCATGATTTTCATGATTATCTAACTCATTCTTGTTTTAACTTGCATAACAATGTCCCTCAGGTATCAATTTGCTATTAGTTGTCAAGCCCTGATTATTTGGAATGATATCCCCTTTCGCTGTCCTTAACAGTGTCACTACCACTAACTTTAAAAAGAACCTAAAACTTTACTTTTTAAGCCTGAATTGAATTAGTGCCAGATTCTCATGGGTTTATTTTTAGTTTATTTGTCATCAGTCTTATAGGACTGCATGCATGTAAGCTTACTTAATCTTAGTTTCATATCTTGTTTCAGTTTTTCTTAATTTAGCCTACAGTCTCCTTTTCTATATAAAACTAATTTCTGTCATTCTCACCACAGGCCGTATAAGCCCTGGGCTTTGCCTTTACTGAGTCAGTACTTACATGAACGATGGAATAATAAAGCTAAGTTAAGGTCTAGAATGGGGTATCATTTTCCAGGAAACTGATTAATTGACCACTCCAGAAAATAACATAACATACCATAATGCTCTTTGTTTGTCACCCCAAAATTTTGCATGAGCATTGTTTTCAGTTTCTCTTGGGGCCATTTTAACTCCCACGGGTGGAGTGGTCAATTGGTTGAAGATTTTGTTCTGGCTGGACGGTGCTTAGTCACCTCAGTAGTTTCTGGAAAATGCTACCATAGGATAGGGGGCATTTGGGGAGGTATCTCCATTAGAGGGTCGTAAAATTCAGCTGAACTAGCTCAGGAGGCTAAGGGTTCCATGGTCCCAGTGGCACATTCCCACCCAAAAATTCCTGAATCCCCCCACCCCCCAGATGGAAACCTATAACTTCTTCACCAAGGTGGTGTTATATGAGATGATGAGCAACACTGATTGTTACCATGACAGAGTGAAACACCATTGTTGCATCATTGTTTTGAATGGATTAAGCATGGTTCCAATATTGCAAAGCAGTGTTGCACTAAAAATCGTCGTTGCGAATCCTCCTGTGTAACATCACCTTTATGTCTTTCTATTTGTTTGGGCTTTTGAAGGAAATGCCTGGGCTCAAAAATGGGCTTGGTGTTTCATTCTGGCACAAATTGCACTCTGGTGCATGCACAAGATAGTATGCAAGTATGCGTAAAACAGGTCAGTGTCAGCTGACTAAATCAAAGCACATGGCCACTTTCCTAAGGTGAATAAATTGCAATTTAATACATTATAGTCACGCAAGCATAATGTTTATGCATATGGACTGTTGTTCTAATATTTCACTATCCATTGCCTTTGAAGACTAACTTCCGACACGAATCTTACTCATTTGAAATTTATTATCTGGCAAAATTTGCTCAAGGGAAGCCCTGAAGGTCACACAGTTGTGCGTCTAGTTTGAACTCTTCTGTCTGTTTTGGGTAAATAGAGGGAAACAAGGGAAGTTTGTTGGTATTTGGGCTAATTTTTTATAACTTGTGACAATAGTCCTATTTCTCATATTTCAGATGCTTTAAAATTCATGTTGTATAACAATTTATTAAAAGGGGAAAGATGGAACTCCCTTTACACTGGTGAGACATTTTTCAACTAGGCTCAATTGACAAGAAGAGTGATCACATTACAAACTAAATAATTTGTGAAATTATGGGGTAGGTTAGCATATCCAGAGAGAACAAGATGAAAACATGTGATCTTGCTCAATTTTAGCCTGCTTTTCATTGCTCTTTTCATTGCCCTAAAAATCAAACAAACAAACATACAAAAAAGGAGTAACTGCAGAAAACCTTATCACTTTGAAGCTGTAACCCTGAAATAGCTGATACGCAATTATTGCTTTTATGCACTTTTCACCTTCAAAGGCATTAAGAACGACAAATACAAATACGACAAGCTTTATATGCATATAAGTGTGTAGCCGGATTCATTGTGACATCATTGTTTACATTTTTGCTCATTAACATGTGAGTTAATCCATAGAAGATGTAGCTGTATAAACCAATTAGGTTCAAAAATTAAAAGAGCTGGTTAATTTACGCAGTTTGTGCAAGTTCAACTCATTGCAATCAGTAAAAAAGAAAATAGCAGCAATTAAAATCTGGAAAGTTACTGAGTGGCAAAACGGAATCAAACGTTTTTAATAATTGTTGCCTTAAGATGACAATGGATGATTTGGCTTATATTTCTTTTGTTCCAAAATCAGTTATGCTTATGCTTGGAGGGAAATTTGCATTTCAAAATTGATTAGGCTATCTTATAGGTGGAAGAAAATTTATGTCAGTAATTTGCATGAAGTTTTCACTGACTGAACTCACTGTGAGGACCTAGACCTTTTAAAACTGAGCCATGCAAACTTAAAACACAACTGTAAATTCATTTACTAAAATGCAATACTCAGTTCAAAGGTAAAGTAATGTCAGTGATTAAGTACAGAACTCTGTTCATACCAAAAAATTATGAATCTTATTAAAAAAAAAAACTTAAGCCAAGAGCGAAGAGCGAACTACTCAAACAGAAATAAACTGATAAACTAATAGTTCTTTGGCAAATTCACGTGTTACTGTACACTGTTTTTGTTTTGTTTGTTTGTTTTTTGAATTTGAGGACAATTTCCAAGTATAAGCCCACAGGGGCCATTTGGAGGGGTGATTTAACGGAGGTGTTTTTGCATTTTGTTTTCGGAGGGGCTTATACATGTCGGGGGGAATTTTTGGAGTTTTATGGTCGATCTTAAAAGGAGGGAATAATGTTTCAGAGAACTTAGCTCCCAAGGGCAGGGCCAAGTCCCCCACGGCACTACCCCATCTCCCTTCCAAGAAAGTACATCTCTGACACATATTTTTTGCCTCACTAGCAATGAATGGTTCCTTGCCTGCCGAGCTGAAATTTAGAGAGAAAACTGGAAGTGGATATGTGGATAATGGGATATGCAGTGATTTTTTTTAAGTGGATACGCGGATATGAAGTGACAAAGTGCATACACTGTAATTATTTGGATACGCAGTGACTGATCCTTATCCACCAATTCGTTGGGGGTTGCTTGAAAGTGGAAGGGTATTCTGCAGTTAAGCCAGAACAAAAAGGAAAAAGAAAATAAAAAGGGGGAAGGACTAACCAAGAAGCCTGTTGACATCTTTCTGAAGCTCATCTTGTTTCCATTTGCAAGTAATGTTGAAGTTCTGCAAACTGAGTCTAACATGTTGATCTCTCTGTGATTCAAGCTTCACTACAGTCCTTAATCCAATGGCAGTTGCAACAGCTTTCTGTGCAAAGGAAAGTGATGGATAATGTAACAGAACAGGGTTTTTATCACGATGATATTTACAAAACGGAATGATGTATGTGCTGGTCTTGGTAGACTTGACAGACGTTCTCACCTTTCCGTAAACGACTGCATGTTCTCCATGAAGGATTATCTTTCCTGGTGCTGTAACTCTGATGCAATGAGATCCCATCGGCATTTAACCATGACTATTAAACCAAGGGGAAGAAAACTACAGAATTCGCTGCATAAAACAGGAATTGCACACAATCAATGGCTTTCCCTGAGGGCCGCCATTTTGTAAAACTGCTCCCCGTGCCTGAAACCTACGCTGACAAGGACCTGGGGATGGGTTAAAGAATTGATGGAATGGAGCGGAATAAGGTGGATTCGGGGGAATAAGGATTTGCTGCGTTATACGGCATTACTGAAAAACCGTGCAAAAAATTGTCTGCCAAAGGGAGAAATACCACATCTCGCACATTTTATGACGTTGAAGAGACTTTGAATAACGTTTATGGCAAACTTTAGAACCACGTGAAATTTATATAACTTTGAAAATTGAAATTGAGTGAGAAAGCTCCTCTAAAATCCCTTCTACTATAACACCCGACGAAGGTCTCAGCCTATGAAGCAGGGGCTAAGGAAGGAAGAAATTTTGAGGACTCATGCACCCTTCGCTTGTTCTTCTCGCGCACTCTATAAGACCTATAACAACTAACCACCAAACTAACCAGTGTCTGCCATGCAGGATAAGAAGTCCTGGTACTCAGGCTAGAATGGGCTCTATAGGACAATGACATATGCGACGTAGAACATGGAACTTAATCACCAGCATCATCATCATCACAGTATGATACTGTAATTTTTATTCTTAAAATATTCCAGTAGATGCAAGTTAGGAGAAATATTCTAAAATGAATACTAATTCACCCCAACCCAAAATAGCAGCAATATTAATTTTTCTTTTTTTTTTTTAGCCCTCTTTGCTTAATTGCATCAGGGGAATTCAAAAGAAGCTTCACCTTCAAGATGAAGGAACAAATAATTTTGACACTATTTTAAAATGAGGCTCATTGTTTAATTTATAAAATCACCTGCTTAGTACATACTTCCCTATAGAATACTCAACAAAGTTTTATATGAGGCTGATCAGTATTAGAACAAGGTACCCATGGGACTAAGAAAAGAAGGTCATTTACCAAGATGTCAATGAATTGGAGTTTTTTGATTTTACAAAATAATTGAACATATTTAACTGTGTCTAGGCTTAAAAATACCACAGTTTGTCAGTGGGGTTTCATCAAAGACCACACAACTTGATTAGAAACTTAAACGTGGAAAAAACACAATAACACCATCTTTCATCAATGATTACTCCTAGTACACGAATAAAGACAACAAAACTTGTCTCTTAACCATACATACAAATTGAGTTGATTTGATAGTTCAAAAGGGAAACTGTTTGGCGACATTGCAGACATTGGCTTTGCATTCTTCTCTTGGCTTCTGCCGGTAATTATATGTAATTTGACTTGTGCTTCTGTAGCCTGCATAACAGGCGCTTTACGAGCCAAGTTAGACGAACGCGGCATTTCGCGCGAAGCGCGAGACGAGGGGAGGATCTTTCAGATCTTTTTCTCCTCCCCTCGTCTCGCTTTCGCGAAAAAATGCCGCGTTCGCCTCGCTTGCCTCATAAGGCGCCTGTTATGCGGAAACTCACATTCCACGGCAAACTCTCTTTATTCTCCGAAGTAAAAAGCCATTGTTTTTCCATTAAAACTGTTTGTCATGCTATTGTTGGATTGGCGAGAGGTGCGAATGTTTAAAGTCGCGGCGTTTCACATAACACGACATCTGATCTGACATCTGAACCCAACATGCTGCAAGACCAACATCAATGATCAGCTGTAGGTGTGAATGCTCAAGTCACTGGGCGAACGTTTAAAATCGGCGTTCCTAATACCGTTTCACGATTCGAAGAGTAAAGTTGACCCCACACAAATATCTACCTTCTGCAATGTTCCTCCTTTGGTAGATTCTCACTCTGACTATTTGGAACTTATACAACACGCCTTCCTGTAACTGCATGTCATCACCGTACTCGTTCTGAATCGCGTTCACAAAGAAACGATACGTTTCATAGTTATCACTGGTTTCGGGGCCTGTCACCCCCGTCCAAATCAATCTTCCATATTGCTGGTATGTTTCAGCTAAAATCACGCCAATTGACTGCGCAAATTTTCCATTGTTGATTTCAACATCAATCATCTGTAGGTAATTATCTGTTTGTTCGACGTAATGTTCGCCGATAAAAAATCCTCTGAACGTGATTCCTTCAAGTTGACCAAACTTTTGTTCTATTTCTTCGACGCACGGATGTAACGCCATATTGTTATTACTCCCAGAATAAAAGTCTGTGCCAGTTCGCAGTAGTATCGTCCCTCTGCAGCGTGAACGAGCACAGACAGCTGTGATGTCGTCCGTATTTAGAACAGGAGGAGCCAAAGACACAAACCATCCGGGCTGTTCGATCCTGAATATGTCACGCGCGCGATGCGTGGTCTTATCCCAGGGGTCTCAAACATAACTGATTTTAAAAAAAACTCGGCCTATATTATCGGAGCTGGAATGCTTCAAAAATACAGAATTTTCACTGCACCTTTTTGCCCCAACTGTTGATATAATGTAAGAAAGACTGCCGAGAAACGTCCCTGCGTTGGGGCGAGGAGCGTAGCCTCCCGCGCAGGCGTGTATGAAAAACGTCTTCCTGGGAGGCTACAAAAAGAGAGATTCGCAGGTTAGAAAGATGATTTAAGACCCCCCTCCCCCCGGGGTACTCAACAAATGTTTATACGGGAAGGTTTCGCCCCGGGGTCCAACGCCATACCCTTTCATATACCAATCTGGACAGAAAAGCTCTGCCTTTTATTGACAAATGAGTGATCAGCATTAAATTTCTCCTTGTAATATCAATGCTCTGTAATAAAAACAGAGTGGTCATGAGAGTTACGGACATGATCAAACAAAATTTACAAAGTTAGCAGTTTTTTGTTAAGGTCTAAGGTGAATCTTAAAAGAGATTGTCTTTTTATTTTAATTCATTGGCGCTGAGGATTTTTAAGTTTTATCACTTAGCTTAATTGGAAAATTACAAACTTAACGATTTTATTTAAGTAAAGCTTTCTGAGAATTTTTCAAAAATCTCCCCAATACTTCTGTAGAAAATGGATAGGGGCAACAAATGAGAAATTCAATTTTAATTATGTATAATTACTAAGCCAGGAAGCATTTCACTAGTTGAAGAATATAAAAGGGAACACTTTAATATACCTGAAGCTGGAATAAGGTACTTTAATTTTTCGGGCGCAGCGTCCCCGTAAAGGCAATTATAGAGGATATCCCCAGGAGATAAACAGATTTTGTACTGAACACTTCGTGCACATGCAATGATCATTTAGCTGTATTAAAACTTAAATACAAAAAAATAATCATGACCCTATAAACTTTGTCAAGAGAACTATTTCATAAGATATAATGTCTTATTGGAGATAAATAATTTTGCTCCGCATAATGCCAAAAATCAGTGTCTAAGTGTTGTGGACAAATTTTTTCCAGGAGATAAACATTTTGTACTGAACACTTGGTGCACATACAATCATCATTTAGCTGTGTTAAAAATTAAATACAAAATAATAATCATGAACCTTTAAACTTTGTCAAGTGAACTACCGTAAAATTCCGAAAATAAGCCCTGGGGCTTATATTTTTCAAAGGCCCTTTTTGAGGGGCTTATTTTTGGAGGGGCTTATATTCGGAGGGGCTTATTTACGGAGGGAAATTTGCGTTTCTAAATTGATTGGGCTAGCCTTATAGTTGGAAGTAAATTTACCGTTTTTGCTTTGTTTTACTTTGTAATTGACGGTAATTTTCCAAGTACAAGCCCCCGGGGGCTCATATTTGGAGGGGCGGTTTAACGGAGGATTTTTTGCGTTACCCGTTTAGGGGGCTTATATTTGGAGGGGCTTATTTTCGGAATTTTACGGTATTTCATAAGATATAATGTCTTATTAGAGATAAATAATTTTGCTCCGCATTATACCAAAAATCAGTTCATATGTTGTGGTTTTAAATTTTATCCTTGGTTTCCATTGTAATTCCCTTTGCTTTTCACTCATTATTATACATTACTATACCCTAGGAAAAGAGAAAAACATTTACAACCAAAGATAAAATCTAACCACAACATACACTTATTCGACAGAATACGATCTAGAATCGAAATAGTTACAAACTCAACTTAGAAAGTTTGAACCTTTTCTCTGCCTCTAGATACAGCCAGGTATATTCGCTGCCTATTTTAGGACAACCTTGTCCCCAGGGCCCTTTTCCCTGGCTTTCAGTAAGAAAATGAAATCGGCTTTTTACAAAGGGTTTTACTGAAAACCAATTCCTTCGTGCATACTATAACTGATCTGGCTGGATAGATTTGATTAAAAGTGAGGTTCTTATTACGACGGGAGTGGTCTGGCCGGTTAGTTCTGACAAATGGAAAGTTCCCTAAGACTTTGGGACAAAACCTTCAAGACTGTCCTTAAAAAAGAAAAAAATTGTTTAAATATCATCGCTTGTAGCTACTTTAGAGTACTGTACCCTAAAGAATACTAAGAAATAAATTAACTGATATGTCTCACAAAATGAACAGCGACAAAAGAGATATACTGTCATGATTTATAGTGACGTAATAATCAAAAGAAAAATATGAAATGAATCAAGGAAAACAGGACTGAAAAGCTAAAAAAAGTTAAACCCTTTTTCCTTCAAACGTTTTAATTCATAAAGGTGTTTAAAAACTGTTGGAATTTGATTTGCCCGAAATTTTAACATCCAAATGATAATTAAAGGGAAAACGTAGGTGTAATTTTAAAAATACTGAGGTTGTTAGGAGTTCTAAATTTTATACGTTTTCATGTATTACAGTGAAACCCTGCCTCACGGCCACCTCGGAAATACGGTTACTCCTTAGTGCGGCCATCGGTTTTTGGCCGCCCGGCAACACGGCCTTACATTTTCTTGTAAAAAAAACCTTGTTACGGTCACCCGTTAATACGGCCAATTTTTTAGGCCCATTGGTAACCGTATTAACGGGATTCCACTGTATTTGGAAATAACTCATCAAATCCCAGTTTATTGATCGTATTACCCTTCTAAATGCGAGCTTCTGGGAGAAAAACGAGAGCCTAAGCAAAGAGGCTTTCGAGCGTCGCACGTCAAATGAACCGTTTCTATGCTTGGGCAGCGGTTTTACCCAATTTTTAGGGCAGAGTTAAGACACTTAGGATATGCTTTAGGATATGTTTGTTAGAGCGATTTTATGACCTTGAAAAATGGTTTCGGTAAGTGTTCGTTATTTGTTTTATCAGCCAATGGATGAAAAGATCAAAACATGGCCTCTTCGTTTTCCCGCCAAAGAAAACCCTAATATGGAGAACGCATTGTTCGCTTGACCAATCGTGTTGCAGTATGAGGTCAAAGCGAAGTATCGGTTGACTTCTAGACAGATCTCGAGCATGGAGTATTTTCACCCTAGGGTTCGCTTAACCAACCAAAACCCACGCGCCTTTGTATCCGTTCGATAAACCAATCAAATCGCCCTATTTAAGTTCTTTCTTGTTTCTGTTTTGTTTGCGCGTTTTTATTTCAAGGTCATAAGAAAATCGCTCTATTGTTGCACAAGACTGTGTGAACAAATTTCCTCCCACCCGTTCCCCGGAACAAATGAAAAAGACACACGTCCCTCCACCAATCACACCGGCCTGCGTAGCCGACGGGATCGTTAGCGCGAGCAAAGTTTGGCATTCCGCGCTAGCTTCTCGTGGCAACGCGGTGAGAATGGCAGTTTTGCTGCCAAAACTCTGCCGCTCGCAAAAATAATTCAGCCAGTAACGCACGCTAACCACCGCTCTTCCTTCCAAATCGACCAGTGTATATGACGCGAAATCCTACGAACGTTTTCGTACTAAAGCAACAATCAGTTCAATTCGCTTCTTTATAAACACCCTGCGAAAAGAGCCTCTTTGTTCCCTCCTGAGTGAGGAGTAGCAAAAGAGGCTTGGCCTGAATCGCGTAAAGCCTTTGAAGTCGGCGAAGGCCGAACTCCTGAACAAGTCAATCTCGAGCTCTTTCGTTTTGAAACTGGTTTTCCGAGTGCGAGCATACGCTTATTGATAAACCGATGGCCATACGTGAGCCTGCAGAACCGAACGTACAGTTATTAGGCCTGGCTTCAAAGCTGTATCCCAGCAACAAGCAGCACATGCTCTGCAAAGACTTAACTCCATTCATGCACAGTCTTTCTTGAGAACGCCAAAGTCGAGCAAGTGAAAGAAAGGCTCTGATAGCCGGGTGCTTTATAACGTTCAGATCCCAAGGAACTAATTTACTGAAGCATTGACTGGAACATCCTTATCATTATAACGACGATCCGTACGACGGTCGATGAAAATGTGAAATGTATTCGTCGGATTCAAGTAACACAGTTCTTCGTTCCGATGCTTCACGGAAATTCTTTCTTGCCCAGCCATACACGATGCAGTTAAAGAAGCCTTGCATAGGTGCTGTTAGGCCCTGTCAACAATATAACCAATGAATGCGAATAAATTCATATTTTTAGAGAATTATCAAGGTGTATCCTACGCCCTTGAGTGCACTAAAATAAACGATCCATCCCAGTCCCTTTTAGAACCCAAGAGTACCACGTGATCATGATCTTCCCGCTATTTTAAAACAGGCCACGTGATTATGATTAAACTGCATGAAAACTTCGATTTCTTAGGGGCTGTTTACATGATATCGGAATGCCTTTCATTTCGAAATGAGTTTTATTCCAGTATGAAGTTCGTTTTGCATTCACATGATGAAATCGAACGGCTCAGCCAAAGACGTTCTGGTCAATCTCGTTCCCAGAGGCCGCAATCCTTTTGGTCAGCGACGGGGATGCTGTTCAGAACGCTGGATGAGAGTAACAAAGGCCCTGGTGACGAGACAGCGTTCTGGCTAGAGCCAAGGGTTCGAGCAGTTTTCCCACAAGATCAGATACGCTTGCGCCACTCGCCCCAGACTACAAGATTAGCGATTTTCAATCCGATATGAAGTTCGTTTTCAGTTTACATGAATAACATGATACCCGAATAAAATTTCGTACCAGAACAAGAATTTCATTAGTCGAGTTTGCTTTAGCAGAGGGAGACACTAAAAATGGAAGCGTATTTTTTTCGTCGGTCCGTCGCGAAAAGGGGGGAATGTTCCCAGGCGTCCCTAACGGAGACCGTGGGAACTGGGGATAAGAATCGTGACGACTTTCATTGTATGCAAAAGAGTCTTGTGATGAGCATGCGCTATATTTTCGGCGATGTCTGAAATGACGCATGTAAGTTGAACATGTTTTCGCTGTTTGGCAATGACGTAAATTTCCCCAAATCGAGGCCCTTGATTTTCGCGTAATTATGCACGTGTATTAGTATAGGTAATAGCATGATTAGTAGTGATATTTGGCATAAATACCACTAGTGACATTTCAAAATCGTTATACGTAATTTCACTCGCCTAACGGCTCGTGAAATTTGAGACAATTTTGAAATATCACGAGTTGTATTTATGCCAAATATCACGTACAAATCATTCTATTATTTGTTTATACTACTACCCGCAAAAGGTTTGTAATTTTCACATGTGGGTATTTCAAACTAGGCTGAAATACCACTGCTCTAAGCCAATCAAATTGCAGTAATTTCTCATGTAGTAGTATAAAAATGTAAATACCCCCAGTAGGATGAGAAAATATTATTATGGTGTATTGAAGGAACAGTATCCCGTTACTGCGCATGCACCAAACTTTGATTTTTGGACAGGATGCCGCGAAATCAAAAGATGCCAGGAGAGTAAGAGAACCTTGAAAAATCCGTTTGCATCGCGCTTGGGCGAGTTCGATACTTCACTAAAACTTCTTAGGATTACAGAAAAATGATATATTCTCCCCGTTGAGTTTCGATTTGGGCGAAATCGGGATCTTTTGGTGTTACTTTTGCCGTTGGCCGGAGGACCAAAAGATGGGCAGCGCTTTTATGCTGATTGAAGGCTTATTTCTTCTGCTAGCTTCCGTACAAGCTCAGATAATTGTGAAAGGAATACGCAGAAATGAAACAGCAACAATAGAGACTAAGAAAGAAACCATTGAGACCGTGGATCTGACTGAGGAGATCTTGTGGAATTAAGCTTCGTGAAGCAGAATGCTTTGCAACGACGCGTTCTTTTAAATGAACCTCCCTACGGCCGACAAATTAATCAAACAAACAGGCGCTACATGTTTAGAAAAACTAGTGCAATGAAATCATAATATAACTTTTCACTAACCTTTGCGATAATTCATCGCGTTGAGATTTCATTTTTATTTATATCTTTCAAACGTTTGAGACTAGAACGCGAGCAAATCAGGCAAATATTACTAAACTTGGAACAATTGACCTCTGACACGGGTTTTACATTAGAAAAGCTGTTGTTAAAGCGAGCGGAACGAGATTTTCGGGTCGCGAGGCGGCCCTACTAACGATAAAATCGCGATGCGTCTTCGTGTCGCGAGCCAAATTTTAAATAAGACGCAAAACTTCTTCGAAAGTCTAAAATATACATTACTTGAGAATGTGAACAACAAATCTCCGTCGGCAGTGCGGTCCGGAAGGAAATCTTGTCGAGTCAATATGACAGTTCTATTGTCTTTTGAAGAAAAAAACAGATGACGATCGCGCGTGCGCACAATCGGGACACTGTTCCTTTGAGGCGTTACGTTTCTCAGAATACTGTAGCAATTACTGTAACTCTACGGTTAAATAGATTCACTTTGTTGTACGTATTTAATTGGTAGATTTTCGCGGTTGTTAAGATGTGAAGTCGCGTTGCACTTTATAAATACTTGAGATATAGATTTTTCTCTAACTTCAGCAAATAAGCCTTAGAGCTCTCTAGTTTTATATCTGCAAGTTTGAAGTCAATCGTGACCGTAGAACTCGCTGCGCAAATAGCTGGTCAAATTTAAAGTTAAAATGCAACGCTAACGCATCAGCACGCATTTCTGAAGTTGACGCACAAATAGAGGAAAACTGTCGACGGACTATCTCCTATCGGAAAGGGTATTCTTACCCAAAGCTTCAGTTGCAAGAAACTGAGTAATCAGAAACCTACGGCAAATGCAACTTGATTTGCAATACAAGAAGAACAATTTTATGCAGAATGCGGGGCAAGATTAAAGAACATCTGTTTATCAAAGAAATATATGGAGATGGAATGAACTTGTTCCGGAATGAAAGTCATTCCGGTAAAATGAATGGGAGTTCCTTGAAATTGGAATTATATGAAAGAATCTATGAAAATAAACAAACTACGATCAAAATTACAATTTGACTCAACTTCTATTTTCACTGTGCGTTTTACTGTCTGTTCACTTCTAGAGTCACTTGGAAGCCGTTTTATCGAGTCTAGATTTCTAGTTGTGAGCATAAAAATTCAGATTGCAAAGAATTTTGATATAGAGTCTGGGTCGCCTGTGGTATAGTTTGCGCGTGAACAAGAAAGACATATATAGGGTAAATGTTCCTCGTTCCTTTGCCATGCACTTGAAACTTGCATCGAAACAGATTTTACCGAATCGGTAACCATTCAAAGATAGCAGTTTACTGCTTGGTGTTTTTAAAGCGAGGAGGGCTATTTTCATGCTCATAGTGAGTATTGTTAAGAACTTTTTGCTGTAGTTGCAGTTTCTTTTAAGGTCTTTTAAAACCCATAGGCTCCTTTGCCTTGAGGTTTTGACATGAAAATGGAAAAAGGCCAACACACCATAACCGGGCGAGAAACTTCCACACTGTAAAGGGTATCTGCCTTTAGTAAAATTCAACTAGTGGTCTATTATCAATGCTGCGTTCTGATTGGTTGAGCTTCTACTAGTACTAGTACTAGTTCCAACTAGTAGCGAAAAGCGCCGGCTTTCAAAACCAAAACAATGGCGGCTGAATCGCGTTTTGCTAGCTAAAGTTGTTCTGTCTCGATATTTTTGACCAACTAGTTGGATGTTACTAAAACAATTATTCCTCTCACCCTCATGGCCTCTGAGTCAAAAGCCCACTCGGCCTTCGGCCTTTCGGGCTCGAGGAATAATTGTTAGATATATCCGCGCAAGGGTATCCGTTGGGTTGGCTTTAATTCTACTTACTTGAAATACAAACAAGGTGAACCAATGTTTCACGGAGGTCAGTCTTATTCTAGGATCAATGTCACAGGATGCTACCACCAGTGCTGAGATGAAAGAAAAAACCCGATATAAATCCATCAATTTGCTTTTGAAGTAGATTAAGAAATTTTAATCAGCAGATAATGTAACTGTTTTATGCACCAAGGGAAACAGCAAAAGAATGTAAAAAAAGGAAGGAAACTTTACGACTGTAAAAAAAAGCACACTTCGCTTAGCCTGCAAGGACGTTCTGGTGGACAGGGGTGGGGAGAAATAGACCAAATAGACCAAATCCCTTCCGGTCACCCCTCCCCCTAGCCCCCATCCTTTAATATTTTCGCTCCCTTCTTGCGCGTATCTTATGCTGCTCACGTTTGGCTAAAAGGAAATTGGAAACAACTGCCACGCAGACTGGGGGAGAAGTAGGTTTTTCTCTTTCCTTTTCTCATAACTCGCGTAGCAGGTGTTTCTGTGCGGTCTATGAGCAAAGAACGAGGAACGAGAGTCAAAGACCGCGCGGAAAATGTCGCAACTAAAAGAGGGGGGAATGGGGTGGGGAAGAAAGGAAGGAAACGCTTGCAGCCGGGGGGGGGATGGGTGGGTACTCGATATATCTTTGGGTGGGGAGGTGCGGCCCAACCCCTCATACCCTGACCGACCCTGACCCTGTTTAAGACAAAAACCGCTGATTTTCCTACCCTGTTTAAGACAGAATTCCGATTTTTGATACCCTGTTTAAGACATTTAACCTGAACCTGCCTGTGTAAGACAATAATAAATATCGAAACTCTTTCTTATCAAATCCATTGGCAATCACAAAACTATTTAAAAAGATACCCTGTTTAAGACAAAAATCCCGAAAAACATACCCTGGCTGGCCCCACGTCCCCATTAAGCTCTTTCAAGGGAGTTCCCCCCCCCCCGGGACTTGCAGACAAACCCCGGGATTTTGAAAACCGCCACTTGGCCTGTTATGCCTAAGTTCGCGCATCGACATTTGATGCTGTCATCAGCTGCCATAATTGACCAATAAAATGTTTGGCCTTCCGTGGAGCGGAAATGAACTTTAGAGGACGCGTGTGTGAAACCAAAATATTTTTGTTTTGTATTTTGGAACGCGTAGACGGCGTGAAATCTCAATAAACCCGAACGATCAATGCAGGCTTTGTACATTTGTCTTTTTAATCCGTTTCCTTCCTTCTCCTCCCCCTCCCTCCTCTTTCATTTTTTGGCTCTCGTTTCATTTCTCGCTCGGTCAAAACCGAAAATCTCCTTCCTCGGTCTTTCTTCAACGCTTGCTACACAGGCCACTTTTCTCATTCCTCTTGCGACTCTCCTACCCATTTTCCCGGTTTCCTCTCACTTTATCACGACCTGAGTATCGTGCCTTCCTCAGGGATGAGAGGAGAGGAGATAATTAAGAGCCACAGTGCAAAGGAGCTGTCTTTCTTCTCGCTTCTCTCTTTCCCTCCCCTCTATCTTCCCAAAACCAAATGATACTCAGTTTAGCTCAAAGAAATCCGCCAGCTATGGATGCTATATTGGGTCAAAATTGGAAGAGTCTGATGACGATCTCTGATGAATGCTTCTTTGTCCAGATGTTAAGTACCTAGTCTGCGCAGCAAGCGCTTGGAAGTTATGGGTGCGATCTGGGGTGCGATAGAGAAAGGGGCGCCCGACGGAAACACGCGAGGGGAAAGCGACTCGCGTGTCCCCCTCGCGCACCCTGTTCTTCCTTGTGCCCATATCACTTGCTGCTACGTGGACTACAAGGACCTTATCAAATACACCGAAAGGATTAAAACTCAAAAAGACATTTACCAGGACTCCAACACACCACAAATACCAGTACATAGAGGAAAATTCTGTTTCGGATAGCATCTATGTTGGCTCGCTGGATGTCCGTTAATACCCCTGAAAAGAAAACAAAAAGCACTTCATTTAAGCGTAAATGTATTTAGCACGAAAGTATAAATAATTATTGGGGATAATATTTTACGTTTCCTACTGGAGACGGGACCGCCATTTTATGAGGTCATCCGAGTCACGCGAAGATCTAGCTGTTTACAAGGCAAAGGAAGTACCTTCATTTCTCAGTTATTTTAAGAACCTGAGTACAGTAAAACCTCGCGACTAAGAACCTGGATTTTAAGAATATTTTAGGCTAAAATTTGCCAGTTAAGCCCCCTCTATTTAAGAACCTCTTTAGCCTAAAATTTGAAACAGGTTCTTATTTTCTAAAATCCATGAAAAACTTCTGCACACTTAGACAAATATAAGATATGCCAACTGAACCACCAAATACTCTTAGCTATATTGTATATTTTTTCTTTGGAAACTAAGAACCTATTTAAGAACCTACGTACCTAAACTTGTGCTAACTACCATTTATATAAGAACGTGTTTAGGCTAACTTGGAAAAATCCAGGTTCTTAGTCGAGGAGTTTTACTGTATTGGTCTGATTTGTCCGGCTACAAGAATCAAACACTTGATCTCCCGCATTGCCGTCAAGCGCTCTACCAACTAAGCTATTCCGGCTGCCGTAATAAATTAATAACGATAATAGGACTGAGTGGAATCCAATTCGGTCTGCAATCATATGAGTAGTCCGATTTGTTTAATCACGAGTATGACTACAGACCGAATATTGGACGACACGAGGTCCTAGTGAGATCATCACCTTATCCATATATTGTCAACATATTGTTTAACATATTCACGCTCAGTCAGGAGAAAAGTACTGAATCTTTCAGGTTTTGCAACAACTGCGCAGTACTTTTAGTACGAAGCTCTCATCAGCAGGAAAAGAGTATTGTTTTACCATTTCTGTGGATGTTCATCTGTTGGAAAATATCCCGCATTTTTCTCTCCAGCTACCTCAAAAGAGGGACAAAAAGGGGACAAAAGTGTTGAGGCACTTCCATAAAAAAAAAATAGCCCCCTTTTTACATATAGTGGACATCTGTCCCCTCCCCCTGTGTATCCCCACCCCCTCCTCCCAAACCAATGTTGCATTTGAAACCCCTTGTCTTTCTTCAACTATAAACAACATTGATTCGGGGGTGGGGGTTTTTTGGCGTTAAAACAGAATGATATGATAAATGAAAGAAATTGTCAATAGAAGCGCGCGTTTTAGACAAGTGTGTCAACCACTTAAGCCACTAATATTATTGTACCTATATAGGAATAGCTCCACTCCAATCCACACGAATTAATACCACGTACGTTATAGTAGGGAGTCAGTACAAAAAGTAAAACCAACCTGAGTTAAGAACAGCCTTTCTGTAAGCTCTGAGCATCATGAAATACAAAAGCTGTTGAGAAAATATAAAACATTTTATTTAATCAGAGCTATGTTTGTTTGTATGTTGATCTAGTCGGTAGGTTCTTAACACAAAGTGCTCGCAGACTTTCTTAAAAGGATAAAATTTGTTGCATCGGTAAATAACGATCTTCAAGTAGATATACTTCTGTAAGGATTACTTAATGCATTTCTGATCAGTTTAGTATAATATAATTGTTATTAATAATTATAACAATATATATGAATAATAATTATAAAAAATAAATTATTCTATTAATAATTAATATTTTGTTAGTGTGAATACTATAAAAATGTGCAATAAAATATTTGTGGGTTGGGTTGATTAGCCAGTGCTGGTTACCATGACAACTATGTTTGCAATAATCAACACGATTACCATCAGCAGAATTAGACGAACTGAGATATTGATATTTAACTTGACAAGCTTTCCAGGGTATTATCAGAAGATAAAACAGTAGTCAGAAAAACAGCACTCATTTACAGGGAAATATTCTTCATCATCAATAATTTCTTAAAAGTTACAAAACAGTTACTTTTATTTCTAGTACACCTATTTACATTTTAATTAGAGAGTAGCTGAATAGCACTATATGAATTATTATTATCATTATTGTTAATATTATTATTAAGAAACTTTTGGAACCGTTCTGGATCCCTTCATCAGCCACCCTTGCTGTTATTTTTCTTCCTTGTTTTGATGTGCCTTACAACTTTATAATAAATATATGTACCGCTATATAGTTATTTCAAGAGAGGTTGTCAGAAAAAGTGCACGCAACAATCCCGTATTGTGGGTGGTTTTGAGTTCAATGTTCTTCAAAGAAATTTGAAAGAATGCCACGAGAGGCCATGGACTTATGTTTGTGAGTGCTAAACGAAAACAACAAAAGTAGATTCGAGAGCTACAGTGTCAGGAACAGTGTATTCATCATATCCCATATTACCTTTCGGGATTGTCACGTGCGCATTGTTTGTGACAACTTTTCACAAAATGGCTGTATATAAATGTTAATCATTTCAATACATTGGGGGGGGGGGGGCTTGCTTATATCCTGGAGGGCTTATGAATGGATGTAGTTTTTTGTTTACAGGAGATGAAAATATAACATAAGACTGGTGAGCGAACTTACTTCCATAAATGGCAAAAGGCCAATAATTTTATTTAGCCAATCACAGTGCAAAAAAATAGCAACTACTGGTTGAGCAAACATATTACAATGCTAGGATGACCAAATATTCTTACCACTAGTGTTATGATGGAGAAGGTTAGTGTTGCTGTCAAGGCTATTGATCCATACGACCACCAAGTTGATTGCAGGTTCTTAACCAGAACAGAATTAGAACAGATTGATTTAGAGAGACATGTCAGTGACAAATGTTTCAAAGTATATACATTTATTTTTATTTAATCACAACAGTTGAAACTAATTTGAATAAAGCAATTTGAATTTTAACTCATCTTTGCAACAAAGCAGTATTTTTTTTCCTATTGTCCAGTGAACTGTCAAATCAGAAACAAATCTTTCACAAAGATTACAGGAACTGATGATACATTCCAAGAAAGTAATAATTATTTTAATTATAATAATAAAATAATAATATTATTAACTTGTATAATGCCAATATGTATACAGATATTCAAAATATTCAATCTAACTACCAGGTTTATACATATTCATTTCGGCATATAGTTTTTTGAGCCAATCAATCTTTTCACTGAGAAACAAGTGAAACTAACACATCAGTACAAGATTCTAGAAAACTACCTTCCTACCGATCCCAGAAACCAACATTTACACCAACTTCTAACTTAAGGCAAATTGTTGGGTTAGGGGTGGGGTACATGGGCAGTTTCCAGAGCCTTGCACTAACCAACCTAATAAAACCAACCTTCGGCTTTTTAGGCTTTGGCCGATCAAAGAGTAACAGGCAACTGAAAAAAAAAAATTGAACATCCATGTATAGTATATAATGCTGTGGAGTATCACAGCAGATCAAGAGAGATTTTAAAGAATGTTCACAGAAAATAGCAAATGACAAATTGTACCATGCGACCAAGTTTTCTCGATACTGGCAATCTCCTATTTTGGACAGTTTTTGCCTGCTCATCTCCTAATTTGAGAATATATTGTCAACTTGAATCTTGAGTTAAGTTAGCCATTTTCTGTTAACATGATTGTAATTCTCTCTAATTAACCTGAGATCAGGCCCAATTTTAGCAGTTCCCATATATTCTCTCATGGGTAGTCCCGCTATTTACAAAGCAAAATGAAAATAGAGCCTGACCACAGGTTACCTCTACTAATACAAAGCCCAGACACCCTCCTTTGCATCCTCCTCCTTAACAGAAACCTCTGTTTTGCTATGCCGCTATGTTTCAGTTATCTCTCTCTAGCCACAAGTAATTTTTTTATCGATTGGCATAGCTTGTTTTTGCAATATTGGTAATAACTGAGGGCCTTGCACAGGCTATAATAACCCAGCTCCTTGAGTGCACGATCAGAGCCCCATTAAGCTAAGAAAACTTGGTTATCTATCCATCCAAGAAATTTTGGTACGTCTGTGCGTCCACCTGTCCGTCTGCAGTCTGCACCACAGGGAAACCAATGTGAAATGTCACACTTTTTCGCTACAGTGTGGGACCTAATATTGCACATCCATGTTGTGGTCAATTGACAGCTGTCAAAACATGGCATCTGCTGATCAGTATCATATGACCATATTTCTTGGGCTCACGAGTCTCAGGTGCCATTGAGGACACATACTTTTTTGAAGAATTTTGCTGACAAGTTTCTAGTTTTCAACTGATTGCAGGCTCAACTCCAATTAGATTTCTTTGTGATAGTTACAAGTTTATTGTTTGAAGTAAATATAAGCTAGGAGCTAATTGCTCTTAGCTTCGGCTAAATCTATAGTATGTTAGATAAGAGCAAGTTTTTGACTTCATAGCATCCTTCATGTTGAACAGAACATTATGTAGAGTTACAGTGGCATCTAAAAGATGGTATAACCAAGAAGGAAAAGAAATGGTAAACTTATTGTTAAAATTAATACAAAAGAAAAGGAAAGATAATCTATCTTACAGTGTACAGTCTTGAGGAGTCTCTTTTAAGTCACCTCCACCATTAATCAACAAAGGAAGCATTATCACCAATGGAGTAAGCCTTTGTAAAGTATAAAAAAATGCTGAAGTCAGTGATTAAGTTTTTTCTTGTTTATTGTAATAATATTAATTTTTTTTTTGTACATTACATTTTAAATTTTCAGGGAACAGCATACCATGTACATGACTGTATAATCATCACAGAATAATACATTAATCTTTATTATGCTTTTGTTGATGTACATGGTTGATATCACAATCTCGTAAATTTACTTACAATAGAAGATAAATTAAACGTAATGAGAATAATGTGCAAGCTAGGAAGCTAAATGAACCATTTGCATTTCTTGTTAGCTCCCTGAACAATTTAGGTTCTAGGTAGCAAGTGAAATCAATCAATCAATCATCTAGGACAATAAAAATTAATAACAAAGAATTCTTTTATTATATGTCACGTAAAAAATGTTTTAGGGCCAATGGCAACCTATAGTCATTGTGGGTATTATTTTTCTTATCTTTATGTACAAACAGAATAATCATAATGATAATAATAATAATAATAATAATAATAATAATAATAATAATAATAATAATAATAATAAAACTAGCACCAATACCAATAATTTTATTGCTATCAATGTTGCATGTACTACTCATACATTGACCAGGAACTCCATGCCTAACAAGCTGTTTTTTTTATGTTTCACCTGCCAGCAAGATTTAGCAAATGTATATTTTTCAAAAAAGTGTTTACTCAATATTGGGCAAACCCCTCTGAACTCCTGAAATATACACGGAGCTGATGTCACACACTTAAAATAATTTGATGCAGTAGTACAGTGACGAGTTACATATTGTTTTGAAGCAACAGGTGACTCAGTTGCACATGAAATCAGTCTCTCCTTTTTTACAAGAAAACACAGTCACATACACTTACCAGCATAGAACGTAAAAAATCCTAGAAAACCAGATGGAACATTTCTCCCGATAAGCTACCTGAAAGAATCATTATAAATGTCACGACAGACTGTGAAGTTAGGTAATGGCCTGTACTTTCAAGGCCAATATCATCAATTTGCACAGGAATATTATAGGTTCAGTTGTTACAAGTTTCCCCCAGCTATCTACAGTGCTGTCAACTCCCCAGGATAATCCGAGAGAGACCGTACCTGCCGGTCTCCAGGTTACAGTATAAAATATCCTGGATAAACATCAAAGTTTGCTTTTTCTTCAGTAGACCCAACTTTCTGACAATAAAATTTCAATTATTTTGTATTGTTTGAGCTATTTTAATGTTAACATCAAACGTTTCCTCATAAACTCTGGTACGCCATTGTAATATAATAATGTGATTGTGGGGAAGTAAACCAATTGATCAGGTCAAATGTTATAATGCAAACAACACATTTTTGCGTGTTTTGTGTCATGGCAAATTTGTGATGATTGCAGTCAACAGTTATATTTTTTTGTACAAATGACTTCATGCGCCGTGTGTTACGACATCATCTGTCATCTCTTCCATATCAATTCTAAAATTATATCTAAAAACATGGGGGGTTCACAGCCCTGTATCTGCATAGAAATGGTTCAACATAAGTCAAGTCAAGATTGCCAAGTGAACTATAGAGAAAGCCACAAAACTATTCTAGACTCCAAAATATCCCACTTGTCTGACTCTCTCTATCTAGGCAACCCCTATTGACAGTAAACTACCAAGTCCCGCAAAGATGCTTTAGGCTTGGCCATTGTTAATAATTAATCTTCTGAGGAAAGTGTTACAGGTCAAAAGTGATTTCTAGGTTGACTCTCAAAAATTTTCTTTGTCTACTAGCCCTAGGAGGCAACAAAGAAAATTGACAATCACACTAGGTTACAAAATTTTGACGAAAAATCAAAGTTGATCCGCAACAAAAGTCCCACGTGAGGGGAGGTGCTAACCATGACAACAATCATTAGTACTAGGCAGCAAGTGAAACAAGCCCAACAGAAGCACTTATACCACAAACGGCACAGCAAGGCATTTAGCAAGCCTTGTCCTAGATCAGGAATTTAAAGTAACAGTTGGGAACCCAGGAACTCAAGAATGGGAGGCACCCTGTATTGGGGTGCCTGTGACATCCCTTTGTGAGAGTTATCCCTTTTCTTTTTCTCCCCAGATGCTCGAAAATGGATACTAACCAAAGTCCATACCAAAATCCTTAACTTAATGTTTTTGAAAAAGGGTCAAATTTTGGTTTACCATTTATACATAGTTACATACAGTCTAATCTCTCCTAACTGACACCTCTCTATTATGGACAGTTTGTTTGGTCCCAGAGAGGCCAAAAATCATACATATTTCCCCAGCTAACTCTATAATACGGACACTTCTGTAAAGCAGACAATTAATTGGTTCTGTCCCTTTGGTGTCCATATTAAAGAGGTTTGACTGTATATATATTTTTTCTTGACCTCACAGTGGAGCTTGCACTGTGAGTGTTCCAGGCCTCTTGCATTGGCAAAGTTTGTTAACAGATATATAAATATTTCCGCCTTTTTGTAGGCTTGCCCCTTCCCAAACTTCCATGCTCATCCAAAAAAAATATCACTTTAAGCAAAACACAGCATGGATGTCAAAACAACAATATGCAATAATTATTCATTATTACCCTATAGCTAGGTGTAATATGGCGTGACTCCCCTCACCACCACCACCCCCCTCCCCCCCACTACAAAAAATCCTAGAAATGGTTAAGATGAGGTGTGAACATGGCACAGATTAATATTAATATAGGAAAATTGTTCTAATACATGTACTTACTGAGGAAAATGGTAAGTTGGTGATGGTGTCAGCCTTTTCTCGTAGTCTCATGTATGCAGTTAATGCATAATTTACAGTCAAGAAGAATGAGGCAAGGTGTGCCATCTGCATAAAGGAGAACAAGGGTGAAAATAACAGGTGTCAAGAATGATGCACTTTGGTTAGCCTGCGAGCAAGCTCTCCCAGGCGCTCTGGTCGAGGGGCAGGAAAAGGAAGGAGAGCTTGCAACTACATCTCCAATTCCCCCTGTGGCTCCCTGTCAAGTGAGCTGTGAGATTTCTGCCAAACAGTGCGAAGCAAAAACAAGTGCAGATGTAAACAAACATACGTGCAAAAATACGTGCCAAGGGTAATGACGTCGTTACTAATATCATCTCAGCCAATCAGCATTTCACTTCAACTTTTTTAATGCACATATTCAAATTCCAGAGGCGTAGTTGCAAGCTCTCCTCCCTTTTCCTGCCCTGCTGCCAGAATGCCCCGGAGAGCTTGCTCGCAGGCTACACTTTGGTATTTCAGATGGTTATCATGTAAAATACCCTGTGTTGCAGACATAATTACAGGGTTGTCACTAAGATTTCAAGTTGCCGGGTAAATACATCAAGTAGGCGGGGAATCAAACAGCTAGGGATTTCTTTTGGTTCTATTTTTCTTCTATTTTCCAATAAAAGTAGCCGGGGACCAGTGATCTTAGTAGCCGGGGAAAATACCCGGCCCCCGGCTGTTGCAGACATAATTATTTTAAGCCCGGTCAGTAACATCTGCAAAGCAGTGCCGATGGCCTTGTTCTGGGTCACCAATATCTTAATGGACTCAACAAAAAAAACAGAAAAGCGTTTCAAATTTCTCTTCAACCTGACTGGCAAATTGACAAGAGCATTTTTAACAGTCAATTTTAACAAATCCTGGTACACAGGTGGAGTCCCAGAACAAAGACTTCAGCACTGGTTGACAGACAGACTTAGCCAGAAAGTTTACCAAAAAAAAACACATTTTGAAGTCAAAGTCAAGCAATGTAATAAAAGAAATGGTCCAGTCTTGCAAACTTATTACAGTTAATTACAGCCTTATTCTGAGGTACATTACATTAAAGTCAAATTTTAATGTTAATAGTAAATAAATATTTTTAATTTTATGCTTGAAACTGGATAAATCTTTCATTGGAGGATCATATCATACCCCCACCAGTATTTAAAAGGGAAGTCCCCAAACGACAAACAAGAATTTGTATCACACGACCAAGTTTTCCCCTTGATAATTGTTGTTTACTGTTTATTAAAATTATTACTTCTACTCAAGTTTCATGCCAGTGTATCCATAAGAATTGTTCTGGACAGTTTATAGCTGCTTATTTTCTATTCTGAGAAATTGCCAACTTGAATTTGACATTTGTCATTTGCCGTAAACACGACTCTTAATTATCTCTCTAATATGTGCCATCAAACGGGGTGTAGTTTTTAGAGGTCACAAGTCTTATTAAGTATACAATTTTGCTATTTGGTTCCTTAATTGAATGTTTAGGTGTCCAGTCTTGCTGGACTGTATGCCTACATGCCTTAAAGAACAGGAAGTAGACCTTGGTGGTACTTCATCCATATGCGTGGTATGATCTGTGATTATTATGGAATAAGGCTCATTGACTCCAAATTAACCCTTTCAAAGCCAGAGTGAATAATAATTATAAAGGAGTTTTGCAGTGGCTCTAACTTTTGAGTCTGAGGACGAAATCTAGTGGAGCTAGTGACCATTCAAATGAAAACTCTCTACCATTACTTTCACATGGTACTATTTTTTTTTCGAAATTTTACAAAATGAAATTTGGGAATTTTTGCTGAATTTTGCCTTTGGCCACTCTTGGCAGTGAAATGGTTAAAGAAGCAAACTAGATGCATGGATCACAAAAGAAAGATCTCTTATCTTAGACTGCTTAAAGCCCCATTTACACTAGAGGAAAAAATGGGTCCAGACCCACAAAAAAGTTGGTATGCACCAGATATTTTTGCTGTGTAAACCTTCCATACCATGTTTTCATGAAATAGATCTGGACTCGGTTTTTTCTGGTTTTGGGGCCATAGGCGGCTATGGCTTCAAAACCGCAAAAAATGAGTTCGGACCACTTTTGCTGTTCAAAAGTGCAGTGTAAATGCATCTTTGTTCCATGCCATCTTCTTCATGTGAGCCTGCCGCACTTTACGGCGGTTTTGCGAATGTGTACTAAATATTGCACTTTTCAATCATAAGCCTCACCGGATTGTCACCCACGTAAACAATTGATCCGCACCACTTTTTAATGGGTCCCGACCCAGTTTTTTCTGTAGTGTAAATGGGACTTGAGAGTTCGTAGGATTCAGTAGCAGTACACCCCCAGCCAAACGTCCCTTTAGTACCCGTCATCTGAATGCTACCCTGACTGTGACATGTTTCATGTGAAAGTATCATTCAAGTGATTAGAAAAAGTCGAACATTTTTACCTCTCCAAATGCATCCAAGTAAAAGCAATCTTGATATTTGTTATGAAACCAGGTACAAGCTCCTGAGAGCCACAGAGAAGCCAGAATTAGGTCTGCTAGGGCCAGGTGAAACAACGGATGAACCTACAGTAATAAAAACATTAAGAAATAACTCTATGTTATCTCTATACTAATCCTTTAAGTCCGATATCTGACCAACATCAATTCTCTCCTGACAATATACATACAGGCCAACTCTCCCAGATACGGCACCAATCTCCCGCTCCCCCATACGGGTTACGATATCTCCCAGATAAAATCATCTTTTAAGCTTTTCTGTATCTTAGTTTGAGATTTAGCCTATTTTAGCTCAAAACTTGAATTTCTGTTATTCGCAGTATGGAGTCTGGGGCATTTTTGCACGTATTTAGTCACTGACAGATTATTTCTGGCATCAAAACAATGACTGCGAATTTTAATAGTATGTACCTCATGTAAGACTTTGTATAATGTCCTAGGTCATTCCCATTGGGGGCTAGGTCAATTTGTCGGGGTGGGGGTGGGGCGGTGTGTTGAAATTCTGGGGGGATAGTAAAAAAAAGAGCATCTCCAGATTTTAGATCTCCAGAGATGGCATCTCTGAATACACATGTAAAACACAACCAAGGGGAAGGGTTTTGATCATTACTAAAATGATGACCTACAGCATAGCAGAAAATGCTTAGATCTTATATCAAGTTCTCTCAACTGGTTCTTTAGGTAAATGTATGGAGATTTAATAGTTTGGAGAACTTCTAATTGGATATTAGGGCTTACAAGGATCAACAATAATATTTTAAACCTGCTTGATATGGTGTAAATTATGTACTAAAATAATATTTTCACAAACCTCAGGACTTCTTACAATCCTTTTTGAAAATGCATATATAAGAATTGATCCAGCTCCAACAATACTGTAACGAAACAGAAATTGCCATGATTTTAAGGTCAAACAAAAAATTTGTAGTTCTTGTAAATTATGGCTACCCTAAGAAATCCTACATGGAAAGCTACAATCTTGAACAAAACTGTTGAGAAAATTGCATACTTGGGGAGTATTATTTTTTTCTAAAACATCATAGCTGTACTGATTCTTCCCTCTCCCCCTTCCCCTGGGAGCAACGTTGTTGTGTGTTCAAAAGAAGCCTGATCCCTCGCCGTTTGTAGGAAGCAACATTGAACTGGAGGAAGAGGATTTCTTTCTGCAAAGCCGTTGTTTTGGAAATAGTTTTGTTGCGAAGGATAGTGCACATTATGAAGTAGTCTTGTCCAGGATTGTAGGGCCATAGGAGCCCTTCTCAGATATTTTTACAGTACAACCCCCCCTTTTAGTCATCTCTACTCGAGAGACACCTCCATTCAGAGGACACAAAATTTGGTCCCAGAAAAATGTTCACATAATCTTTACTTTGTTACTTCTATTGAAGAGACACCTCTACCTACTTAAAAAAGTGACTGACCACTAAAATGTTTGATAAGTTAAGTGTACAGTCAAACCTCTTAAATACAGACACTGAAAGGGACAGAGCCAAGTGTCCGCTTTACAGAGGTGTCCATATTATAGATGTAGGGAATGTATGATTTTTGGCATTTCTGGGATCAAACAAAATGTATAGAGAGCTGTTTTGGCAAATTTGGGGAACCCGATCATGGGAAACGGACAAACGATTGATGGGAATCCCGATCTATAGGCACCAGTTGCCGTTTCCGAGATAAAAACTTTTGTATGTTCCTGCATGTTGTGTTTCGAGTTTGTTGATTTGATGCGTGCCTATACACGTGATTTTCGGCGTTTTGCAGAGGTATTTCCTTCAGTCGATCGCAAACACCACGCTGCTCCATAACATTTACTCTATGAAAATTAAAAGGAGTTAAATATTACAACGCAAAACACCACTGTTCTTCGTTGATATACAGCAAACAAAACACCTTACTGAGTAGTGTGTTTTTTACTCGAAATTTCTAACAATGCAATCCAAAAACACAACCGGAACTCACTTTCTCGAAACACAGATGGATTCATAGACTTGTTACAAGTAGACCTCAACGGGTTTCCTAGCGAGCGGAGCGAGAGCAAAACCATGGATAATATAAAACCACGGGATAAACTTTTACGAAAATTTGCGTCTTTCATTCAACGATCCTAAACGCAAGGTGTAATGCGATCTGAGGCAAAAAATACCGACCAATTAGATTGTGGCCTCAGATTGTCTCCAGGGAATTTGCACAAGAACTGAAAGATTAGCGACTTTGCTGTATGTTCTGTGAGCTTGAGCATGGTGCCACGTGAAATTGCTTTCCACTCTCAGCACTTAGAAAAATCTGCACTTGACTCTAGGTGGCTGACTGTTTGACAAAAATCAGAACCTATTTTACCGGAGTGTTCAACTAAAGCAAACTGGCATACATCCGGTAAGTTCGACTCAATAGCAGAAAGACAATCGAGAAGGAGAAAACCAGTTGAACGCCTCCATCAGTCACTTTTTTGAGTTCATATGCAACCAATAAACAACTTGCAGCTTGATTCTCAGACGATGTCCTCTTCTCTCCTGTGGCAATTTAGCAGTTAAAGTACACGACATGGTAACCGGGCATGGTAACAACATTTGCATTTTGGTCGTGGATGTTCTGACTTCTATTTTTTCGTTTACAGTCCTAAACTGTTTATTCCTCCAAAGATTCCTATAACCATGCGTTTTGGGTTCTGGTTAGCACAGGGCCCAATTGATCGGCATCGGTGTGACCCGATGCCGATATTTGGACGCGTTCCCTTATGGAGATGTCCATATTATAGAGGTGTCCATATTATAGAGGTGTCCATATTATAGAGGTGCCCATATTGTAGAGGTGTCCATATTATAGAGGTGTCCATATTGTAGAGGTGTCTGTATTATAGAGGTGTCCGTAAGGAGAGGTTTGACTGTACATGAGTCACAATGGCAACAACTTTCAAAACATTAACAATCTCACTTAAATTGATGTACTGCACTTGTGGGAATTCAGCACACAACATCGCAGAGATAAATCAATTGTGATTTTTTATACATTATCTAGCTGCTTGAAATAATGACTGCAGCAGATTCCAAGGCAGAATAAAAAAATACTTTATTCGTTGGTTAATTATCAACAAACCCCAGCCTCAACCTCCATTTAGGGGACGCCTCTATTCAGGGGACACTTGCCTTGGTGCCGAGGGTGTCCCTGAATAGAGGCTCCACAGCATTCATTTTACCCAAAGAATTACCAAGGGTGCCTGGGATTCTTTCTAAAACATAATTAACAATATGTGACCCTTCAAGTGACTTGGGGGCTTATCTAAATTTCACGCTTTGCCTATTTTCACGATCCAGGCCGTGAAAGTAAGAAAAATTTTTGGAATGTGAGTGAAATTTCTCTTTTATGCCGTCAACACGCCGTGAAAAATTCACGGCTACCTTGAAAATTTCACGCAGTGAAAAAGTTTATAATGGCCGTGAAAATATTTCATGCCGTGAAAAATTTCAGTCACCGTGAAATTTAATTTCACGCCGTGAAAATCTTGCAACAGTCAAAATGAAATGTACATTGTTTTAAAAGTCTATTGTTTAGATGTCATGCAAGCCTTTATTTGCCCACATGAATGTAACATGTACTGGTCAGTACTTTTTGATTTTTGATTTTCGGCAAAACAGATGAAATCGCTTAAGAAGTGAGTCACCGAAGATTCTCTAAATTTACAACCAAAAGAAGCTTTTATCTCTTCCACGAAGTTATGCAAATGCTAGACTTCGTGGCGACAAGATGAAATTTGTAACGCATATTGCCTGATATCTTTTGGATTTATTTCATTTTTACCCTTCTGTTCAGTAACGGCAAATTTGTGAGTATAACATTTAGCAAAGAGACAAGGAACTTGAAATGGGGCATGATAAATCAAGTAGAGTTTGCACGTGTGATGGGGCTACAAAACTGTAGATAAGATCAGGCACTTCACTGCAATGCACGTCGACACAGACGACAATTATCCCGGTTTTAGGAATGGCAGTAATAGTTAGTCTTTCCGCAAAGAATTTTGTTAGGTTTCTTGAGTGAAAGCCTTGCCATGTTTGGTAAATAACTAAGCGTCTCTGACATCGACATTGGGAAAATTTGCACGTTGCGGAGAAGGAAAAAAAGAGCCAAAAGTCACCGACTGTTGCAGTTACAGACAATGTAAACAAATTGACATGAAACACACGCAGTTCCGATTGTGCATATCTAATAAAATGCTTGCCATGAACACATAAAAATATCGACAAGAAATTGTGACTAGTTTGATTGTGATTTGTGGCTTTACAGGCCTGAACGCAGAATAGTCTGAATACGTTTTTTTTATTTTTTTCATGAGCTATTTAAAACGGCTTGAATATGCTAAGAGAAATATCATTTTTTGTGTGGGATAAACTTCCACAAATTTAGCTTGACGTGACCAGGTATTCTAGTTTTTTTCCAGTTCAAAAAGGGGCAAGAAAAAACACACAAAAAAAAAAAAAACAGGTTAGATTTCATTCACCCTCGACATGTTTCACGGCGTGAAAATGTGTTCACTCTTAATTTCATGGCGTGAAAGTTTACATCGGTTAATAATCACGGCGTGGAAGTCTTCGCCGATCTGTCGCAACATGATTAGTTTCACGCCAAGAGTGAAAAATTTTCGCATGGAGTGAAAGGGTGTGGAATTTGAAATTCACGCCGTGAAAACTCTAATTCACGCACCGTGACCGTGAAAAAAATTCACGGTTTTTAGTGAAATCCATAAGCCCCCTTTTTGCATGAAGGGTCACATATTATAATTCCAGTGTTGGAAGTGCATTGGATATGAGATGGTAGATAGCAAATGATGCACGTAGCGGTGAGTTGGCTATAATCATCTGATATCCAACAAGCGCCAGTGGAATAATTGTTTTAATAAGAACGTCCACAAAATATGGAGAATTCTTCCCAACTATATTGGTAAAAACAACCAATTTTCAGCTTGGTTTTAATTTTGAGCAGACGCGAACAGTTACCATATTTGGAGAGCATGGTATAATGGCTCATATACCATGATGGTTAAGCCAATCAGGATTCTAGAATTGCATTATCCAGTGATTCAGTTTTTAATAAAAGCCAATAGTTCAGGGTGAAGCTGTGACAATATCAAACTGAGAGCATGGCTTATTTCAACCAAGGTATTTCAAAACTGGACCTTTCGTGAACAATGGTACTGAAAATTGTGATCACACAGCATCTTATATGAAATGTAATCTGATACCTGTTTTCGTAGACTTCACTTTGTCTTATCATTTATTTTTGAAAAATAGCTTGGGTCATTATACGTTACTGGGAAACTGCCCACATACCCCTCCCCTAAACCAACATTAACACTAAGAAGAATGTTGGCTTAGGGGAGGGGTTGGTGGGCAGTTTCCCAAAAATGTATATTAATGATCCAATAGCTTTGGTCTACATGAATTTACTAAGAATTTTCAATTTCTCCTACAGTACTTATGTTATTTTTCTTCTCCTATCAGTACTTAAGTTGTTTGTTTTTCAATCTCTAATTTCTAATAAAAATATTTAGAAACAAATAATTCAAATACAACCCATCAAGGCCATAGTTCTCGGGACGACCGAGCACAAAGAACAGAATTCCGGACGCTGACCACTCGGCCACGCTGCCTTCCTAATTAGTTCTGAGAACAGAATTCACAAGCGTGAACAAAAAAATCCACCAGCCCTAAGCTATCGCACAAGACCTTTGCATGCTGATATCAAGACAAGTGTAGTACCTTAGAGATGATGTCAGAATATAAATCACGGCAATGACAGTTTTTTCCTACACAGAATAACAAAAGAGAAAACAAACAAGTAAAAAAGTGAGTTTACTATGGTGGATGACAATCTACACCTGCTAAATTACAACTTAATATAGAGCAATATTCAAGAAACTTTCCAATATATCAACAAGAGTTAATGCTTGGAAAACTTTATGGGAGAGATTTCCAATAAATCTAAAAACTGTTGAGTTTTGGAAATGTGAAATATTTGACCATACGAGAACAATTAATCAATGGGATGAAATTTCAAGGTAAAATTTTTTCAAAAAAATTTGGATTGCCTTGCAAAGTTGTTCTCTCTTGTTCAGTGCAAACTGGTAAAAAAATCAAAGCTAATGCATGCAAAATGTAAGCAACTGTTCCATTCATCAACTTTCAGAATTTTACACTGAAATTTTGAACCACCCCTTCTGATTTTGGATACAGAAAAGTGGGGGCAGACACGGGTGTGAAAGCCCAGGAGAATAGGGGTTGGAAGGGTTAAGGGAGGTATTAAAAGAGAGACAAGGGCAGGAGATGGGAGTTTTAAAAGAGTGGGAATTGGGAGAAATAAGAAGAAATCATGCAACAATGCTTAATATTGTGCAATTGAAAAAGAGCTGAAGGGAGGCCAAGAAAAACAGGTTGGGGGCGGGAAACCAAGGTACAGGAGTTGGGAGGTTTGAGCCGCCTGTCCTTCACCAAAAAGGTAAATGAAAAATCTTGATTACAGGTACTATCTCACTGTCAAAACATTCACTGGTCTGTGAATCTTTTGGGATTTAAAAATAAAACATTAGGGATAAATCAAGAGAAAAGCTTTTGGGGCTAGTTGAAATGACGTCTGGGCTAGTAAATGCTAGCTTCAGCTTGCCCTAATGGCAAGCTGTAAAAAAGATTTTCTTTGCACCCTGAATTGAGATTCTCAGGGAACAAAATTAACTATTTCCCTTGGGACCAGTCATTGAGTGTTTAGTATTGCACTGCACTGGCAATTAGTAGATGAACATGGTAAAATTAGACTTTGAATAAAAATCAAAGCTTTCAGTTTAATGCAAATAGATTAGAGGAAATATATTTCTGCTAAGTTGATCATATGCAGTGTAGAAATTATGCCAAATCAACAACATACCTCTTTGTTCTCATGTGGGCTAAAAATACAAATGAGTTCAGGGGTCTCAACCGATGAAAAATTGACTTCAGCTGAGCTCGTTGAATCACTACTTGATATCATTGCGTTTGTTAATTCCCTTGAGATGTGATTTGTAAACATGAGGGATTAGCCTGTCCGATGATCCTCCACAATTTACTAGCTTTTCAGTTCAGAGCTAATGCCTTTAAACATCGCTACAGACCTCGCGCTTGTCACAACAAGCAGTGCTGTTTTAATATAAACTTTACGTCATGCAGACTTCTGCATGATTAGGATAATTAGCTTTCCTTGGTCGCCATTTTCTTTTCCATTGCTCCCCAGGTCATCCCGGTACAAACAAAACTTTTGGCACTGGAAGATACCGGTGGCACTTTTGTCAACAGCACTATCGATAAAGTTATCAAACATGGCCTCAGTTTTTACTCGAAACAGTACATTTTTATCGATTCTAATGCGTTTAAAGCTCCATCAGAGGTCTATTCACAGACTTTTTGTCCCTAAGTGTGAAAACACTGACGAAGAAACGGCAGCAGTTGTCAGAAAGCTTGACGATTTCATAGCCCAAAGTCGTAACCTCTTTGTTTTGACTGGCGCTGGGATTTCTACTGAATCCGGAATAAGGGATTATCGGTCAGAAGATGTCGGTTTATATGCTGTAAGTGACAGTCGACCAATGCAATACCCCGATTTTCTCAAAAGTGCTGCGAACAGAAGAAGGTATTGGGCTAGAAATTACGTCGGATGGGAGGAATTTTCGTCCAGACAGCCAAATGAAGGCCATTTTGCTCTTGCAACTCTGGAGAAACTGGGCAAGGTTCACTGGCTTGTAACGCAAAATGTTGATGCTTTGCACTTTAGAGCTGGTTCACAGCGTGTTTCGGAGCTTCATGGTAGTGCACACAGGTATATTCTAAATGTATTGCTAGAAACAGTGTTACGTAACCAGTAGCCCAGCGCCGCACAAATGACGTCAGATCTAAAGTGACTATGGATTTGCAATGTTTGGGTGACTTTTGTCATTTTTGTTTTAAGGACAAACGTCAGAAAAAACGTGAACTTTTAATGAAAAAACATAGACAAAAGTGAGGAATTTGCTAATTCGCCACTTTAAAAACGAGAAGGAAAGCTGGGGATGCGCTATTTAGCTATCAAGGACCGGTCATTATTTATCGTCTGGGGGGGGGGGGGGGGCCGAAAACAAGGTGAAATTTAGCTGATCCCCCCTTTGAATGTACTTCACTGAAGTGATCCCCCATAATAACATTTGATGACTTTCGTGATCCCCCCACCATGTCTTCATTTTCCAACCAAATTTGAGTGGTCCCCCCTCTGAATCCTTCCAAAGTTTTCAGTGATCTCCCCTTTTGGGTTCTCAGTTTCGACTGATCCCCCCTTTTGTCCCCCCCTCCCCCCAGGTGATAAATAATGACTGGTCCCTTGGCCCATTTGTTTGCCCTGGTCCCAGTAACAGTCCCGGAAGTCTTTGCGAAAGGTAACTTTGCCCAGTTCCCTTCTCGCATTTAAAGTGGCGGATGTTGATTTTGATACCATGAAAGTCCGAAAATAAGCCCCAGGGCTTATAATTTTTCTAAGGCCCTTTTTGAGGGGCTTATACTCGGAGGGGCGTGTCTATGGTGGGAAATTTGCATTTCAAAATTGACTGGGCTAGCCTTACAGTTGGAAGGAAATTTACCGTTTTTGCTTTGTATTACTTTGCATTTGAGGGAAATTTCCAAGTACAAACCCCGAGGGGGCTTATATTTGGAGGGGCGTTTTAGTGGATGTTTTTTTTGCGTTACAAGTTTGGGGGGCTTATATTTGGAGGGGCTTATACATGTAGGGGATTATTTTCGGGATTATATGGGCCCTGGCTTGAGACTTGGGGGAATAAACCAAAAGAAATCATCTTGAGGCTCAGTAAGGGTAACAGTGTATTTTTCATCTTTGCATAAAATGCAAACAGAAGGCTAACCTTGTATTTCAACTAGGGATGATAATTTTGGCTGTATTATTTTAGTTTGTTTATTACATCTTATTCTTTTAAGGGTTATCTGTCTGGGATGCAATCAGCTAAGTTCACGTCATGACCTGCAAGTGAGGATAAAAGAACTTAATCCAACATGGGAGGCCACTGCAAGTGGCCATGCCCCTGATGGTGATACTTTCCTTACAGATGAAGAAGTGCAAGACTTCAATGTCCCTCCTTGTGCTAACTGTGGTGGAATCCTGAAGCCTCAAGTGGTTTTCTTTGGAGATTCAGTGCCAAAGGAATTAGTTAACTTTATTCATGAGCGGTTACTGGAATCCGATTCATTACTGATCGTGGGGTCATCAGTTGAAGTTTATTCCTCTTATCGTTATGCTCATGCTGCTTGGCAACAGAACAAGCCCATAGCAATTCTGAACATTGGTGTAACAAGAGCTGATAAATTAGCATCAATTAAACTGTCAGCCATTGCTGGGGATGTTTTACCGAGGCTTGTAAGTTTGTCAGTTGGTTCTAAAGAGAGTGTGCCGAGGGAAACATAACAAACAAAAATGAGCATCTCTCTTTGCTGAATGGAAGTGATCAAGCCTGGTTTTCTTCCGGTTAAACCGGCAAAACATGGACACTTGAAATATTTCAGGAACATTTTATTGTGTTAGACCAATCACAGCAAAAATCAGGACACGCAAACTAGCCACAAATCTACAAACTAACATTCTTGCTTGTTGTTTAGTTTGCCATGTCCAATTAGCTTTTTTCTTGCAACACAACAACATTCCAGTAATATTTCTGGTGTTCACAGTTTTCGCGGTTTAACTGTAAGTTAACTGAGAACATCTTTGAGAATTGGGAATTTTACTGTTTTCTGGCCGTCTTGTATAGTATATAAATTATTATATTATTCATTCCTGATCCTTCAGAGATTTGAAGGAATCTAAAATTTGGAAATTATAATTTGGAACAATATTCTATTTATTCTAAGGTGTGTCAGATTTCTACAGTGGTGGGCAATGGTCAGTGAAACTACTGTTTAATAAAATATACAATAGAATTTACAATACTTCTTCTTGTTTTATTTGGACTTTACAGGATTGATGTGCGTTTAGCTATCAACCAGTTGAATTAATATAATTTTAGCTGCAATGTCAGTATATTGTTTGGGCAGGCAAAGGCTGATTGTTTAACATGTATGTTTAGGTTGCTAAGGCCACCATCTTTGACTTTAAAACAGAGGAAGATTGGGGAGGAGAAACAGCAGTAATGACCCTTTGGGGTGGGCACAAGGGAGAAAGAAGGAGCCAAGGAGGTGGGGGAGAGGTGGAGAAAAAAGGCACCTTTTTTCCCATCTTCTCTCTGCACCCCCTTTGACTCACCGCAACTCTTAGCCTGTGTCACAGACGTGATCGAGCCCCACCTAGTAACAGCTGTGAAGCAGCACCAAATCCTTTTTCTGGGCTCCAAATGGACTTAATGAGTAAATTGTACTAAAAGTGCATTTTGAATTTCCCTTCAACCTAAATGGCAAATCGACAATGGCTTTTTAAACAGGCCAATCATGGTGCATATATACGAATCCTGGTATACAGGTGGAGGCTCAGAACAAGGATTTTGGCCCTGGCTCGCAGATGGACTTTAACCCAAGCTTTAGTTATGTGTGTCACAGGCTACCCAACTCCACAACTTTTCCAGAATTCAACACAGCAGTTGTGTATTCCTAAGCTGAAACATTTGAACGCCCAAGAAAAATTCCTCCACTGCACACTACTATATACTACTTGCGTCTTTACGGCTTTATATTATTTAAGTGTAACAGAAGAAGTTGATACAACTGTTGCACAATATCTTTCTTGTCACTGCACAAAAAGAGTTCCTTGAACAAATGCATTCTGCTAGAAAGATCTGATACCTTCACCTGAAGAAGGTAACATAAGCAATGTGTGCATAGCTGTGGTGAATTCAAGCGAAGACCGAGGTTGCAAATTTGCACAACACTGCTAGTGTCAATTAAGTTAATGAGAAACTGCTCACAGACTGTTCTCAAACTGTCCAGCATGAATCTGTCTGAGAAGGCTAGGAGCTGTAAAAGGAATTCTAGTCTAGTGTTTGCAGTTTGAAGTTGACTGACATTTCTTTTCAACACTTGACAGCGTGAAACAGAGGAAGAAGCTTCCGCAGGTTGTTTGCTAGAAGCAATTGTACAGCCATATATGTGATGCAAGGCAAATTCAAAGACATTTGGAGAAACATCAGAAATCTGTATAACAGCCTGTGTAGACTCCAAATAACGATATGATAACATCGCTGTGAAATAATTAGATGCCATTTCCATTACTTGCTTGTGAGCGCTGATTATCGTTCCATCATCCATCTGGAAGTTCAAATCACAAGAAACAAGGGATTTCTCCTCATAAAAACATGACATGCTGTTGTGGAAATCAGCGACACATTTCTGTTTAACTAAACAACTGGGATCTTTTTTCATATACTTGAGTTCATGCAATTTGCCCACGTTTCCATCACAATGAACTGATCCATGTGGTTTGGCTGAATCCTTGCAGACAGAAGATTCACTTGATCTTCTGGAAAGACTTGCTTCAGTATCAACTGGGAAAGTTACATGTAAATCATTTGCCAGAACTATCAAAGCTTCTATAGCAGTTGTGAAGGTCTCACTGTTTGCATGAGCTGACATAAGCAGATCACAAAACTTCAACAATCCTTTCCTTTCCACAAGCATCTGCTGTTTCAGTTTCTTGGTCCTGAAAAGGAGTCAACAATAACTGTAACTATAAAATGGTGAAATTCAAATACATGCACATGACTTTATGAACTTGAATTAACGTAGTCACCCGCCTCAAACTGCATTATCTACTCATCATTTTTACCCTAGAGATTAGAGGGAAGGGAGTTCTTATAGGCTACCGGTAGTTTTGAATTGTTAAAATTTTCTCATGGCTGCAAGGTTAAGAAGTATAAAACAAAAGCAACTGCATTGAGATTCAGGGATCAAAAATTCATTTCTTTTGTTTTATTGCCCTCAGCCTTGGAAAAAAGTATGAATTTTGATAATTTGAAACTGGCCTATTGAGATGGTAAGATAAAGGACGGAAATGACAGGGATAACCATGGCCTTGAGTGTCTGTCTCCCATATCAAGATAATTAGCCGATAGAGTGGTTAGAGAAAACAAAGCATCTCATAATTTATTGAAATAGTAAAATAAGGGATCAAGGGAGCCCTCGTAATGGAATGGTAGGGGGATAACTATGACATTGAGTCTCCCATATAAAAAAATTAATAATTAACTGTAAGAGTGATTGGGCCAAACAGGCATCCTATATTGAAATGGCAGGGTCATAGTAGCTGTCGGAGTAGCCTCCCCGCAGACGTCCTTTGGGGTAATGAATGCGTGACAAACGAACCCCAAAGGACGTCTGCAGGGAGGCTACTGTCGGAGGGGGTGCCAAGGGGTTTCCAAATCAAATCTGAATGTGATCATATTGGAAAGGAGCTGTCCCCATAATAATAAGATGGTATCATCACATCTAGCTGTGACAAGAGTCTGCCAAATGAAAATAATTTTCCTAAAAAAAATAAAAATGAAAATAATTGTCATTTGGGATCATTGTGGAAAGGGATCTCCAATACTGTAAATTGCATTTTGGGACTTCAAGGGGTTTTCTTGCATTAAAAGGGTTTAAAGGTAATTGTTGGAGGGATGTCCTATGGTAGCTGTAGGAGGACTTCTCTTATATTAAAACACTGTAGTAGGTTGTGGTATCAGGATCATAAGTCAAAGGAATGATGTGCTAGCATCAGGGAGACCTATTAGCAGAGTGCAAAGAAAGTACATGTGGTGTCCAATAGCCTGGGGCTAGTAGATTTGCTATTGGGCCAGTGAATCCTCTTCTTAACTTGCCCAATGGGCAAGTTGGGAAGTTCAAATTACAGAGGAACTGTATTAAATCGGTGCTCATAAAAAAATCTCTTTTGGGGGCTAACTGAAATGACTCAAGGCTGTGCTCTAGCAATGCCCAGTGGCTCCTGGCACCTAAACTTTTGCTTCCAGGCAACTAAAAGTCTTAGATTTTTCATAGAATCCATGTGCTGGGCAGTACCCTGGAATTCACAGATTAAGAGCACTGAGCTCCCTTCAATTTTTCTTACAGCACAGCCTTGTGACTTTTTGGCTTAGGTGTACAAGCTACTGTAGGTACAGCTTGACTGAATGGCAAGCTGTAAAACTGACTTTCTTTACACCCTGAATAGTCTTGTTACCTGCATAAGAGAGGCAAGGCCAACACACACTCTTTGCACTCTTCATTTGATCCTTTAAGAAGCAAATTTTCAAGGACACCTTTTCCAAATGGAGTTTCCGCTTGGCTTGAACAAACCTCCAGTAACTGTTTCCCAGTTTCTTGACAGTAGCTTTGGGTAGCAGAAGATGCACAATGGTATGATTGACAATCATCAGGTTCAGAAGCTTTGTGTTGTTCAGAAGTACTGCATTCATGTCTGAGGTCAAGCAAGTTTGTGCAAGAGCTATGGCTGTCGCATAATACATGATCAGAAACTCGAGTATCCTGGTTTGCTCCTGTGTTCTCGGTCACTGCTGCTGCAGTTTCTTGGTTTTCATAATACATGCAGCACAGCTCATGGTGAAATGCTACAACAGCTCCATTCACAACTAAGGCCTTAAAACACAATGGATTTGACACCAAACAGCTAAGAACACGTGCACACTTAGGACCAGTATTGTCCACTACATGAAGGTAATGCAACAAAGCTTGAATACATGGTCTGTTCACCAGAAGAGAACTAGGATCAGCCATGTGGGAAATGCGAAATAACAATAACAAAGTGCTGTAACCAGGGCTACGATGGTGATGACTTCCTCCATGTGTCCTTGGTGATGGGGGCTGAGCAAAACTTCCATTTGTCATAAAGTTAGGAGTCTTAGTGACTGCACTTTTGCCAGGCATCATCAATGAATATTTTGATTCAATACTTGTGTTTTCCTTTTCAATTTGCACAATAAAAGGATCCTTTGATTGCTCACCAGTGCTATTGCTTGAGAAGGATTTGTTTTGTGATGGCGACATTATTTGGCTTGACGACAATACACTGGGATAACTAGACATCAACAAATTTGTACTGTTACCAGATGATGCCAGAGATGATATACTACAAGATGACGTACACACAGACACCAGTGATGTTGTGTCTGTCTGTCTTGACGCAAAACTGAATACAGACTTTCCAGATCCTACAGTGCACAAGCCAGGGGGAGGGGTAGTAGGAATGGGTGATGGCTTTAGTTTCATTCTTCTCTTAAAATTTGAAAGTCTGCCACTTGCTTTAGAGTCTGAAATATGGATCTCCCTTGCTGTCTCCTCAAGTCTTTTCAAGAAACTTTCATCCATATTCTCTGCACTTGCATCGAAAAATGTTTCTTTAATGCTGGCTGCTCTTGGGGAGTCTGACGAAATGTCTGAAGTGAAAGACAACGGGTCAGAAAAATCATCATGATGATCTTCTAACTCATTCTTTGATGGCAAGTGAGATAGAATCCTCTTAAAGTGACGCAGAAGAATTGGAACAAGATCTGCATTTATGAGAGTTTCCAAGGCTGGCTCACAATAATAAAACCAGGTAAAGGCATTTACAATCTTTTTCTCCAGAGACAATGTCATCTTCCCTGAAGACAAGATCTTCAGAAGGAGTTCTAGTGCGCCAGATTCACACACTCTTCTGCGATTAATAGCCTCTCTGCAACAAAGACAAATTCCTTCAATCACCTTGGCAGTGACATGACCTGGCTCTTCTCGTTTAAGCTGCTCAGTTAGTGCTTCGATCCCCCCTTCGCTTCCGATACAAACACGCACTTGCGAATGGAAAGATAAGTTTGCCAGCATCAAGAGAGCTGAATGCCTCACTTGCCCATTATCACTGTTGGACAGATCAACAATGATTTTAACACCACCATATTCTTGTACTTGCTGAGCAATTTCCTTGCTGCAACCTTTAGTGAGTTCAGCCAAAGTTCTGATACAGCAGTTCACCACAGAAGGTTTGTTGGACTTAAGAAGGTCCACAATGGTCTTCATGGCATCCAAATCCAAAACAGCTCGTTTTCTTTTTGCAGTTGTGCAGACCATTCTTACTGCTCGTAACACTGACACTTGGCAGTCACTGTCAGAAGTCTTTATCAGCAGCTTCAAAAGTGCAGGAATAACTCCTAGCTCTTCCATAACAAGCACACTAAGCTCATCTTCAGCAAGATTGGCCAAAGCTCTAGAGGTCCGGTTTAAAATGCTCATTTTCTCTGCTGTTGTCAGCACACCAGCTGTTCAAAGAAGGTTGAAAAATAAGATTTAAACAAGGAAAACACTTACTTGATATGCATTCAATGAAATATGTCCAAAGTAAATTATTTTTATCAGACTGTACAAAGGGTGCCACCTCCTCACGCTTTTTATTCTATTTTTTAGTTGGTTGCTAACAAAGGTATACCTGCCAACTCTCATGTATTATTTGTGAGTCTCATGCATCAGGGACAATTTCTCTTGCTCTACTCACAAATCTGGTCGAATTGTTTTTTAACACATGATAAGGGACCATTCATAATTTATAGGTTGGGGGGGGGGCTATGGGGATTTTTTCCTGCCCCCCTCCCCCTATGAGAGCTTGCAGACAAGGGTGAAATACCATGACCCCCCCTCCCTCTCTCTCTAACTCATCAGGTTCTGAATCTGACTCAGAATCTGATGAAAGTGGGTACAATTGGCCGCTCAATACAACAAAATTAATACTAGTAGTGGTTGAAGAGCCACAAGCTTCCTCCGATGACCACAGGTGTCAGAGTCTTCCAGGTTGACTAGAAGGTGTTTTCATGTTTTAAGGGAATATATTTGCCAGACTTTGTGATGTAATGTAACAAACAAATAGAGGATAATTATTACATGGCCACACAGAGAAGATAAAATTCGTATCTCCAAGTGGACATGTTCTGTTAATCATCTTCAATGAAATACCAAATAATATTTAACTCTTTATTCAAGGTGTCAGCATTATCACAAACAAATTCGGACCAAACACGGCATGCATTTGCGAGGGGTATCCATGACAACATGTTATTTTCACATGTGAAGAAATCATTTTTTTGCATGGGAGATCAACTGATATTTCATCGGAGTTTATAATTATATAAACATCAATCTCCTATTTCAGTCTCCTAATTTCACTCTGTTAAATGTTAAAAAGCGCTCAGATTTCACTTGGCATTTATCAATATCTTCTTTGAGTGGACCCAAAGTTTATTTGTTAAAATAAGTCCCTAAACCGGGTCGATTATCAAAGTAAGTTTTAAGTGCCCCTCTATACAGAGTACCAATTGAATTTTGATGGCTCGCCCTAAATGTTTTGGATGAAAATTAATGCCCCCCCCCACCTCTTCAAATTCCCATAGCCTCCCCCAAACCCATGAATTATGAACGGTCCCTAAACAGTGAAAATTCAATTCAATTCAATTCAATTTCCACAAAAATGTTCCAAAGAGACATTGAATGATGACTTTGTGTCCAAACAAAATCAAAACACGCCAAAACTGTAATCTTTTAAATAGCTTCCGAAGTGTTCAAAGGTTGTCAGAACATCTTTGTATGTTTTTCAGAAATCCCGTTCAGGAAAAGGTGCAAATCTCATGCATTCAACTAAGAAAAAGTTGACAGGTAAAGGCAAATCTTTGTTTACACTTTTTGCCTCATTAACACATGCTTATCACTATCTGGTGATGCTAATAAAATAAAAACTCTGAACATTGAAAGGGCATAAGAGTTTCAGTTATCTCTGAAAATTTGTCAGCCTAATACACCAAATAGTTTCAGACAAATTCTTTTCTCAAAACTCCAAATTTTACAGAGAATGTATGGCTTATTAACTTTTTTGCCACCCAGCAATTTCGCATTTTTTGATAGCTGATATTTCCTTCAATATTGCTAACTTAATCAGCTCTTTCAACTTTTGCATTTATTTTATATAATCCAGCCACGGCTTCTGTGAGTTAAGATTAGCCTATACAAAGGTGAATGTGAATCCTGCGACAAAGTGCAAGGGACCATGGAAAAGAGAAAGGGGAGATGTGAACTACTAAGCCACTTTCTACTGTCCTTCCAACAGTCTCCTTTGCATGCAAATGTACTTTGCAAGAGAGACAAGTGGGAGCAATACAGGTACAAAGGGCAACTGGAAGTTTAGAACATGAAACTTTGTCTCATTGTTTTTTTTCAAAATTACTTTTCTTCCTAATCCTGTTGTACCCGCACAAAAATGACTGATGGTTGATCAGGCAGAATCTAGAATTGGAGCTGCGCGTGCGTGGGTGGAGCCCCATAACTAAGGTAATCTACCCATCCCAGAAAATTTGACCGTACACCGAACAAACGACCGTCCGTCCGCACCACAGGGAAACCAGTGTTTACTCTTACACTTTCTAGCCAGTTTGGGAGTCCAAGAGAAAACTAATTGCACATCAATGTTGTGATCAATTGACAGCTGTCAAAACAGGGTATCCGCTGACCAGTATCACCTGACCGTACCGCGGGCTCAAGTGTCGACCCATCGAGGTCGAGTATTTTTTTGAAGTTATCCGTTGACAAATTACCAGTTTCAAATGATCGCAGGTTCAAGTTTATTTTTTCCAATGATTCATATGAAATATGTTGTGTTTATGTCACTACGGCCCCGCACTATTAAGATTTTGATTTCAAACTGACCTCGGATGCAAAAATTCAGCCAGTTTTTTAAAAATACAGGCGGGGAAGACCTTTTCTTACCATGGGCATGCGTTGGTCACGCTCTGCGTCCAATTTTTATACTCTGATTGGTCAAAATTTGACAGGTGAGTTAATGCGGAAAATTTATGCAGCATTTTGAAAGTTGTTTATTTTGACAGCTTGCGCTGAAGCTTACAGAGTTTTGCTCTTTTCGACCCGTGATGGCTCAATCCGTACAATTTAGTAAAATATTTGTCAAAAAACTGAACATAGATTTGTGCCAATTTTTTTCTCATCGAAAGGAAGCACTGTCCTTATTAAAATCATGAAATAAAAAATGGGGGTCACCGTACTCGTTTTTGCGGTAGAGCTGCAGAAAGTGCGCACCAAACGCATTTTCTCCAATTTTTGAGAGAGGACTGGGGCGAGTTTCAAAATAGAATGTATGTGAAAGGGGGAAGAAAGTATTAAAAAATCCGTTTTTACAGAATTTACATCGAGATATCACATTTAGGACACAATGTGATAAAGAAAGTGTCCAAAAGAAAATCAAAGTGAGTAAGCACAAATTAAACATCCACTATCGAGGTTCTCCGAGAGGACGTTGAACTCAGCAGCACGCGTACTGCTTAAGTTATGCACATTCCCAACACATTGAGTCTCACCTCGGTAAGAAACAACAGCAAGCAAAAATTCCAATTGCGTTTCTCTTCAGTCAACTTCATTTTAATCAGGGTTGTCATTAAGAGCCGGGGGCCGGGGATTTTCCCCGGCTACTAAGAGAGTAGCCCCCGGCTACTTTCATCGGAAAATAGAAGAAAAATAGAACCAAAAGAAATCCCTAGCCATTTGATTCCCCGCCTACTTGTTGTATTTACCCGGCAACTTGAAATCTTAGTGACAACCCTATTAATAATATTAATTCACATGCTCTTTTTTTACGGCGGCCATCTTGTTATGCACAGTAAGAGATGCGCAGTGCAAAACTAGGGAATCACCTTAAAAGGCCTTCAGATATATTTTCTCGCCGCAAATAGAAAGACAACGTTCTGAAGAATATTTAGTTATAAATTTGGCTGTAGAAAGAAACCTTCGAGGAGTTCATCTTTGAAAAAAGCAAACACCGGGAGGCCGGCTTAAAGTAAAACATAATTAACTTAAGCTTAAAGACTCAGGATTTTTAGACACACTTTAATACCTGTCTACGTGAATGAAAATTGTTGCCTCTGTAAATGTTTCACCGAATTATATTTCTTAGTAGTCTCTCTTGCAATTTTAATCGCTTGTACGTGCTGTTTGTTTTCATCGTTCATGAACATCGCTTGCAGGAGTACTCAAAAATGTCGCGCATATGAAACGCTTTATAAGATTACACATCGTTATAACTGAAACCATTAAATAACAAAAAACAATAATGGTAAATTCGTTATTATGTTGAAGCGTAACTCTATTAAAGTTCGTTCAAACACTCGAGCACACTGACAGCTCGCACTAGAAATGAGAACCGGCTGGCCGTATGGGTGATTTTGGAATTTTTTTGAACGGTTTCGCTAAAAGCCCACGATTGATCGTCCTGAATATTGACTAAGTGCAATTTGTCTTGAAAAATTGTGAAATGCCGCATTCTGTCCAAGGCCTGTATGATAAATAGTATTGTTTCACCTCAGATGTGATGTATAAAGAGTATAAAAGGTTGGTTTACACACCCCCAGATTTGTTGGCAAGAATTTGTAAAGTAAACCTATCAAACGCAAAAAAATTCGGCCTGATTTGTTTTGCAAGAATTTGTTTACGAGGCCTAATCTACTGTGATCAAGAGCCATTATGGCTCTTGAGTGTGATTGAAGATGTTTGCTATTTTTTGGGTGTACATATCACCCGGCATAGTAAATCGAACCCAATCGAACTAAATTTCAATCGAACTCAATCGAACTCAATTGAACTCAATCGGTGGATTGAGTTCGATTGAGTTCGGCAATCGAACGAAATCGAACTCACCGAAAAGAAAAAAAATCAATCGAACCCAATCGAACGTTCGATTTTCGAACTCGTGATTTATGTAAAACAGACGTTGAAAATCCATTACCAGATCTTAGAAGCTCGAGTTACTTCAGCCCTGAGTGTAGCGCACGTGTTTTTCGTAAACGAAGAAATTCCGCAGAAATGGCTTCAGATGCGTTGTGGATCGTAAGCTTCAAATGTATAGTCAAAGGCTACCAGGAATGCCGCTTTGACGTCAAGGATGGCGAAGTTTTCAGGGTTTTAAAGAAAATAGGCAAGAAAGGCCGTGCCTTCCGAATTGCAAACGACCGACGACTTAACTGCTGTGGACAGTTTATAAATGGGATTTGTTATTGAATAAATGGTAACGGGCTTGCTTTGGGCTTGCTTTGTATAGGTTTACCAGAGCCAATCGAACGAAATCCATTTAATTGTGTTCGATTGAGTTCGGAAACCGAACTCAATCGAACACAATCAGACGGATTGAGTTCGATTGAGTTCGATTTGTTCGATTGAATTCGATTTGTTCGGAAATCGAACTCACTGAAAGTGTGGTGTTCGATTTCGTTCGATTGCCGAACTCAATCGAACTCAATCCACGGATTGAGTTTGATTGAGTTCGATTGAGTTCGATTTTCGAACGTTCGATTTACTATGCCAGGATATAAGGCTATCAACTCGATGTAAGAAATAACTTAGCCTTTCCCTCAAAAGTCACATGAATGTGCCCTTAACTTAACTGAATTGTGGATCACAAGTTTATTGTTTGATTTAAATTATAGATTTATTAATGGGAGCTTCGCTTTTAGCCCTGGCTAAAGTATCGTATGCTAAGGCCGGTGATCTCACAGCAGGGTTTTTTTTTCCAATCAAATAATTATTATCTGTAATCATAATACTGCTGGAAAATGAAAGCGCTCTAACTGTTTTATTTGCGAAGTCATTTTCCGTTTAGGGTCCCTATAAACGACATAAACAAAGGATCATATTAAGTAATTAAGCTTAATTATTCATGAATATTTTATTAAATCACTCACCAAGTGTAGCGATGCCGTCCAATCTTCTTGCCTACAAAAAAAGGAATGAAAAGTAGTTACATTAAAACTAAGCATAGATTTTCACGTTATTTTAACAAACACTAACCTCCTTTCTACACTGTTCATCCAGAACACAGTTTGCAAGTGTACTGAGCGCCATGTCAACAACGGTGGTGTTGGGTCGCTGAATAAGAGCTAAAAGCCGCTTTAAGCCTCCTTTCAAGCAAAACAAACGAACATTTTCTTTATTTTTGGTCAGTTTTGTTAACGCTATCAAGGCTTTTTTAGTTTTTGAGTCAAATTCGGAGTTTAATTCCAAGATCAAATTCTCAATATATTTGGTCTCACTGTCGGCCATCTTGCACTTTTCCTGATGCGCGGTGTATGATAATTTGACTACCCATCTGCGCATATATACGTGTCGCCGTCACGTTATGTCACGGGAGATAACATCGTCACGCACTCAAGCCTGCACTCACGCATTGAAAGCCTTCCTTCCCCACCATTACCTCTTTACAATTTACGAGTCGATCGTCCGAGGTACGTACATTTTACTTTTAAATTTGACGCTTAAAAGTTTGCGAAATACAGTTTTACAATAACTGTTATTCGACGAGCCACGAGCGCATGAAAAATTGAATACAGCACAAAAACATAACGCCCTATAGCTATATAAGCGTGAGTTCGCCTCAGTTCTGCAAATTTGATCTCACGCTAACACGCCCGGCGGAAGACTGAAACATTTCTGAGAAATATGTGATTTAAAATAACCTAGAACTAATACTGGAAAAGAAACCTCCAACTCCTGATCGTACTTCCCTCCAAAATCCCCTCTTTTGGGATCTTACCCCGGGGAAGCACTCTCTTATATGACAAGGATGCCCTTTGGGAAATTAGATTTTGAAATCCCAAAGGAGACCAATTTGGACGTTGCTCAGCCTTTATTTGACCCCGAGACAGCAAGACAGCACTTTTTAATGTGAACAGAAATTTCTTTACATGCAACGTTAATCCTCTGCGATAAATACCATTATGCCGGTAAAATTATTGGCCTTCGCTCACTCAAACACCCTGTGAGACCAAAAAATCTGCAGTCCCTGAGCATTTTCATATAGGAGGTCTCAACGCCACCCCCTCCCCCCCATCATGTTGGGAAATCCTCGGATTGTCTGCAGAGGTCTGGGCATGTCCATAGCTGCAGTGTTTTATGCAACCACGCCTATGCTGTGAAAAAATGTTGACAGACAAAGTGTTCACACCATTTTTATGCCGGTAAAGTTTTTGACAATAAAGCTAAAAATTTGATGTCAATTTTGGAATTTAAATTTTTGAATGGCTAGGTGTCTAAATTTTCTTACAGTTAGTATGGTTCCATGTGAACAGAACACCTAAAAAGACCAAAATTTCATCCTATTAAAATTCATCACAAGCTGCAGGCCTGGAGCCCCACCTTTTCCCTATTTGGCATCTTCCTAGGCCCTCTTAGTTGATGCATTTTGGTGATGTTTCCAAGATGAATGGCCAGGAGATTCTAAGATTTGCTCAGACCACATAACCAGAAATGAATATGGCCCAATGGAATAATGAGGCATTTTAGGCAAACTTGAATACACAGTGCCAAGAGATATTATTCTCAAGGGTGGGCCCCCTTGTATAGGGTCTGGATATTTATGGTTCCCAACTAACTTCAAGCCACTGGGTGGGGGTTAACAGAGGATTTATGTATAAGGAGTGGTCATGGGCCCCTAACATATCACTTGTAGTTTTCATCTTATTACATTTGGCCTGTAAAAGTCTTCTAGAGTGTGATTGGCTCTGCTGAAGGAAGAATAACATTTTGAGGTTCTTAAAAAAATACCTTTCCTACCAGTATTACTCTCTGTTTAAGACATACTTTTACCTCTTCAAACTTAAGGATCCCCCTCAATATCTCAGCTAAAATATTGGGCAAAGAATTGAAATTTTCCTTTTCCCCAGCCCATACTCTCCCATTGCATAATGAACAGTTGTAAACTCTTGAGCACTTAAAGATTGATCTATATTTCTACAGCTTAAGGCTCAGACTCAGTGAAAAGATAAAAAAATAATGGCATCAGGCCAAATCCAGACTGTCCTGGGTGATATTGAGCCCAGTGCGCTGGGCCGCACCCTTACTCATGAGCACATTAAGATGGACTACAAATGCTGCATTCAACCACCCTGGAGAGCCTCTGATGCACGAAAAATGGTAAATTCCGAGATCAACTTGGCTAATCTTGGATGGATCCAGCACAATCCTTATAGTCACAAACTCAACTTGTCACTTGGAGATGAACCCTTTGATGACATGGTTAAAGAGCTGAAGTTGTTTAAACAGGAGGGTGGACAGAGCATAGTTGAAGTGACCATCAATGGTATCAACAGAGATGTGGAGTACTTAGCTAAAATTTCCTCAGCCACTGGCCTGAACATTATTGCTGGTACAGGATACTACATAGACCACACCCTTCCTCCCGAAATCAAGGCCTTATCTGTTGAGGAGCGCTGTAAGGTTAGTAATATTGTAATATTAATTATTTTCACTGTTAGTCAAGAATAACTATGCCTATGTATAACAATGCTGATATCCTTGTAGCAACCCAGGGCATTACAGGCAATCATCCCGGGGAGGGACTCCGCATATAAAAGGGGTGGGGATGCTCATCGCTGCTTAGGGGTGTAAATTTCGGATTTTGGTCTCACTTAGGGTGTTCAGAGCAAAACGCCATCATATTTAGCTGTGAAGGTCTCGTTTAGGGTTGCATGTGAAAAAATATGAAAAATATGTGTATTGTCTGTGTTTTAACATGGTCTCTTTTAGGGGTCAAAAAAAGCTCGGGCTATGCCCAGATCGGTCTCTTTAAGGGGTGTAATTCAAAATTTCTGATGAGCATCCCCACCCCTTTCATATGCAGAGTCCCCCCCCCTCGGGGCAATCATCTAGAAGTCTCAGGGGAGTTATTTTCTCTATTTAGAATGGGTACAGGAGGGTAAATCGCCCTCCTCCCTACTTTTTCAGGCCATTTCTCCCTTGTCCATTTTCTGTTTCTCTCCCCTCCTGTTGTCCCATGTTGTAATTATTATTGTTGGTCTCTTTTGCCAAATAATGTTGTTCTTAACCGGGTTATATATATATTTTTCCCTACCAACTCCCCTTCGGTGGCACATATTCCTCTCACCAGTATCATTGTCTTAGGGCCCTCTACCTTTGCAAAATATTGCTTCTCAGTGGTCTTGCAATTAATTAA